CCTAACCCTAACCCTAACCCTAACCCTAACCCTAACCCTAACCCTAACCCTAACCCTAACCCTAACCCTAACCCTAACCCTAACCCTAACCCTAATAAATTTAAATACTTAACTATTAAAGTATTACTAAATTAAATACTAATGTTATATAGTTTTTCTTAGCTATTCTATTATTTAATTAACTACTTAATCTATACAGGTACTTAACTCTTTTATAAAGAAAAGATATAATAGTATAACTCTCTAATAATATTAATTTAAATAATAAGTTAGATAAAAATATAATTCTATATCTAGAGAATCTAATTATAGAGTTTAAGTTATATAAAAATAAAACTAGCTAGATAGAGTATATCTTCTACTACTTTTTAAATTTATAGTAATTTATAGTATTAGTATAATAAAACTATCTAGCTATATAGTATAGATATTACTACCTTCTAGTATTAATATATATAATATATTTATATTAAGATATAAAGTATTTTATAGATCTACAAGACCTTATTTTAGAATAAATTAGCTAAGATATCCTGCCTATATATATTATAATATATAAGCTATATTATCTAAAGTAGGTTCAGACTCTATATAATATCTATTATTACTAAGTACTTAGGAAAATAAGAGACAGGCCTAAGAATATATTAGTAAAAAATAAAATAGAAATAACTAGTAAACTAAAAAAGACTATAAAGTTTATAAATTAGAAAATATTATATTAATTAGCCTTTTTCTTATTTTATTCTAAACTTAATACTTTTATAGTAAAAATTAGAAAGTCTAGAATATAGATTTATTTACTTACTAAGTATATAGATTATTAAGATCTTAAATTCTTACTATTCTAGTTCTCTATATATAAAGAGTAGAAAGATTATATATCTATTAACTAGATAGAGAAAGTATACTATCTAATAAAAAAATATTTAAAATTAAAACTATTACTAGATCTTATATTCCAGGAGTATATATTTATTTTAATTATAGTTAAAAAATTATATTTTTTTATCTTTTATTAATAGTTACTAATCTTTTAGTATATATTAATATTTTTATATATAATTTTAGTACTATTTATAAATATTTATTTATTAATAAATAAAAGTACTTGTATCTAGGTAAAATTAGCTTTTATAAATCCTAATTTAAAAATCTTAGTACTTATTATAACTTATACTATAGAGATATATAGCCTGAATCTATAAGAGATATATTTATATATTATCTTACTTAAATCTATATTAAATCTAAATACTCTTATTTAAGCCCTAGGTTATATATACTATATTAGCTAGAAATTAAAATAGAAAGTATTTATATTATTCTAGAACTACTTAATTTTATAATAGTTTAAATATAACTTATTATATAAAACTATAATAGATATTACAGGCTAGTTCTATAATAAGCTTAAACCTATTCTTAATTAAAAATAGGATAGAATCTATACTAAATATAGATTAAAGCTAGATAAAGAAATTACTAATAAAATCTTAAAAACTATAATAGATAATAAGATTAAAGAGATAGAGAATAAATTTATTAAATAAATAATAAATAAGTATCTCTAAGATTTATTAGAATAACTATACTTCTATCTTATATAAGTAGATATTAAGATTCTCTAGAATAAGAATATTCTAGAAAATACTAATAATAGCTCTAAGAATAAGTTTAAGTTTATATTATTATAGCCTAAGTAGTATATTTTATTAAAGTCTATAGAATCTAATAAGTATTTATTTTTTATTAATACTAGTAGTATATCTAGTCTAGATTTAAAAAAATAGAAGATAATTTTAACTCTAATTAAAAATCTAGTAAATTTCTAGAAATTAAAACTACTTTATTAGAATAATTATTAATTAGCTAGATAAAAAAATAATATAACTATAACTAAATTCTTACTAAGAGGTAAAAATACTAAAATAGTAGACTTAATTAATTAAGCTAGTAAGAGTAAATAAGAATTATAAATAAAGAATAAAATAGCTCTATTACAGGCTTTAAATATAGATATTAAATAAAATCTTAAATTATTAGTAATTAAGTTAGAGACTAATACTCTATTTAAAAATAAGATATTAATAGAATAGATACTAGATACTAGAGATAATATAAATAGCTTAATTAAAAAATATTCTAATAATAGTAGATATTTAGAGACTAAGAAACTATAATAAATAAATTTTTTAGTTAAATCTCTGGATTTCCTATTTAACTAGTATCTTAGCTAGATTATATAATAGAAAAAATATCTATTAATAATAAATAATAAATATAGAAATAAAAATAGCTCTATCTAGAAGAATAATAATAGTAATACTAGCTTAAGCTAGAAATAGAAACTATTTAATCTAGCTATTATTATATATATAAAAACTATACTTTTTATTAATAATATTATTACTATTTTCTATTCTTATTAATTATATAAGATATAGATAGTTATTCCTTAGTAGTTTATTAAATAAGAGAGTAAGCTCTTATTATAATCTATTAATAAATTAAATATACTAGAGATTCTAATACTATATTTAACTTTAAATCTATTTAGAGTTATTCTATAATTAATACTATATTATTTATACTACTATTAATATCCCGCTAATTTAGAAGCTTTATTTATATAAAATTTTAATATATCTGTTAGACCTGTCCAGGCTTTATAGTAAAAATATATTTTAAATATAATTTATTAATTATAGGAGACTATAAAGTTAGGTTTTAATTATAATAGAAAACCTATCTCTAAGCTATAAATTTTAGGAGTTATTAATTAATTATATAGATATATATCTCTAGTATAATTAGACAGTATTATCCTAAGAACTTTTAATATAAATAACTTTATAAGTTATATCTTAAATTCTTTATAACTTAGATAAGTTAAATTTAACTTATAAATCTATTAGTATCTAAAATCTAAGATCTCTAACTTATATTATTCTAAAATAACTAGATTCTTATTTTTAATCTAATCTAACCCTCCCTGCAGGTCCTACTAATAAATCAGTGCCTATCCTATCTGTGACCCTAATCTGACCGGACGTCTATCTGGATACCGCCTGTGGGTTAGATAGTAACTAGAAAAGAGAAAGAATAATACTAGAAATATATCTTCAGGCTATACTTTAGTATTTTAATAACTTTAATATTTACTAATCTCAGAATGTTATCACACTACTATATTAAGATATAATTAATATCTAGATAAACTAGCTAAAGATTATCTTAGATAAAATAAAAGAGAATAAATAAAGAAAAAAATATTTTAAATAGTAATAGAAATTAATATAGACTATAGTAAAGATTAGTCTATATTTAGTCTAGTACTAGGAGTATTTTATACAAGAATTAGCTGGATCCTGCTGGAGTCCATCAGATACTAATGTTAGGCCCGGAACTGGCCGTAGGCGAGAACGGTCTGATTGCCTGGGTGGAGGGCTGGCCAGGTGGACGAGGGAGAAGTGTTGGTTTGGGCGAAGATAGCTTTGGTCCATTCAAGGTGGCCGAGGTTTAGAGGCCGGATTTGATACCGCTTCGAGAGCATGCACTCGGGGAGGGTGACTGTCATTGTGAATCGAAGATAGGGTCTTGAAGGATGAATTGGGAGTCAAGCGATTCAGGGAAAGAGGGGCCTGATATACCGGATGATCGTCCGCTTTGATCATGATCGGACGGCCTGCCCTCGCCTCCAAGCCCTATGCTATAGTTGGGGACTCGATAGGAGATCGCATTGATCTGCATATATCTCTAGATGGCATGCACCAAAGCTGCGATGATCAGACAGACCGCTACACCGCAGCCTGCCATGCCAGCTTGTGCATCAACATCCTCGCCCGACAGAACCTCATTGGACTTAGGAGACATCCATCATGCAACCCATCGAGCCCGTAGAGGACCATGGTATCTACTCCCGATTCTCAGCCGGCCGGAAGGCTGCCGTCACCGTTGTCCTGGTCTGGTCGTCACTGCAGTCTACCCTTAGTACGACCACCGTGATATCGGCCATTCCGGAGGTGGCGGTCACCTTTAACTCCACCAACACCGTCGTCGCCCAGTCTAATGCCTTGATGATCCTGTTCCAGGTGGTCGGGCCCATCCTATACGCCCCCGTCACCAACATCTTCGGCCGCCGGCCGGTCCTGCTCACCGCAAATGCGCTCATAGCCGCATTTAGTCTGGGCACTGCCTTGGCCCCAAATCTCGTGGCCTGCTTTATCCTGCGCTTTCTCACAGCGCCCCAAGTGACAGCTACTCAGGTGATTGGTACCGTGGTTATTGGGGTCATCTACCCCCCTACGACCCGCGGCCGCGCACTCGGATGGCTGATGCTAAGCACCACGTTAGCACCAGGCCTGGGGCCATTGTTGGGCGGAGTGATAATTATGTTCGCCCCATGGCGGGTGATATTCTGGGCGCAGACCGGCATGGCAGCCCTCGCGGTGCTTCTGCTGGCGGTGTTCCTGCCGGAGACGATCCCTGAGAAAAGGACTCGCCTCTTCGCCGGTTTGGCCCCTTGCGAGAAAGTAGGCAAATTCCTCCGCCTGATCAATCCATCTGAGATTATCATCCTCCTCGTCTCGTCGCGCAGCCTCGCGATCAATGCGGTCTCTGTCGCCTCTCTGCACTGGAACCAGTATTCGATCCTCACGCCCATCCGCGAGGTGCTCAGTCCGCGGTTTCACCTGACCACCCCGCTGGAGGCCGGGCTCTTTTACTTGGCACCGTGTGCGGGCTATGTGACTGGGACGTACTGCGGCGGTCACCTGTCAGACTGGGTCGTGCAACGGTATATCCAACGACGCGGGCGACGGGTCCCAGAGGATCGGCTCAACAGTGTAGCCGGGGCAGTGGGGGTCGCCATGCCAGTCTGCGTCCTAGTGTACGGCTGGACGCTGCAGCAGGCGGTTGGTGGTATTCCCGTGGTGGTGATCGCCCTCTTCATCCAAGGGGTATGCCAGACCGTGGCATTCGTCCGCCTGAATGTGTACTGCATCGACGTGATGGAAGGCACAAATAAGAGCTCCCTGGCCGTGGCGGGGAGCTACATGATTCGCAATGTATCAGGCGCGGTGGGGACCGCCGTCTGCCTCCCTGCCATCGACGCGATTGGGGTGGGCGGTATATGACCATCACTGCGGGGTTTATGGCCCTTGCGGGGGGGCTCTTGTGGCTGGCCACGCGGTATGGGGAGGGATGGCGCGTCCGAAAGGCAGAGTCGTGAGACGGTCGAAGTGAGGATGTGGGCGGTGATAGTTAACTATGTGGGACCACTGCGCAGTATGTAAGCGGCGCACCAAGTTGAAGCCAATGAAATGTGCAACAGAAACAATGCAAGGCATGCCACCACAACTCCAACGTCAATGCATGACGGATCTTTTGGAATACTTAGGGTTACAATGGCCACCGAGGGAGATAATATGCATATTTATTTACTAGTATATGAAATAATATACTATAATTAATAATTGGTGCTTATATATCGGGTAGGATGTAATTATATATATAGCTGGTGGGAAACTACAAGCAATTCGCTAAGATATTTCCGCCAGTTTACAAATGCTGTTGCGGACAGTCTAACCGGGCTACTCATCATGGGTTATTGCTACTTGTACTGTATTATCTAATGATAATCTAGTAGCAGGTGACTTAGGGTTTGTCCGACCTTGTTTAACCCTGCAAGGCGAAACCATATAATATTAAGCACCCATAATGTCCTTACAAAACAGCCAGCGAGTGCTGACCCCCAGCCTCATGGCTTGCCAGTCGTTGATCGGACGAGGGAATAGTGGAATATGACCCACGACGGACCCGTCATGAGGCAAAACCACAAAAACATTATCCGCAGCGTCTAGTTCTTGGATCTTGCGGATTGTATCAACGGCCTTCTCGTAATCTGGAAATATAATCCGAGACGGGTTCATGAATGGCTCTATAGTGCTGTTCTTAGGGTGAACCTGGAAAATAGACTTAGGTAGAGACGGACTGAGAGGGAGGTACTTGGATAGGCGAAGTAGGCCGGCGTGGTGACAGGCATCGCCACCCATAAGAACGAAAGAGTCGGAATCAGGGCCCCCGTGGCCCGCATGGACTCGAGCAAGGGCACACACATGTCCAACGCAATGTCCCGGCGCGTTCAGGAGATAGAACGAGCCATCACCGAAGTAATCGTGTGCTTCAACCCGTCCAACCTGGCAACTGCCTGCCGAATCACCATTGAATTCAATCTCCCGAACTTTGCGGCCGCGGACATCTGAGTCAAGTAACATCGCGTCCGGGTTAGTCGGGTAGCCGGGCAAACATACAGCGATGGCTCCTGGGCCGAGAACTAGCTCCGTGGAAGTGGGAAAGGTTGATGGATCGCCAACATGATCAAAATGGCGATGTGACCAGATGATGGTTTCAATATCGCGGCGACGAATATCATATTCGTCGATGTTGTCATTTGAATCTAGAATCTCAGCGATGCCCTTTTCAACTCGAACATGGGTTGTTCGGCGTATGAGCCTGACGGTGGCGGGGGCGCAGTTCTCCCAGTCCTTGCGTACGGCGAGGTCAAGGAGAATGTGTCGAGGAGGGTCGCAATTCTCATTGGAAACCAGGAAACAGAGTGCTGGGGCGTTGACGCCTTTCAGCCCTTCAATTTCAGGTTCCCAGAACAAGGGAGGGTCGAGGAAGAGAGATGTGGTTCTGCAGAACAGCGAGGCAAACGTCAGTAGCTTGAACTTTGTAGGCCAGATCAGGAGGAGAAGCCTTGTACGAGTCAATCACTCGAACTGTCACCGTCGAGCTCGAGATAGGGATGTCAAGATCTGGGGGTGGTCATGAAGCCATTGCGAAAGTGGAAGACGAGAGCTGGATGCTTGCAAGGGGAGTAGTGACCATTTATGAGTCTGCTCACCGACATTTGCAGTAAGGGACATGTCTACATCATTGATAATGGATGTTCATTGGAGAGCATTTCGATCCCTGCGAGGGGCCTGTCATGCGGATTCTTACTTACTTTCTTCTGCTACAGTATTTTCTACTCTACCTATTGTTCCAACACATCAACTAGCTGTGCTACCCATTCATTCATCTGGACTGATGTTAGCCTGAGGTTGTCTGTATACAAAGAGTGTCTTACCTTCGTGGAAGGAAGCATCATAGTGTAGTGATTGCCATCAGCACGAATTACTTTCACCTTACCCTCGCCCATGAGTTCCTCCCAGTCAAGGGACCCATCATTTTTCCTATCATTTAGAAACCAGTCCGTAATCCTGCGCAGCTCGGGCTCAACATCAAATCCTCTGTCTTGCTGATTATCATACCTGGTATCAACTCCATTCCTTGCGGAGACCAGAATAGTCGGCGGCATCTTGACACCAGGAAGCTTCTGACTTCGATAACTTTGTAGCTGGTCTCGCGCCAATGAGATATCGCCAGGGGAAGATATCGTGCATATACCCCGAACCAAGCTGTCGGACATCCAGACTGGGGAGGTGGGGCACGGCGAGTCAAGGAGAACCAGCATCTCAACATCATCGCCGGCCTCGAGTAGTTGACGCGCTGCCTCGAAGGCGACAATACCACCAAATGAGTACCCCCCTACTAGATACGGCCCCTCAGGCTGCCGACGCTTGATTTCAGCTGTCTAGATGGCAGCCATCTCTTCTACACTAGAGACATGCTGCTCGGAGCAGAGAGCGGTATAGTATTATGAAGTGACTCGCCCTCAGGATTACCAGGGCTAAGTTTGTAGAACGGGACACGGACATCTTCCTCAAAGCCAGTAGACTTGCCCGGGGCTAAGGTTATTGCACTGCTTCAGTAATAATACGAACCATCAGCCAGTAGGTGACGGTGGCGTTGACCTGGGTATGGGATATGGTTATACAACTCGTGTTCTTCCCCAGAGACATGTTTTAAACCTAACTACCTTGATGGCAACACCACAAATCCACGCGCAGGCAGCGCATACTAATTACCTTGAGCAGAGAAACTAACTCAGATTAGTCTTAAAGGTAAAAGTAGTCTTCAGTCGCGGTGTCCGGGTAAGCCTCTACAACAGGCTAGCAAAAACCCTGCAGGGTCTTACTCGTGGGCTAGGTAGGGAATTTTGCTGTACGATATATATACTTCTTCGATAGCCTAACAGTCGGCGTCATGTACAGTACAAGCCGAACAATACATTCCTAGCTATGTACATCCCACCGGTCTATATCCTCTAACAACACTTTCCGCGGAAATACATGTTCGCCGAACAAGGCTCAGCTTTTTAGCGGCCTTGGCCCTCACCGGGACAGCCAGACTGCCAGGGAGGGGGGACGTCGAAGGGAGCCTCGGAGGGCAGAGGGAAGCCCGAAGGGTAGTTGCAGGAGTGGCTGGGGCTTGGAGTGGCGCTGGAACTGGGAATAGCGCTGGAGCTTGGAGTGGCGCTGGAGCTTGGAGTGGCGCTGGAGCTAGGAGTGGCGCTGGAGCCAGTGGTCGTGGTGATTGTGTGGTGCGCGCCAGGAATACCGGCCCAGGGAGGGGGCTATACAGTACGGTTAGCAATTGGATCATTATGACTTGGAGCAGCGGCAGGTGGACTCACCGAGGCAACAGCAACGGAGGCCAGGCCAATGGCCGTGAGGACAGTGAGTAACTGCATTGCAGATATAATAGGTTTTGTTCTGGTTACTGATACGAGAGGAAGTGAGGGATGGGGAAAGGAAGAATCAAACGAAGTACGCTGGATGAGCTTTGCTTTTTAAATTGCCCATACCGCCGACTGCGAACCAGGGACTCACTATCTAAGGGAAGTCAGGTCGCTGGCATCATATCGAAGACATTTCCCGAAAGACCATGCAGACCGAACATCAGTGGAGAGAGTGTGGAAGTTTAGGCCCTTCATCTAACCCTAAAAGCCTGGTTCAGGGCCCATGTGCGCGACCTATTCGCTCCCTCAACGATCAGGGTCCCTGCCGATCTCTGGCATTGACCCTTCATTGACCCTACCATCCCACGTCATTTGCCACATCTGCCGACAAATGTGCCTGTGGATCGGCAAGATCCCATGGTTGTCACTGTCCGGGCATCGTAATGCAGGTTGCGGGTCCAATCGCAGTGGAGTCGTGTCAAACGAGCGACGCGTGTATACATCCACAATTTGGCGGCTCGACCATTCAGCAGGTAATTGACAATCTGCCACAGCTTTAACCAGCCAGACGGTTCACTGCCACTGAAGGTCTAGACAAAGGCCTTCCCAGACTCGCGGGACAGTGGTTGAGGCATTGCAACAGACAGGACATAGTCGGTGGTGATGGTTTCATTTACCCTCGCTAAGTAGACTTTCCCCTCGTCCAAAACACGAATCCAGTAAGCTGCATTGAGCCAGTGGGATCCAATCCAATTCCCACGTCATAGCCGAAACGTACTGTTGCGCCACACGGGATATAGTGATCGCCAGCTTAGGACCTTGCATAAAGGCCATCTTTCGTTCTCCACCGTGAAATAGCGCCGGATGAAGGCGGGTATCCCACGAGGAGACTTGAAGGAGAGTAAATAAAACAGAACCTTAATGTATCAATAACCCCTCGTCGCTTTTCTTTGAGTCCATGGCCGATATCCTCTTCCTCCCCCACGCTCGCGACCGGCCGATACGTGGATTGCCCCAATATCCCAACTTACCGAGAGTGCCGCCGAGGACGCCCATGAACCGCAACGCCGGACGGCGAAAACACGCCTTGGAATGCTATCAGGAGGGGAAGAGGGCTGAAGCTTGAACCATTAGCAGGGAATATGCTAGAACATCCCACATTCGCATAACGGGCCGTAGACAGTCTGCATCACCGACCTCCATTTACCTACCGGTGTATAATATTTACAATGGAATGGGTAACCCTGTAACTACCAGACTTTTCGCTGTGGTGAATAAAGGCACGATGAATGTTGTTCATTATATTTCAAGGATTGCTCATATACCGATAAATGCTTGCTGAAATCAGGAATTTCCACCACCAGCATTATCTCAGTGCAGACAAATGAACTTGGCGCATAGATTCGCTCCCATGGGTTATGGCCTGCATCTTATTCCAGAAGTACCATGAACCGTTTATCCTGTTTAACTGTATGCCTAGGCGAATGCCCGCCATGCTTGCTCTATCAAGTCCACTGCCCTGAATCTCCTGAATCTTACAACTACAGTGGTGCCTCATCCTTCTTGACGTCAATGGCCGCCAAGTTCCCCAAGACCAGCTGCCTAGCCTTCTCGTCATCGCCACCAACACGCAGTCTCGCCTCCCGCAGAGTTCGTTTGAACTTCCCGTTGGTGCTGTGTATTGAGTCGAAGAGACCCGTCGGACCAAAGTTCTCATTGAACGCAAAATGGTGAAAGTCATGTTGCAGGTTTGACGGAAGCCACGGCGTGTTATACCCGGAGTGCGCGCAGATGGTTCCGAACGTTAGCAACAGGTAGCTGAAGGTGTATTGAGACCAGTGGTGCGGTACGATCATGCTTCCAATGGTATTTGGCAGCAGGTTGGAGAAGACGTGCTCTGTCAGGGTGCAGTACGTCGAGGCCAGTCCGACGGGCGCGGTGAACTCATGGTGCTGTTTATGAAAGAGAGGATACAGTAGCTTCGAGTGGAACGCGCGGTGTACGTAGTAGAACCCCATCTCCGTGCAGAATACGTCAAACAAAGCGGTTGCAACAGCCTGTATCGGCGAGGGGAGTGAAGAGGTCCCGACTGGCTTGGAGAGGCCAAGCACGTTGGTGAGGTATAGTAATGGCAGCACAGCCACGATCTGGTTGCGAAGCCCTATGAGCGCAATTCGGGTGTATTCCTGCTCGCTAACTCTGATGAATGGCTGCGTTTTGTACTTGAACAGCCACTGCGGCCAGCCTGTGAGATCCGGGATTGCGAAGACGGCGGACCAAACCCAGAAGAACGCCGTGGTGATGATGAATGTGCCCCAGACGTTGACAGTGAACTCGCCGTACGTATCGTCCAAGTAGTCGTAGAATCTTCGACCCACCGCAGACGAGTTAAACCGGACATATAAAGCAATTAGAATGGCACTGCCACTGACGGACTTGAGTTTGCCGTTGACCAAAGCCGGCGTTGAGTACAACCATCGCTGGCTGTGAGGGATCGGAGAGCCCGATATGTCTTTCGGGATGAAGTTCTTCGAAGTTGACGCTGGGTGGACTGCGGTGGCGGACATGGTTGAGCTGTGCAGGACTGGTTCCCGATGAGTTGGCTCTGGCGAGGATGGGTTCCGATATATACGGAGTATGTTTCAATCACATGTGAGGCACTCGGCGACGAGGTCCAATTTGTTGGTGTCCGTAGGGGGTGGATAACGTCGCGCTTCGGCGTATCTAATATAGCGAGGGAGACTGGCGGGGGATGTGGAGACAACCACAAGAACAGGAACAGTGGAGAGACGCTTTATTCGTTAGAAACTCTGCCTCGGCGTAATAATTACAGCGATCCTTGAGCACGACACGAACCCCCCTCTTCCCACCCTGCAACAGCATCGGAGCACTCCCGTCATGACATCGTGAGTTTTTGAATCACCGCAAAAGCAACTCACTAAGACATGTTAGTTGCGTCAAGTGCAGGTCTCGGAAGGTCAGATGCGACAGGGCCAGGCCGTCGTGTGGATGGTGTGTACGGAACAGCCAAAAGTGTGTGTACGCTGGCAAACGCAAGCCGGGGCCTCGCAGGGGGAATGCACGGCACCTACAGAACAAGATAGAGCAGCTGGAAAAGTCACTCAATTCTCTGAGCAGCCAACTCCAAGAGCATCTAGCTCCCCCAGGCCGCTGCGAGAGTCACCCATTGCGTCAAGAACAGCTCCCTTCTTCCGACGGCCACACTCAGCGATCGCCCAGCAATAGGGGAACCTCTGTTCAGGCAGTTGAGGTAGTGGAGGCAGATAATACTCCGAGTAGTCGAGAACAGATCCATGACTACGACAGCTTCTTGGAAAATGCTGGGCTACCACCATATCACCACCTCGCCGCTCTCGCCGACCTATACTTTGAATACGTGAATGCCTGGCTACCCCTGCTGGAACAGGGGTCAATCCTTGGGTTTCTTCGGAATCCTGTCGAGCTCGACGAGCCTGACCAAGTCCTACTGCACGCCCTCGTTGTAAGTGGTTCGCGATATTGGAAGGATCCGAAAGCAATACGACCACAGTACTATGAGTCCTCTAAGCAGCGAATTTGTCTATATGTTCTGGAGCACTCAGATATTAGAGGTCTGCAGGCGCTCGCTATCCTGGCCGTAGAAGTCCTAGGAGACGCTCACACTGTTGAGGGTATGAATCTCCTCGCTCTCCTCGCGCAAAACATCTTGCATCTCGGTCTGACTGTCGAGCGCCGCTTCGACTTGGGTCTCTCCATAGATGCACCCGCCGGGTTGACCGAGCGCTCCATGCTCTCCCATCGGACGTGTTGGCTGCAAGAAGAAGAGATACGCAGGCTGTTCTGGGCTGTGTACTCGATCGACAGATACACAAACACGTGCACATCTTCTAACTTCATCATAGACGAACGCGACGTGGACAGGCCGCTGCCTTGCCGTTACGCCTTGTGGGTAGCTAGAGAACGGGTTGAGACCAGGTGGTACCGCACGGATAAGCCGTTCGAGGTGACAGCAGATACTCCGGAGAACATGGGGAGCTTTTCCTATACCTGCGAGGTCTCAAGGATCATGACTCGCATCCATGAGTTCGTCAAGCAACCCTTCGACTTCTATTCGTCGTCGGAAATCGACCGGTGGAAGGCCTCGTACGCAGAGCTGGACCGTCAGCTCTCCTCGTGGCTGAATAGCCTTCCAGGCGAGTACGCTCAGATATCAGAGTCGTGCCACTCATCCACGCGGAGCAGAGTTTCCAACTGGATCACGCTACAGTCCGGCTTCATCCTGGCTGCCATTCGCCTGCACTCAGTTGCGGCATATCCGCCCACTCCCTCCGAGCTGTTCAAGGCCTCGTACATCGCTATGCAGAAATGCCTGACATGCGCCACGAGCATGATGAGGACAGCTCAGGACGTTGTGTCCGCTGGTATGCTTCCGTTGCTCGGGCCGCTCTTTGCTGGTGCTCTCTGGGTCACGGCCAGACTACTCCTCGTCCACGCCTCCGTGCCAGAGCACGACCTCGATCCGAGCATCCACTTCTTCATCTCCACTCTGGATAAGCTAGGAGAATATTGGCCGATGGCGAAGGTCTTCTCAGACAGGCTTGTATGCATGCTGCCGCACACGGACGGCAATTCCAGGACACTCGAGGATCTCCGCAGGTAAGTGCTGCAACCACATAAAGCAACCGACACGAGCTCGCTGATACGTTAGTTAGGATTGCATTCAGACTGCATATCGTCGAGGCTGAGAAGCGATACACCTTTTCGCAGCGCTGCATTGCCATGACGCTTCCAACCAACGAGATCCAAGCATTTGGGGTCTTTGATTCATTCAACTACCCGCGGCCATCGAATAGCTCCTACAACATCTCGAACTCTGGCGAGGTGACCCCCAGCAGGACATGTCCCGATGTTAGATTCACACAACCTGAGCCCAGCTCAGACTGGCTGGACGGGAAATGAGGGGCCAATTACACAAAAACGATGCGATACGGATGCCGTGAACTCAGGTATACATAAATCCTACTTTAGCCTACTTAATTGATCAATCTTTTGTACTCGAACTATAGAAGGGAAGCCTGACGCAAGATTATTTTTGCATAATGGGCGCGAGCACAGTTTCACTTTAGCCTGCCCCTATTCCAAATATATAGATATATATATCTATACATTAAGTCAGTCTTCAATTACACATGAATCCCGGGTTCCCCAGAAATGTTGCCCACAGTTCATAGATACTAATATTAGTGGTATGTGCCATCTGCAGGTAACAAAAGAAACATGCAACACAGGCAATAGGTTAGAGTCTGACTTTATTGACATTCCCAACAGTCCGGCACCTCCCGTCCCAATCCGCAAGCCTGGAGATAATGATCGGCGCCTCGCAGTCCGAAGACCCAATTATGGCCCTGAAAACCATTGGTGGACCCACGCTGCAGTCGGTATTGGCAATATAAAACCAGCCACCACCAGTGGCAAACAAGTTTGTACCCTGCACAAATTACGGACACTAGTGGGAGGATTGAGAGACTCAAGACAGCGCGGGAGTGCATCGTGATACAAAATCATGTCCAAGCCTCCCAACTCAGCCCATTCCGGTATTGGAGTCCGACCTGTGGCCCCTCATTCGAAACAATATAACCATCAAGGCACTGATCGAAATATACCTTTGGTTGTGCCTCATAAAACCTATCGTACTTTGGCGACAACGCGTCCATTAAATTCCGCACTGATCCATCAGGATGGATAACGCTCCACGGTTTAATGCAAGTGGGTCCCTGGCAGGATTGTAAAACCAGGACCAGAGCATCAAGGCGGTTCTGTACTGCGAGTAGCGGGCGTCCAAGATAGCGATCATTCGTACTATTGGCTGCAGAGTAGAGATTCATCATTTGGTACGGATCCGTCTAGGGGATATTAGTGTTGTCGCTTATAGACTATCATGCACGAACGGACGGAAGACAAACCGAAAGATCATATAGCTCATGCTCGTTGGTGCACCAAACGGCGTAGTAGAGATTGTATTCTTTGCTGAGGATACGCGCCGACTTATAGCTGTTGTTATATAAGTGGGTATCGGCGTCGGGGCCTTTGCAAGTTAATCCATTTCCTGTCGACCAGTGAAGGCGTAGAGAACCCACCAATGCGTGAAAACTCCCCCTCGAAACCCACATCTCCCCAGAATTCCACTGCAACATGCTCATGTTTGGTTCCTGCTGTCCCCTGCATAATAGGTGCCGGGGCCCCATCAAAGTCCTCGCGGAGAGGGATTCCGGCCAGCTCGAAGAATGTAGGAACTAAATCAATATGTGTTGTAGTGCTAGTAACCGACTCGCCTTCAGGAATACCAGGCCCACGTATGTAGAACGGAACACGGATATCTTCGTCAAAGCCAGTGGATTTTCCTGGGGGCATACGATGCTGGCCAATATGATACCCGTTGTCAGAAGAAAAGATAATGTAGGTATTATCAATATCACCGCTTTCTTCTAGACGATCAAGGAGAACATCGACTAACTCGTCAAGGCTCTGCAGAGCTCGTAGACGTTGACGGTAGAAGTTGTCTTCATATTCAACAACGGTCTGGTTCTGACGTTCGAGAGTCTTGACCCAACTGACTCCGGAGCTCTAAAGCAGATCAGCGTCTGTTGATGAGGGGCTTTATTTAGATGCTGAACCTACATCAATTGGGTTAAAGTTGGGTGTCCGCGGCAGCTTGACATCGTTAAAGAGATGACGGTGTCTGGGAGCCGGAATTGCTTCTGTCATTACAGCACGATCTTCCAAGTTGTCAACGTTGGAATGGGGAGCGATTGGAGCAACAGTAAAGAAAAATGGCCGGTCGCTCTCAAGGGCATCATTTAGAAACCCCAGGCTCTTCTCGGTAATCACATCCGTCGTGTAATGGCCCTCGTAGCTCTTTGGTGGCTCCTTGTTGCGTTGGTAGGTAGAGTTATAGTAGGAGTAGGTGTATGGGTCGAGAAGGAAGTCGGATCCATTAAATCCTTTAACAAACGGATCATTGTACGTCTCAAGGGTATGAGAGTTCATGAGCTTCCCAGTGTAATAGGTGTTATATCCAGCATTCTGCATCCATACGGGGAACCAGTCCTCGTTGAATCCCTGCGAAACGAATTTAGGGTACCCGCCTAAGAATATTAGCTTCCGTATGACCTTTACTGGGATGATCAGAGTTGCCTCACCCCAAGGAGGGTTCACGTCAGTGACATTGGTGTTATGGGCCTGGCGGCCAGTCCATAGGGCGACCCGAGAGGGACAGCACAAGGCTGTCGTGACGAAATGGTTGGTAAGCTCAACGCCTCTCTCTTTGACGCGGCTCAGAGTCTTGGGCATGTAGGCTGGAGAGTTCATTTGATTATCTAGGTCGTCGGCGAGGATGAAAAGGAAGTTGGGATTTTTCGAAGGCCTCCCTTGAGAACTGTCTTTCCGGGAGGGAGCAGCCTCCGAAATGGCCAGCAAGCTAACCAGCGCAACGACTTTGGAGAGCTTCATGGTGAATGTGGACGCTAACCAGACGTACTTTCTGTTTATCGGTATGGCTCACCTGAAGACTGGGGTCCCGATGGCGATTTATAGAGACAGTGCTGGATCGGTGCTCGTTTACGTATTTGATTCCACCTCGAAGCCTATCTCTCAAGATCGGGACCAATCTAGCCATGGAACCCCATGTTGGGGTAATTTGATCGGCAATAGCAGAAATACAACGGCAGTTACGACCATGCTACATGATTGTTGTTGGCCTATCAACTCCACTGACTTGGGTCAAGCCTCGGGACAAGAAGTCCGGGGTTTAGTGGGGAATTCAGAGTATGCCTACTCGGTGTCCCGTCGTTGAACATGACAGACGATGAAGCAAACCCTATCCTCGACTGTAAATTCCGCTCTCCAGCCCAACCCAGCCTCTCAGGCCTCCTGGGCTCCTATTTATTTTGCCGCTTACCCCAACTATGGGCACCATTTCCGACAACGGTAGGGAGAACAACCGAACAATCCCCCACCCCCGCAATGAAACCGTACTGTCGGAACTCTAATGGGATTGATACTAAACCCACAGTTGTTGATATACGGTTGTGGGGAACCTTATTAGGTAGTCATCAATCTCCAAAAAGCAGCGGAAACTTCCGCCCTCCTTCCATAGGTACCGCTTTTACTGGGCAGAGAAGCGAGGGCCTCGGGTATTCATCCAGCCATAACTAAACAAAGAAAAGAAGGCAAAATAAGAAAACCACCTGGCACTTTTCCGTGGGGTGAGCCTTTGGACCCTCCAGGTGCGTGAGGGTCTGAGCTCTACCCCCTTAAGATATTCTTCTTAGAGATTTAGTCCTCTAAGGATTATTTCCAGGTAATTCCCAGGGTGTATAGATATAATAAATAGAGAGGAAACATGATTCGCTTACTGGATATAATATAGATAGATTTAATAGGAGTTTCTATATATATGAGCTGTTAGGATTGTGCCCCTAATCCTAACTTATTCTCTCTGTTTGCCTCTCTTTTAGCACTGCCTACATGCGGTGAACCTTGGAGTTGGCTGTCCATTTCCTGAAAGTCTTTCCCTTGAAGTAGAAGACAATCGTGAGTGAACAAAAAAAAAGGGCGAGTGCCATATTCATCATCATAGGTATAACAAACCCACTGGCCTCGCTCCATCGGGTAATGAATTTAGTAAGTCCATATGCCCACAGGTTCTTGTTGATTGTAATCGTGACAAATAGCATCCCAGCAACTCGTTTATAACTGTCGACAGCGTAGGTACTTATGATAGAAGGAAGCGTGGCGACTTGGATACCTGCACAGCTATACCCGATAATGACAATGATCTAAAAGCAGCCAGGTCAGGTTCAAATATCAACATGTTGTTCCAGGGGATGCTACCTTCCAGGACCACTTGTATTGATATCCGAATGCAACAACAAAATTCCCGATGATATAAATGACCAGATACGGGATCATAGCAGGTAACCTCATCTCCGGCTCCCGAATGCCCGGATTTCTCTTAGTTGCCTTCATGGAGACCCAATCAGAAAAGGGCCCATTGGTTGCCAGGCCGATGAATGTGCCAATCAAAATAGCGACATTGAAAAGACCGATTGTTCGAGAGCCCAGATTGTATGGCGGCTCAGCAAATGCCTGAGACTGCGTGAGGAGTAGAATCAACATGGAATTCGAAGTCCACGACACAATGAATGAAGCTATGCAAGGGATTGGGTAAATAAGAAGCTCCAGTGGTGTCAAGACGTGCATTAGAAGACTCTGAAAACCAAGGTTGTTGTCGCGTTGCCACAGCTTGAACTGCTTCTTCGAGGGGTAGCCTTTGCCCAACCAGCAATCGGTGTCGGCGACGTTGCCTTGCGTCCTGGTCTTTTCCGGGCTTGCCAGTTCGATGTGCTGTTCGAGTTCAACTACTTCCAACTTTTCTGGACTGTCTGCATTAGTAGTGTCCTCGCCTCTGACAGGCACGGCGACAGACTGCTCGGTGTCCGAGAGAAAAGTGCGCTGCCAGTTTGTCTCTGGACAGAAAAGGAGAAGTAGCAGAAGAATAGTGCACAGAAGGCCGGTGTTCAACCAGAAGAAACTGCGCCAGCCGGCCCCTTGCGACATGGGCCCGGAGACGATCGGTCCAACCTAGAAGCTATACTCAGGACATATCTCACAAGATGGACGGGGACGGTATTGCCCTACCATGAGCCCGCCGAAGTAGAAGCTGAAATAAAGTGTCTGGTAGGCGCCTCGTTGATGAAGAAACATAGTGTCCGTGATGGTTTGGGGTAGAGCTGTCTATGATAAGAGGGTTAGCCCAGCCATATCCAATTCTCATTTTTGGTGAGGTCCTGTCATACTTCCGCAGGCCCCGCTGCAAAGCCGTTTAGAATGCATGCCCCCATGAAACTGTTATAGCTTGTGGCCAAAGCGCGCCAGGCGTTAGCAGCCATGCAAAGTGCAGTTGAAGCGAGTAAAACCGGTCTTCGGCCGTACGACATCATCAAGGGCACCCTTATCGCGCGCAAGTATTAGCCAATATACCGTTTTATAAAGGGTGCTACTTACCAGAAGAAATTGCTGAACCCTAAAACAAGGATACCAACACCGGCGAATTGCACAACCTGAGGGAGACTCGCGTTGAAAGTTTCCATGAGCTGAGGATATATCGGGGCTACGGCCTGGGGCGCCAAAGCCTGCGAAAAAGACATGGCTGTAGTCATCGAGATGACACCCAATTTCCACCAGCGATTCCAGTTCTATTATAGTGAATTAGCCAGATCTCCAATGCGCCAGTTCATGCTGGCGGGTCAAGGTTTACCAGAGGATCATGGGGACTGGGGGAGGGCTGAGGGACGAGAACTGCATCCCCGTTGGCGGAAGATTTGATAAAATTATGAGATCCCACATCTCGCATAATTTCCGTTCCGGGATATATTTTAATGTTGAGCTCCTCTTCAAGTCTAGGCCGCAGACGTAGAATAAGCAGTGGGTTGAGAAATTTGTTAAGCCAACTCACCGTCGACGGACCTGGTAGTCAGGGTTAGCACAAGTTCTCTTGACTGACACCGGGGCCTTGTAGAAACTGTGTAGTGCCAACGTACGGATTCATCAGAGTTCGTTTCCATATTGGACGCTAGCAGGCTGCTGCTGCTGGTCAGAATATGTATGGTGGTGCTGCAAGAACAGTAAAGGTGCCTGTCAAAATGTCCGTATCGGCCTCTTAGGACAACCAGGCGTCGGAGTTTGGCTTTTCCATTTACCACTACGGGTCCTGTTTCTATATAATCTAATAATGCATAATGCACGGTCCGATCACCGTCGGCGGACCGCCTCTCTGGCATACCGACGCACATAATCATCAGTAACATATTAGTGTTCCGAGCTTCAAGCCCGTAGTTCGGAACGCACCTCGGGGCCACAACTAGACTGACGCCTACAAAGTTCGGGCGCCTCAGAATACGTTCCGATCTTTCGGATCCATCAAAAAAAAAGTGTTTTTTCCTTGAACTAACTCAGGCGGGGTTTCTCAGAGCAGCCAGAACCAGAAGCCTAGACATGTCCGAGATGTTTTATAGCCCAGGGCTAAGTAAACGCACAGTGTACGACCGACCAGTGTTGGTTTAGGCTTTCCATAGAAGGTATCGACTGGTATATCACGTCAATATACCTCTTGTCACTAGTTATTCTACTGATTGGTCGCAAGGACTGGCGCGCGATACATCGATGTCAAATTTCTCAAATGACACTTGAAGACAGTTCTAGTTATACCGCGATCTCTCTTCTTTCCTAATGCAACTGTTCAAAGGATTCAACTTCTGCCAGCAAGATCTGTACTAGTTCTTCAGGGCTTTGCCACATTTCGTTGTGTTTCCCGGTAGCCGCTACCTCCTGGACTTTCAACCGTGTTGCTGCTCGTGAAGTGAGGTGAAGCTTCATACGCTCCGTCTGAGAATATGGAACTAGCTCATCAGTATGGCTCTGAGAAAGTACCACCTTCCGCCCTTCCGGCCATTCTGCTCCCCAGTCTTCCACAGCCGTGGGACACGCAGAAGCCCAAACCTCCTTATCTTGCCCAAAGGCGCCTCGCGTAAAGGCATCGTAGATAGGAGCCATGTCACTATGAGTCTCATCTGGCCGTAACAGAAACCGAGGTAGGTCATAAAGCCCGTTGAGGCCAACGATTACTTGTGGCTTTTCTAGCGATATAGTTCTGTCGAGGGCCCAGCGTGTCTGGTCCATTGCAGCCTGGAATGCCAGCATCGCACCGCAACTGTGTCCTGCAAGGATATATCCCATTCCGAGCGCTCCAATCTTCTTCAGGTATGATAACCCTTTCAAAACATCGCAGATGTGATCTGGATGTTTAGCGGTGCGGGCAGCATCGACTGGAGCTTCGGGGTCGTGGGGAGGCGAAGGATGCGTCGGGTGCAAAGGGTGCTGGGAAAGACGGTAGTTTAGAGAGGCAACTCCAGCGACAGACGGACGCCCTTCCTGGCGTGTTCTTTCTAGCAATCTGAGGGCTGCTGCCTCGAACGAAGACGAATCCACGAGCGGGTCGCGCCAGGCACCACCGTGAATATAGACAATCCACGGCCCTTCGCGACATGGGATTCCGGCGGAGGAATCTGCTGCGGTTGCAAGACCCTCGATGTCGTGACTGGGGATCCAAAGGTCTAATGTTTGAAGATATGTTGGATCAGCCACGTACGGCACACGTCGTTTGTGTAAAACTCCATCCCCGTTTCCGACTATAGCCCATGGGGTCGAGGTCCACGTCGATTCTGTCATGTTTGTTTTCTTTGCTAGGCAGGGGCAGCAGGCGTTGGAATTCCTCGAAAAAAATAATAATAATAAGCAGTTTATTTCAATTCATCATGAGAATGATAGAAGACTCAAGCATTAGTACCCCCGCAGAACCGCCGAACAGACCCGGCAAAGCATGAACATCACGCCCTGGATCCGAGTAATCTGCGGAGCACGGATGGGGCCCTCTTCCAGCCCGGAAAAGGATCAGAATGGCCCGTGTGTTGCTTGTCACCATCCGAGGTAGTATTTCTTAGGCCTGCATTGTATGGCAATCCGCGTTTGTGCTCGCGACCGGGCAGCTGGTCGGAAGTAGTTTCATGGAGAGAGAACACTCCGAAACGCGCATACAAATCTAATGTGCAATATTACAGTATGAGAGCACACCGTCTAGCTTCTTTGCAAAATACAAGGCTATTGCTGCAGATAAAGGGCTTCATTGAGACTCCTCGGGCCTTGCCTACAATGCTGTCTATTATATATAACTACATATCCTTGCGCTCTGGCCTCTCGACTCTCGTTTGCGTTATAATATACCAATGCCATCGTACAAACAGGCCCTCGGAGCGGTATCATTGAAATCGTCTGCCAATTACTTCAACTTCTTGCAATCGTAGTACTCCACGTAGCTCGGTTCATATCCAAGAATCCACCTGCCCCAGTAGGCGGCCGATGTAAGCAAAATTCTGCTGGCCACGCGACCCAGGAACTCCCATGGAAGTGGAACTGCTAGAGGAGTATCGGCACTGTGTAGGAAGACTAAGAGCTGGAAGATGCTGGGCTCTCGTTTGGCCATTTTGCAGTCATCCAAATAACCAAAGAAATTCCTGAAAAACTGCTGTTCATTCTCGTACGACTCGGGTGACAGGTGAATATCGACAACCAAGTCTCGTGTCTCGGTGGCATTTTCGAACCGATGATAATTGCCTGCCTTGACGGAAGCTGTCGTCTGGCCGCCTGGTTCGTCAGACAAGATGGCGAATGGCTCTTTTTCAACCCCTCGATAGAAATGCCCTTTGCCGGACCGGACATGAAAGAACTCGTCTTGATAGATATGATAGTGGAACGGGGGCTGTATAATGGAAACCCCGTTCTCCTTGCTCGTTGGAGGGATCCTATGCGTCATGATATAGTGCGAGCCTGGAGCTGAGAAAGTGACTGATGACCGGCCGCCTTCGTACGAGATCGGGTTGTTCTCAGCATTCCTGGTGCGTGGAGGGTCTGAAGATCTCAAGATGGAAAACATGTTGACAGTGAGTGAAACGGGAGAACAATGCTTGTTCAGAGGCAAGACTGGGGGGGTAATAGAGGAAAATGAAGAGACGTTAACTAGCCCTAATTGAGTCCGGTTCAAATTGGTCCCATTTCAGCGTCCCGAGAACAGTCCCCGAGGTTTTGATTTGGAGCTGCGCATGGGGACATAATTGGGCCAGCAGTTCCTTGGCCACAAGATGGTCCCGAGCTTCGAGGCCTGTAGTTCCGAGCAGAAAAGCAATCCTCCCGTTTCTCCAAGTATGATCCGAACTTCTGAATCAAGCATACAACTTGGCTTTCCGACATTATCGCTATTTGAGGAACACTGCTTCGCTGGATTCTGCTATCCTTTCGACAAGAAAACCACTTTGGGGTGCAAAACGACACACGACTTAGGACGCTAGTTTAAGCCGCCGTGATGAAACGCCCAAACTTCCTCGTCATCGTCGCGGACGACCTTGGCTTTTCGGACGTGGGTGCATACGGCGGAGAGATCAGGACCCCCAATATCGACAGACTTGCCAAGGGAGGAACCCGATTCACTGACTTTCACGCTGCCTCTGCCTGCTCTCCGACGAGATCGATGCTGCTGAGCGGCACCGATAATCGTATGTAGCCGCTGTTTTCTGTGAATGGGATATGCCGTCTCTGACAGATCCTAATATAGATATCGCTGGCTTGGGGTCGATGGCCGAGGATATGCAAGACAACCAGAAAGGCCAGCCAGGGTACGAAGGGTATTTGAACCACCGAGTTGCTGCTCTGCCAGAGCTCCTCCAAGACAATGGCTATCACACCCTGATGTCGGGAAAGTGGCACCTTGGCCTTACACCTGATCGATGGCCCTGTAGGAGGGGCTTTGATCGCTCTTACACATTACTGACTGTGAGTTGGCCTATTACAATACGTCCACCACAACGAATGCAGACGCTGATCCTCCACAAGGGAGCCGCCAATCACTTCGGCTGGGAACCCCAACTCCAGGAGGCTGAGGGAAAGCCTTCGATTATGTCAAAGATCGACGTGTTCTATGCAGAAGACGATCAGCATATCGCCCCAGAAGACTTAGGGCAAGATTTCTATTCCTCGGAAAGGTTCACAAGCAAACTGATTGAGTACCTTTCTGACCGCCGACAAAATCAAGAGACTAAATCCAAACCTTTCTTTGCGTATCTCGCCTACAGTGCGCCGCATTGGCCGTTACAAGCCCCCGAGCACGACATTCTGGATTACAGAGGCGTTTACGACGACGGCCCTGAAGCTCTTAGACAACAGCGGCTAGCGAGGCTGAAGCAGCTTGGTTTGATTCCTCATCATACTGTTCCCCATGACGTTATTGCGGTTGGCGGGCAGAGCCTATCCAGAGAATGGAGCACGTTGAATGCCGAAGAAAGACGACGCTCTTGTCGAACCACGGAGTGTTTTGCTGGCATGGTACAGAATATGGACAGGCAAATTGGACGTGTGCTCGACCATCTGACACAGACGGGTGAGCTTGAAGACACAGTGGTGCTGTTTATGTCAGATAACGGCGCCGAAGGCCTACTCCTGGAAGCCATTCCCCTGATTAAAGGCGATGTGCACGATCATATCGCCAAATACTATGATAATTCCCTGGATAACATGGGTAAGAAGAACTCTTTCGTGTGGTATGGGCCACATTGGGCCTCAGCTGCAACAGCACCTAGCCGCTTATACAAACTTTTCACCACGGAGGGTGGTGTGAGGGTGCCCCTTATTCTCAACTATCCGCGGCTGACCACTACGCAAGGCGGGATTGACGGTTCCTTTTGTACAGTGATGGACATTATGCCAACTATCCTGGATCTCGCTGGTGTCCATCATCCGGGAACAATGTACAAAGGGCGGCCAGTTGTGCCCATGCGCGGGAAGTCCTGGGTTCAGTATCTGCGGGGCATCACGACACAGATTCATCCCGATGACTTTGTCATGGGATGGGAGCTTTACGGCAGGCAGGCCATAAGACAGGGCGACTATAAAGCGGTTTACATCCCTAAGCCATATGGACCGGAGAAGTGGCAGCTCTATAACTTGAGAGACGACCCTGGAGAAACCAATGATCTAGGGGAGCTGAAGCCCAGGGTTTTGAAAGCCTTATTATTGCAGTGGGATCGATACTCAATGGAAGTGGGGATGGTCGCAGGGGGGAGTATGCCTTTTGTGAAGGCAGAGCTATAACTCGAAGCAGATCTCCTAGCGGTATTTGTTGCTACAGACACCACGATAGTTGATAATAGAGCATCATGCAATGTAATTTGAAATGCTTGCAGGGGCCAACCCAATATTCAAATATCAACATAGAACGATAGCAATCCACACAAACAACATTGGACAACATCATAGACATTTCCTCTCTAGCTCTGCCGGAAGTCAGAAATATCGTTGCACCAATGCTGATATCTGTACAGTCGATCATACATGAGCAGGAATACTGTCGAGCCATGACATGTCGCTCATATCCAACAGAAGATCATTGATATCGGCCAGATCCCCTGCTTCACCAAAGTTGGCTATTCCATGTGTCGGAACATCTGGATTGTTCAGTCCGGCATCTAGCTGCCGTCCACAGTTATTATTGTTGGGGGCTAGGGTGGTTTGTGGTTCGTTCCCCATGGCGAGGGTTATGGTCGTTGATAAAATCTCTAGCGCAATAGCGCACTTGTGCGCTGACTCGCTCATTGGCGCGATGGCCTCAAGTATTTGAACTACATGGGACCAGGAAACGGCGTTGATGTATCCTGGATCTGAGTCGTGAAGGCGTGGGTGTAGCCGAGATGCTAAAAGAACAGTGGCAGCACTGTAAAGGTCTGGGAGAGTTGTTAGACAGCCTTGGGCCGAGAGGTGATACTGGGATGGGCTTACAAAACGTATTGTACCACCAGGATGGAAGTGATCCAATGGATCCATCCCGTGGGAAATTCGCGAATATCAGGTCAATGAGCTCATGGGCAGCTTGGAGGCATAGAATAGAGCAGCGAAGAATCATCCACTGATGCAAGCTCTCTTCCACGTGTGGATCAGCTTCATCTGACTGTGTATCTGACAGGCAGAACAAAGAGAACACAGGTCGAAACAGAAGAATCCTTGCATGTAGCAGTCTGTTTCTCGTAGGTCAGAGGATCATCGTGTAATGATATCGGTTTTGATCCATACCTTGCCCTGCATACAATTGATTGTCTGCGAATGGTGTCGTTCACCAGCGATTCAGGCCGCGAGGGCTGGAGATGAAGGGGCAAACCGTTGGACCAATTTGTTAAATCCTTATCCAATCGTACGATGGTGGTCATGTCCGTGTTATGCAAGTCAGCTCGCTGGGGCCTAGTCCGTCCTCTCCGTACCGCATCGTTGTGCATATACAAGGCCGTTAGGATGTCGTCGACTATGGCATAGAGCTCCAAAATCTTTATATAAAAAGCGAGAGGGGGCGGCATTTCTGTGGGTGGAGCACTGGCAACGGTAATATCATATAGCAGAAACTCCTCGTCTGTGATGGACGGGTATGGTCTCGCCTCTGCCACAGTCTTGGAGACCATGGATGGGCGACCCAGTGCCATGGCAACCAAGCTGCATGTTATTATTATTATTGAAGCGCTCAAAGGTCTTTGCAAAATGGTTGACTCACCGGTCCATCAATATGCAACCGTGCCAGATCCTCCTGAACAGCCCCCTTTCTTGTAGACTTTGATCCAGCCAAGCAGGCTCCGGAAGATGCAATCCCATTTCTTGAGCCATCCTGACAGCCTGGCCAACTGACATCCAACATTGATGGACTTCATTTGTGCTCTGCAAATACTGAGCCATTATCAACAGACACTGGATGGTTTCAATCGAGCCGGACTCCCAAAAGGTCAAGCTGAGCAGATCGCGCGCCCGCTGAAAATACACTTTGGAGGTAGGTATCCTCTGCGTGATAGGTATTGAATCCGTAATGCACGAGGATAGAGCGAAAATGGAGTTAAGCAAGCACAGATACGTCCTTTCGTCCCCATCGAGTGGCATACCAGTCCAGATCCGGTGGTATGATTTCTCAAACGTTTGCCGAAGGAGAAATGGGTTCAGTGGATGTATGACCTCCCAGTACCGAGAAACAAGGCTGTCCGCATTTCTTCTTGACGGTAGCTCATAATCCAGGTATTCGCATATTCGCTGCGAAGTACCCCTACCTGCGTCGGGGGCTGGTACCACGTTTGCAGACGCTCTGGTCTCGGGAACAGCAGCGTAGCCGGCTACCTTTGCATTGATGGCCGCCCTGACCTGTTCGAGGAACACGCTCGCGGAGCTGCTGCCAAAGAATCCCGCGCCGGGAGCTCCTGCAGCACCAGTCATTGATTCGATACCGTAGTTGGTGTCGCGTTCACCGATGCCAGGTTGGCCAGGCGGTGGTGAATTTTGGTGTTGACATGTTTGATGGGATGATGAAAACCAGTCTTCGTCCAAGCCCGAGGTGCTATCTCCAGAGGTTTCTCGACCTTCTCTGCTATTATCGTACTCACAAGACGTGCGCTTGTCACGCTTTCTCATGCAGGCTGTGCAAACTGCCACTGCCGTTTAGTCGTCGATTTTAAGTCAATCGGTAGAGTTTCTTCGCGTTTGCAACAAGATATGACCTACCAGGCCGGATTCCATCGCACTTGACCTTCCGAAGCCTGCATGGATTGCATGCTAACGAAATCTTTTCACGCTTTCTTTTCAGAATGGAGGTGCCATTGCCATCACCAGCCATGTCGGAAATCAAATACAAGGTGGAGAATGAAATGCGGAGAGCAGGAAGCGGAGAAGCGAGCCGCGGGGATACCAGTGCGCAGTCTGGGGAAGTTAATTATGTAAAGCAATATCTTCTTGTCTCCAACTCGGTAGTGGGTGCCGGTTCTTGGTTTGGAGTTGTTTGTTTGGTGGCTTGATTTATTTGTCGCGCATGGATCCACCAAGCAGTATAATATATATGACAGCAAACCAGGACAGAAAAGTCCGACGTCCTACTACTATGACTATCCAATACGGAAAATCTTCTTTTCATGAATCCCCGATTGCACGGTCTCTGATTCATCGGCGTTAATCTCCCGGTATAGAGCATCTGCCTCGTCGTTGCGAAGCTGCCTTCTGAGACACCCCGCAAGATTTGTCTTTGCTGCCAAAATTTGTGCGTGAGAAAGACCCTCCGGCTCGGCGAGGACTCTCTTCAGAAAGCCCTCTGCCTCCTGCAGCCGACCCAGTCTGGTAAGAAATCCGCCAATGTTGATGGCGACGGTGTTCCGGTGCTCGGTATCGCGTGCCTCGTACCCAAGTGCCTGCTGTTCCCGGAGCCAACTAACCAATTCGTCGACGATACTGGTGGCCAGTTGAGGAAGGCCAAGCTGCTGCATCATGATGGCATAGTTCATTTTTGACCCAGGGCGCTCCGGGGTGAGCTCGCGCATTTGGGCCGGGCTGAGCGATCCGATTTCAGAAAACATCCTGGCAACAGCATCCATATCTGCTTTGGCGAGATGTGCATTTACCATTCCTTGCAAGCAACGGAGGGTCCTTGGGTCATGTAAGCCAGCAAGCCTTTGACTCAGTTGATAGGCCCTCTTGGCGAATATGATGCCGCTTTGAATATCCCCATGGCCTGCACTGTGCCTTGCAAGTCGATCAATGGCCCAGATAGCTTCCCACCCTGTCCCAAGGCCATCCATTCTGGCATTAGCCAGCTCGACGACGAACTGTTCATCGGGACCTGCCCCAATCGAGCAACAAATCAACACAAGGCCACTTTCGCGTATGACCTCCGGGACCCTTGCATCGAGTAGGGGATCGGCTTCGAGATCTCTTCCCTGATCCAGGAGGAAGAAGGAAAGGACGAGGATGGTGTCTAGCGGGGTGGAACAATCCCATCGAAGAGCGAGCAAATCCAGCTTCACCTCTTGGTATATGGCAGCTGCCTCACTGTCAAGTTTGTATCGCTTAAACTTCCGCATCTGTTGGAGGCGGGCAAGTGTCCGATTTCGCCGAGCCTGCGAGTCGGACAGATACTGAGTTTTATGGAGGAGATCCGCCATCTCGGCACCATCGGAAAGGCCCAGTAATCGACCGTGGACATCCTGGAGTGTGAGGGTCTGGCCCTCATCGATTGTATGCCCAAACATAAAGAAAGGCAGGCGCTCAAAATCCGGGGACTGCGTAAATCGCGTCCACCGACGGATAACCTCAAGGCACCCACGGAATAGTTCCTCGGCCGTATCGAACAGCTGGGAGTCTATATGCAGCTGCGCCAGGCAATTGATGATCATGATTACCTCTGCATGGTCCGCAGGAAGTGTCTTGCCAATCGTAAGGAAGACCAACTTGCGGCACTCGGCCCGACACGATACGACGGTCCTTGTGTTAGAGAGAGGTTGAGCTTTCCGGAGCCAATCCTCGAGCTGCAAATTATAGGACTGTGCCACCGCTAGGCAAGGATTCCACTGCGCAAGCAAGGTGAACAACTTCTGGAAAGATATCGAGCTCATGAACGTGGCCAAATAAGATACCAACTCTGCAGACGGGGCAGCACGAGTAAGGAGCCAAATCCACCTTGATGCGGCAATCGTTGCTAGTCCTGGTCTCGCAGAATCATCTGGAGACTGTCGTTGAATTTGTGTTTCGAATTTGGATGTGGTCATATACCGCAGGAGGTCAACCGCTGCGTCTCCGCGTGCCTTTTTAAGTGGCAAAACTGGTGAAAGGCCCGCGGAATCGCTACTGGACGAGCGTAGATCTGTAGTTCCAGAAATAAGGAACTGCCTCACAGAGGGGGCTGCAAATCGGACATGGCCCTTGCTATCCGGCCCATTGACCAGGCCTCGTAGACACCCATCCAGTATATCCTGAGAGGTTCGTCCAGAATAGGGATACAGGGTTAGTAGTTCATCCAATTCTTGTATTGTGAGCGGAGACGGTAAAGCTATCATCCACTGAAGTATTTTGATACCACAGTTTCGTAACAAGGGAGTCTCCATATAAAGCCTTTCCAAGGCCGTCGAAAGCAAGCTATCCATATCTTGAGGAAGGGGAGAGCACAACCGTTCTTGGTATGTCTTGGCCGTTACTGCGATGTAATAATGACTGCCCATCGAACTGTTCACAAGGAGTTCAGGGTCGAGTAAATTGCAGGATGGTTGTGTTCTGCATGATTGACTATCCCGTAGTACAGCGGTTGCGTGAAACCTGATATCTTTGGAGATGGTCGAGCAAGGAATTTCTAGTACTGTCCACCGGGGTTTGGATGTTGACGGCGGATTCTGGTGCGGCTGCTGGCGACTCATGGCCAGGACCTTGATATTATGTTGCGGGCCGGACGACGGTCCCAAAATTGCCCTCAGCAGTATCGACTGGTCAGAAGAATCCAAGTTGTCCATTCCGTCCAGAATGCAGTGAGTGTATTCGAAATGGGTTAGAAGGGAATGAAGCGCTATCCAGAGACTGCCCAGTGGCACACCCTCAATCAATGGAATATGGAGCAGTGGAACCCGTGCACAAAGCTCTGGACGCTGCGTATAGAGTTGAGAAATCACATTCTGTAGAAAGGTCGCAATTGCTCTTTGTCCCTCCGTGGGGTCACAGAACGAGAAATAAATAACAGCTGCAGTGTTTCCTGAGTGGGGTTGCTTGTCGAGACATCTTTGGATAATGCGAGCAGCACATGCTGACTTTCCGCAACCAGATGGCCCTTGGATCCACAGATTAGGGAGATCAAGAGATGGGCTTAGCCACTGCAGGTAAGCTGTATTATTCGCAAGCCATAAGTCCAGGTGAGACCCCCTGCCCATTCCGGCCTTGCTGATAAATGCCGCATCATTTGCAGGGCTCAGGTACCGCATATGGCGTTTCAAGGCATCTCCTTGCTGCGGAAGAGTTGAACTTCGATCGTCTTCCAGACGAATAGGAGGAGCGGCCCCTAGAAACCCAAGCTCCTGGAATTTTCCGGTCTGTGTAGAGGTGAACGCTATAGCATTCAAAGGGACATTAACGTGGGCTCCTGACTGAGTGGGAAGGAAGAAACCTACCAGCTTTCAGATCTGATGCACTGACAAAGCTGATGGCTACGACTTCCCCGTCATGCCGGAGCCTGTGTGCTTTCCTGGCAGGGGATGTTGCTTTTGGTGGATCAGGCTCGCATGGACGAGTTGCTGCATGTAAGGCCTGGCCCTGAGAGAGCAACGCCGCTTCGATCATGTGTTCCGTTTGCATATCCCAATGCCAGTCATAGTGAACAAGCAGTTCGTGGCTTTGGAACAGGGGAAGCGAGCTATCAGAGGCATATTTGATAACAGACACGAATTAGGAGACTTACCTTGTAGTAAAGGTTTTGCGACAATGTTCACATGAGACGGGCTCGTTTACATCTGGATGGCACGTATTTAAGCAGTCAATTCAAGGCTGGGTACCGTTCAGACTTACGAGTTCTGCTGTGCAGGTCACGATCACCCTCCGATGGATATGCCAGGGCACATTTACTGCATCTAAAGACCCAGTGGTAGGGCTGACGCTCATCCGAGATGCGCACGTATCGCTCTTCGATCCGATACCCGGTGGGCTGGTAACTATCATTTCGTCTTAATTGAAACACCTAGGAAAAAGGGATTGAGAAACCAGGCCGCTACCTATCAATGATGAGAACCCAGCAGAGGATATTTGTCCCGGCACAGTCCGAAGACCTTTCGTGTTCGAGAAGGAGCTGCCTGTGATTACAGCTGGTTAGGGAGTTTGAGGGATCATGAGACCGTGTGTACAAACCTATCTGCGAAAACTGACTGACAAAACCGACACGGATACCTATCAAGTCCGGTCGTAGGGCCCTCGATAGTAGGAGACGACATCGATTGACTCTGGTCCCCAAGCAAAGTTCCATTGGCAGACGGTGCCTCCGTTGAACGAGCGGGCGCCCGGCGGTATACTGCACCATAGCTCCTGCCGGGGAACACCCTTTTTTGAATATCTGCATGGTGCTGGAGATGTTGTTTGAACTCCTCCCTGGACCAAGTGGTTAGTTTATTTGGCAAGTGGATGGGATTCTGGGAGTTTACTGCTGCTCAAAGCTCGCACCGCAATGCTTACACTGCATCCTGAAGTTGAATGTGAAATGGTCCAACGAACAAGTGGCGCCCTCAATGATCAGTCGGTTTATTTATGGAGTACGCGAGAGAGGGAAATCGTGAGGAGCCACAGAATGGGGAATCCTGGCGAGCTCAGCCTCAGCCACTGCGCTAAAACATGCGAGAATATGCAGTGCACGGTTAATAAAATGACCACGACGATCAGCTGGAGCGACATCCCACGTCCACACCCAGGCTGGTAACATAAGGAATTTAATTGAGAGCCCGGTGGGTTTATATTTGCAGTCATCGACACCGACCGGTCCATCACCCACAGACATGCACTGTCTTCACTGCTCCCAAGAGTTTACCGATCAGTCAGTTGTCACGCCGGCATGATGGCACCGATATCAAGGAATTGAACTAACAGCAGCTTCAGATCACAATTAAACGCCCACTATGATGAGCACGCGGAGATTCAACGTCGAGTTCACCCCGGGCGAGTATACGGGGCCCGCTACGAGACAAAGGGCCACGTCATCTCGCCAGGTAAGATAAAATCCCCTGGTCCCGGGCATCGTGCAGTATCATTGTCTGAAAAGGATATATAGGCCACTCGCTAATCTGTCTAACTAGGCGGTGCTGAATCCGACCCAGAACAGGCTTCATTCAGTGCTATTGGCAAAGATTCATTCCCCCTGAAGGAGCAAGAGCCCGGCAAGAAAGCACAACGGCTCTCCGACATCAGCCAGTTCATGAACCAGGAAAACGGTCTGCTTGTATTTCGTCGCTTTTCCGAACTGAGTATCCAGAACCTCGTCCACATGCAGACCGAGATTGCGGAACTGGAACATCGCGTCAAACAACAAAGTGATTCAGCGGGCACAATCCCCTGGGGCAGTCCCTCGAATCAACTCAGGGATACGCTCTCAGACAAGCTGGAGAAATATCGTGAGCTTTCCACGGATATTATGATATCGAGCTGTAGTCCCGGACTAACTGCCGTGTAGACAAAGCTCTGCTGATCCAGTCACAATTGCGCAAGCTGAAACGTCCAGAAGATGAGTTTATCCAGATTCTGAGCGACTGGGCAGCAGACTCTCAGCTTCTTGTCGAACCAGATGGCGCATTCTTAGCCGATCAGCCTCAGCTTCGAAGTGACTTGGTGTCGCTGAACTCCGGCGCAGAACGGAAAGTCTGGGCCTATCGCGTCGTAGAAAGATTGGTCTGGAAGTTGCTTGTCAAGGTAAACCCCGTATTAATGAGCTGAAGGGTAAACATCTCATGCCCACTTTTGCAGGACAAAAACCGTAGTGCGGTGACCGTCTACGACCACGGGGGGACTCTCTACACGTACAATGACGAGGCCGTCGCGGCGGTGGTCCGAGTGGTGCTGACAGTCTTGATCGCTGCACTTCTGATTATCCCAATTATTCTCCTCTACTTTTTCAGGACGGGGCCAAACGCCCTTATAGTGGTTACGGTATGCACTGTCGCCGTCGCGGCTTTGATTGCCCTGTCCACCGACTGTCGCAATCACGAAATCCTGATGGCAGCCGCAGCGTAAGTACATATTCACAGCTAGACCCAGTGATTTACGTCTTCTAACCAAGTAACCCTTTAGATATGGTGCCGTCATGATAGTCTACGTCGAGCACTGAGCCGGGGGCATGGTTTTGGAGGCTCCCATCGAGTCACGAAGGAGGGGACAGCGGTGATTTTGGGGGGAAGAACAAGGATGTTATTGACAAGAATGCCCACAGGGAGGCAGTGCAATCAGAGAACTAATCAGAGAGTGTGCCCAGCCACGAAGATGCCATTCAAAGTTTGTTCTGGTCAATCACATCTGTCAGGCCCCGCACCGCAAGGCTGATCCTCGTATTCCCAAGCCAATTATAAAGGGGCACGACGTGGAAAAGACTCGGTTTCAATGCTTCAACCTGGCGTGATTGAGGCTCAAGAGTCTCGTCCTGTCAAATCTCTCGTATTCTGTCGCGGGAGACAGACCGTATTAGAAATATCTGCCCAGTCTCTCTCAGTTCCTTATATCTTACTTTGTACAGCAATACTCTCTGCTTCGGGTTATCCTGGACAGTGTTGGAAACAATGGACGCGTTGATGAGCACTCAGCAGTGCAAGCACTGTGAGAAGATCTTTTTCAATCGGTGAGTAGGCTGCGCCGGTTGTCATGATTGGGTTTAATACGTCCACCAAGCTCGCTCTGGCAGGAGCACTATGACTTGCATACGGGCATCCAACTCCAATTGGGCCGTTCAGCTCGGTATCAGCCAGTGGACGAGTCTAAGGCGCCGGTAGGCACGACAGACCAGCTCGACGCCTTGGTCGCCCGCCTGCAGCTCCAAAGCGATGATATCGACAGGAAAGCCCGCCCGGCGTTAAGGAAGGACGAAGGAAAGGAATCGAATCTACTTCCCAGTCCGGCGCAAATGGAACAGTACTTGCAAAAGGCGATTGCGGACTTCCCCCCGTATGAAGGTGGAGGAATCGACAATGTCGTTTCAGAGCCTACAATCAAATGTCCGGACTGCGACTTCTGCTTCTATGCACAGTACGTCTATCCCGAAACACAGCTAGTTTACCTCTCTGGTTTCACAATATCATTAAGACTTCCTTAGAGAACAGCGCGACGAGCATCACCTTTCAAGATACTGCCGGGGGAACCAGATCGAAGTCTATATCATGACGATCGACAGGCAAGTCCCCTGAGAATGCGCATCCGGGCCAGTGATCTAATAATTCATTTCCATTCTGCAGCTCAGCTATTGGAGGGTATCGGGTATACAAGGAAAGTGTTCCGTTTGAGAGCACATCGGCACATTTCAAATGCAGCAGGTGTAGTAGTATCTTTGCCACGGATGCCGAAAGAAAACAGCATGAATCCATCCGTATGGCTTGCCGTCTAAATCATTTTAAATGGCCTTCACTGAGACTGGTCAGATCCGATCGAGCAAGCCAAATGTGTCCACTGTGAAAAGATACTTCCAAGCCAGTAAGCCACTCCCTTCCACACTGCCTATCATGAGGCTCATCGTCCTGCAGGTACGAGCTGGAGCTGCATTATTTGTGGCATGACGACATACACCTCAGACAGCACATTGATCGCAGGGTTGAACAAATGAAGGAACAACGAGGTGGATCTCAATCGTGGAGTATGGCCTCCCTCCACTATCACCACTCCTGGTCTTGCTAACTCCTGCCTGGGATAGATAACACAGGGACAGATACCAGTGACCCAGTGACGGGCCCACCCCTTCATGTCCGAAGCCCCTGGAATAGAAAAGGTAAAGATCCCAGCATCTGAATATCTTAAATATGTGTTCGATTCACTGTTGACCGTGCTATCAGGTGGCTTCCCGCAATACGATGGGGACGTGGTCGCGATCAGCTTTCTTAGCCAAGAAGATCTCGAGATACGTGAGCTTTCCGTTCCTTGTATAGCCATGAAAAGGACAGAGATACTAAACTATGGACAGGATATGCGCCAGATGGCGTGTTGAAAGACTTATCCAAGGAGACCACCCATCTCTGTTTGCCAAGCGCCGTCAGCAACAAGATTGACGAGTCCACAACACAGAAAAAGCGCTCGTACAGGAAGTCATTGAAGGCCATGTTCAGCGGTATAACCCCCTAAACAACGTTCGTGCACTGGTGTTGACATTTGGCAGGACGAAGCAAAGACGCGTCCCGGTCTCCCTCCCGTCAGTCAGAACGTCCATCACTCGGGAGCAGCTCAAATGTAGGCTCTCGAGGCCTTGGTAATAACGATGTAGAAGAGCATATGGAGTGGCAGCTCTTTTATCGCCATATCCGTTCTGACTGGGTCCTGACACACCATCGAAGTCAACACGTTGAATTACATGCTGGGGAAGACCTCGGGACCTATAAAACTAGTCAATCTCGAACCCTGACCCTTCCCAGCAGGTTGGCCCCAGAAGAGCTCCAATCGCGGTTTGAAGGTCTCCTGGGCGAGATAGCAGACTATGCAAACCACAACCATGTGGACAATATAGCCGGATTGGAGAGCGTTATCAGTGAAATCAACGCCGCCGGGGGTCCGAGTAGGACTCACATCGAGAGGCTCCAGGACTGGCTGGGTAATGAGGAAAAGCGAATTGCAGCCACGAACAGCGAGATCAACACTTTGTCTGGTCTTCCGGTTCTCGGCCATGGATCTCCTTCACGGATCCTTGTGCGAGACCGTGTCGGGAGAGCAAGACTGATGACCGGGCAGGATTTAAGCAGGGTTATTTGCCATGCAATCGGTCCCCCGCGCGGATCTCTCGATGTAGTCCGAATGGCGCTTGGAGGGCGTGGAGAGGCGGCCCTGGCCCGGGGACGCATACAGGATGCCGAACGGGCATATTCAGACATGTTTCGGGCCATGCAAAGACATTATGGCGACGAACAACTGCAATTCATACTGCTCGCGCATCTTGCCGGAAACGTGTACAAGAAACATGGCAACATGTCGGATGCCGCAGGAATGTATATGCAAGGTCTCCGTTGCAGCCAGAGATTGTACGGCCTGAGAAGCGTGAATAATTTTACCATGATGACCAACATAGCCATCTACTATGAGGATATCGGCCGTCTGGATGATGCGACAGCCCTATATCGTCGCTCGGTAAGAGGGCGGATCAATGCCGGTGAGAAGGAGGACGCCCTCATGAACATACAGGAACTTTCGACCGTGTACCGGAAGATGGGGAAGGATCAGGAAGCCCTGCAGTTCGTTGAACAGGCGTATACTGGGTATACTCAGGTAGTAGGCCCGGATCATCGAATGACGCTCTTGACGCTGAACAACTTGGCCGCGTATCTTTTCACAGCAGGCTCAATTGAACGCGCGCAGTCACTGCTCGGTCCAGCCCTCCCTGCTATTACACGAGTTCTCGGACTGGACGACCCGGTCGCTTGGGGATCAGTGTGCAATTTCGTCATGTACTATCACGGCGCCAGCTTCCCTCCTACCGTCACGCAGGTCATTGACCAATATATGGCGCAGAACACCCCGGCATCTCTGAAAGTCCTCAACGGAATTGGTGATCATTACGGAAAGAATAACCTGATCCGAAAAGCTATGGAAACATACCGTGCTCTCCACGAGAAGAGAATGTCCCTTTTGGGACCCTCCCACCCGGAAACGTGGAGCTCACTGTATGCCTATGCGTATACTTTGGATCGGCTCGGCGAGACAAGTGAAGCATTGAAGCAATATCGCGTGCTTGCCTTGCAGCCACAGCCTCGATCCCTACTACCCGAGTCGCAGGTTCAGGCATGTCAGGCTGCCGTGCAGGACTTGAGCCGAAAGCAGGCTGCTATAGATAAAGAAAAAGCGGAATGGGGATTGACTACAGCGCGGAAGTGCTCCTTGCAGGCCTGCAGTAACTCCACGCTGAGGTTTTGTTCAGGTATGTCTCCGTCACACATTTGTCCTCTCCCGCCGTTTCCCATCCATCAACCTCATGTTCCGAAGAGAAACCATTTATAGCTGACAGATGGACGACTACAGACTGCCGCCTGGTGCGGTTCTGCTCAGCAGCGTGTCAAAAACAAGACAAATCCCACCACGGGGCCTGCATTCCTTCGGTGACGCTCACCGAGTCCACATTTACCATCGTCGAGAACATACAGGACAAACCCTCCGTCGTCAAAGACGGTGACTTCCTATTCACTCAGTTGCAACTATCTCGTCGGCCTAGATGTGAGTCTGCGAGAGACGTCTTCATCGATCCCAGCAACTTCACCACCATTCGGATATCAAAACGACCTTCCCACATTCTCAGCTTCCAGGCGAACCCGGGTCTGGACCTCCGATTCACGATTCATCGCTCGTCACCTTTCACATGGCTGACGCCTAAAGAGTCCAATATGCTTTGCATGTTGAATGACGTTGAGGACTCCTTCATCGTTGTTGCGCCGGGGGAGTCTATGATGAAGGGCCTGGTCGCGGCGCGGGACAAAGTCTTTGGGACCGACTCTGGAAACGTGGATATTCCAGATCGAAATCTCGTCGAGTTTGCCCAGACCGGAGAGGGAAGTGATAGACGGTTTGTTCTCGGGTTTATCGTGACAGAATGGTCTCTATAACCATACTTTGTGGCAGGGTTCAGGCTTCTTGAGTACTTCGGCAGACCGTACCTAGACATCCACGACGAATTAACAGGCGCTGAAAGACTGAAGGAAGGGAGCATGCCCAGGCAAATTCTATGTAGAGGACAATTTTAATATATAGTATCTATAACTGCGGACCTTATATGGCTCTCAGACCTTCGATGGCCATGCACGCGCCAAAGCCTCGCATTTGACGATTCGCCGAGCTCGCCACTATAGATGCTGTAACTCCACCGACCGGCAATATTTTCGCTGTCAATGCCATATTTCCGCATGCATGAATCAGTCGCATTTCGGTTCGCCGAATCTGCCGGGGATTGGGCTCTATGCTTTCGGCGGACTCGGGAGCACTTCGGCGACCGCAGACAGTCCACCACCTGATTGCACTTACAACGCAAAGTAGCCCTAAGTAACCTATAGAATAAAACTACTATTGGATACTGAGCAAGATCGCATATGATGCCTGTCGGTGGTCAGCGGGCGATCGCCGAATGTTATAGAACGGCCATGGTATGGCAATTGTTTTGGGAGCTATAACAGAGCCCATGCCCTCAGTTGTTGGCTTGAACAATACCACGATGATTTTCACTCGCAACTGCCACCTGAAATGCCCCACGAGTCCCAGGTCAATGGATACAACTACCCAGAAGGCGGGCTGCGGGCCAACCTCGTCGTGGCTGGAAGTTTCAGCTCGATAATGGGCGGACTGGGACTGATGAACAGCATCGGCATCTACCAAGCTTGGATCTCGGCGCATCAACTCTCGTCCCTAAGCGCCGGGCAAATAGGGTGGATCTTCGGAATCTATAACTTCATGGTCTTCTTCTGCGGTATCCAGATCGGCCCTGTTTTCGATTCGCGCGGCCCACTGCTGCTAATGTGCATCGGGTCTGCATTGCTCATCATAACCTTCATCTGCATTGGCTTTTGCACAATATACTGGCATTTCCTCGTTGTCATAGGGATTCTAGGTGGAATGGGCACCAGCTTCATGTTCATTGTCCCCGTGGCGTGCATCGGTCATTACTTTTGCCGCAGACGCGGCGCGGCAACGGGGCTGGCGTTATCCGGGGGCAGTATTGGGGGTGTGATATTTCCGCTGGTACTCGAGACGCTGGCACCGAGAATTGGATTCGCGTGGGCGACTCGAGTAATCGGCCTGATTACGCTCGTCCTCTTGATCCCGGGCGTGTTGCTCGTCCGCGCGAATCTCCCACCTAAACCGCCGTCGGCCAAGGTGTTTTTGCCGGACCTTTCAATCCTGAAGGAGCCTGTTTTAGCTCTAACGACCATGGGCGTGTTCTTTATTGAATGGGGGTTCTTCATCCCGCTTGAGTATATCGCTTCTTACTCCCTGCAAACTGGCATTGACCGCCGAACAGCATACCTGATGGTCGTCTTCCTGAACGCAGGCTCATTCCCTGGTCGTTGGCTGCCTGGTATTGTAGCAGACAAGATCGGACGATTCAACACACTGCTGTTAACCAACATCGTATGCCTGGTCTCTGTGCTGGCCGTCTGGATGCCGGCAGCCGGCAACATTGCCGCAGTCATTATATTCTCGGTGGTATTTGGTTTCGCGAGCGGGAGCAACATTAGCCTCGTACCTGTATGCGTCGGTGAATTGTGTCCGGTTGAGAATTATGGTCGGTACTATACAACTGTTTATACCATTGTTAGCTTTGGGTAAGTCTCACCCCTGTCCTGCGATAATATTACTCGTACTAGTTTTATTGCTAATCCTTCCAATAGGGCTTTGACCGGGGTCCCCATTGCAGGGGAAATTCTTCACCGCTGTAATGGACAATACTGGGGACTGATTTCTTTTGCGGGGTGTGCATATGCGGCTGGAATCGTATGCTTTTCGATTGCTGTGTGGGTTGGGGGGAGACAGAACGTTCGCAGCACGGCCAAAACCAGCTTTGAGACTAGAGACGACCTGATGACCTTATCCTGACTTACTTGAATAGCTGTGAACCTCTTCGGGGAGCTATATAGTAACGGTCCTGTGGGACGCTGGAGTCAACTATTTATATATAGAGATAACGACATAGAGGATGCATTTATAAATATATCTCCACCTAGGATTTGGCAGTTTTGCTGCATCTGAGCAGCATAAAATATTTATTCTATCGATATACTGATATAGGCATTAATAGAATGGATCCCGACAGTATGTGATTACAAAGGATAGATGAATTTCAGATTCTGTCGGTCAGTCAGATCCAGATCTCCCCCTCCGACCTTTACAATCTCACTCCCCGTATCCATCACTTCGTCTCTTTCTGATTCGTCACCCTGCTCAGCAAGGAGCTGCTTTCGACGTCGGTTTTCGCGGTCAAGGTAGAATCGAATGATAAGGCACATGCCCGGAGAGATGACCCAAAAGGCCGTCATGAACGACCAGGGCAGCACATATCGTGGGCTATACTTTGATTGCCAGAACCTACCAGAGGATTAGCTGGCCAGTCCTGTCGGTGGAGATAGACACTCACTCTGGGGAAATCATATTGGCGACGGCTGCGGCCACGACACATGAGGACATCAGACAGACCTTCTTGGTGTGCCCTGTTGTAGTCGTTCCAGCCCACGAAAGGCCGAGGAGGTAAGATGGCTTGAATGATGAGATTTGTGTCCCTACTACCAAGGCTACTTTGTTTGACCAGGGGGAAGACAGCTGCAGCGAGTATTAGAAGTAGTCGACAGATACTTGTTAAGTTATATTCAATACTAACCTCAATAATACCTCCAATTATGCAAGGAAGATAAGATATTGCACATGTATAGCCAGTTCCTAGATCGGTGCCGTATAGCATCGCGGCGGAGGCAAGAAGCAATGCACACCCCCAAAGAGGCTTCGCAACATTGAAAAGTGCGCTCTGAGCAGGAGTAAAACCAAAGCCCACAATGATCAAGGGTACCTGTGCTGAGGTATTACTTGGAAGTTCATTGAAGAACATGTGGAATCTGCAGTCATCAGCGGTTTGCCAGTATGCTATAAACAAGTAATAAGTTAAGGCGAGAGGAAGCACATACATAAATAGCCAAGTCTTGACATCGGTAAAGCATTCATGCACTTGGGACCACTTGACTGTTGAATTCGTAATCCCTGCGCGTGTTTTGCGAATAATTTCAATTGTATGGACCTTTTGCTCAGTTGAAAGCCACTTCGCCTCTACAGGCGAATTAGGCAGGAATAAGACAAGAGGGACAAAGATAGTGAACGTTATAATAGCACACATAATATGTAGCCATTTCCAGGAGGAAATACCCCCAGCAAGTCCACCTGCGCTTTCGTTTTTCAGAAGCTTGTATGCAACCATGGTAAGAAGGACATTAGCTAAACTTCCGGCCGTCCACCATAGTAACTGGACCCAGGGGCTCTTCTTCGGGGGAAAGAATGCTTGGTGGAGTATCGCTGTAGACGGCACAACCTGTGACTCTGTCTGTATAGAAGTTCTAGCAACGGTTGAAACATATACTTGTGGAGTATCAGGCTTACCATGCCTAGGAGGAAGCGTACAGCCATCAGCTGCCTGCCTGTCCGGACAGCTGGGTGGACGCCTATCAAAACAGCCCAGAGGAAAAGCGAAGCAGTAATGAATTGTTTGTGGCCAACTCGTTGGGAGAGCCAGGCACCAGGCCAGAGAGCGATTAAGTAACCGACATAAAAAAGCGTAAAGAGTATATTATACTCATTTTTCGTCATATCGACGTCTCTGAAGATGCCCATGGTGCTGGCAGACGATAGCGACGACTTGTCAAGGTGGATCAAGAAGGATATCCACCATGTCTGTCCGAGCAGAAACCAAAAGTTCCGACGGATGATTTTGCCCTCGATTTCAGGGGTCAGAGGGCGAACATTGCCCTTGTTGACGTTATAGAAATACGTCGTGTCGTCGACCTCGCCCTGGCTGACCACAACCGGGCCTCTTTCCGGGGGAGATTCGTGGCCGGGGGAGCCCTTATCGGCATTAACAGCCGAGAAGTCTTTGGCAGTTGTATTGCTTGACATTGTTCCCGATCAGATCTCTTGATGATTCACCGGCAAAAATCTGACCGGTCACGGACGACTTCTTATAACGAAGCATGTTTCGATCCACCTGTCAGGCCGGGATTCATCACTCGCCTTTTTACAGTGGGCCTGAGGGAAACGGTCAAAGCACAAACTGCTCGGAAGTATGACAAGCGGGGTGTATCACTTCGCTCAGCGTACGACATAAGGACCCCTCGGCCAGCCGATATTCCCCTTTAGGAAAGGTATCAGAGTAGCCCACGTCATGGGTCAACCATCAGCCCCGCAGCGTGGGCTGGCCTGGCGAGTTCTGACACACATTTTGACAAATTGTATATAAACATGCATTCACATATGCGCTCAATCCTGCTCATCCTGGAAACTACAAATTACCCTCGAACGCCCCCTTTTAGTGTACGCAGGGTGGGGGAATCCCAAACAGTCATGGACTACATCACGCATATTCCAGGCCCTGGTCTTCCCTACAAACCTGGACTGCATCTAGCCAGGAATATGACCGACCGTATCTATTGAAAAGAAAGTCGGGAAAGCGAGTTGAACATTTAGAACGGACAACATTATCCGATTTCTCAGAGTCATGGCTTCGCCGACGAATCGCCGGACTTCGGCGAAGGCTAGTCCTGTGTCGCGCTTATTATTTATCAATGTTATATTGCCAATATGACGGACATGTGCCTCCTGGCGTGTATGATTTAGTAAAAGGCAAGTTCCAAGGTAACGAAGCGATTCATTCAGACTATAGCCATGTCCATGGTACTGGAAGTTGAGCACAACAACTAACTAATGGGCGACATCTTCCCAATTTTGCCATCCGCGACCCTGGATTTTGGACAGTTCTTCATCCGTGGGCTTCTTGCCCGTGGTGAAGTACCCGGAATTGATCTTTGCGTCAATCTCCACGCGAGAGTCCTCAGGAATCATATCTGCCGCAACTAATTAGTTTCTGATGGCTGCTGTTGCTGAACCCAACTCACGGTCTGGTATGGGAACCCGCTCCAGGATCGGAATTCCCTGTTCCACTATCGCATCATGCTTCATATTTGACATGGAAAGCATACGATCAATCTTCTTAATGCCCAGCCAGTGGAGAATGTCAGGCATGAGGGCCTGGAAGCGCATCTGATACAGTGTCAGGCCTTCTAATTGGCAACCAGGAGGGGGGGAGTTCTTACATCTCTCACACCGGCGATATTCTCAGTCCTGGCGAAATACTTGTCTGCTGTGTCGCCGCCGCGTTTGCGTGCGTTATATACCAGGTATTTCACTACTTCACCAAGTGCTCGTCCCTCCTTTCGGAAATAGATTGCGACACCTGACCCACCATTCTGAGCCTCCTTGATCGCTTCTTCAATACCAAACGCAAGATAAGGCCGGCAGGTACAAATGTCCGACTGGAAAACATCCGAGCCGTTGCATTCATCGTGAATACGGAGCGTGAGCTTGAAATTCGGGTCTGCCACACGCTCAGGCGGGCCGAAGATGTACACCGTGAGTCCCCCAATAGGAGGTAGGAACACTTTAATATCAGGGCGCGTGATGAGTTCAGGGTAACTTCCACCACACTGCTCAAACAGGGTGCGGCGGAAGGTGCCCTCGTCGATGCCGAATCGCTCGGCGACACCTGGGAGATACCAAACGGGTTCGACAGCGGCCTTGGTGACGCGGACGTCCCCCTGCTTGCTGATAATAATCTCTCCGTCAACTCGGAGATGGCCTTCTTTCAGAGACTCAGTAATTTCGGCAAGTCGCATGGTAGCTCTCGTGACAGCGATTGTCGGTCTAACATCGAGGCCTGCGTCTAGATGCTGCTTGAAAAGTCTGGTGGTTTGATGGCCGAAAGGGTCCATTGCTACAATTTTGGACTTATCCCCCCATGCCTTCTGAGGCGGGAAGTTGAACGTCGGGTGCGTGTTCTCGAAACTGGGCTGGAAATTGCGCGGCAGGTCTCCAGCAGCTATAGCGATAGCATTATAGACAGAGTAACTTCCACCGTGGGCTCCAATCGCATTGCGCCTAGTAATGGTCTTTGATGCCCGAGAAACCAAGACGGGTCCACGCTCCTGAGGATCTGCAGCTCCCCAGTTCAGAGGCACAGGGTTCACGACACTCTGCCCGGGGTAAGTTGTCAGCTGTTTCCAGATGTTAGCTTGCTGTTCTCGAGAGTTGCTGCCTTCATTCAAACGACTTCAAACTTACAATGATGCGTTCATCCGTGCTCGGTGTGCCATTTTGTCCGCTTGGCTGATTCGATCCCATGGTTTTTTGCCGGTTTTAGGGTTAAGGCAAGGTATTGTTAATAGCAAAAGAACGGACGAATGAGCAACCAAAAGGCTTGAGGGACAACGGGATTCGCTTTATTTATAATCTGCTAGTGGCTACAAACACCAGTACTCAATTCAATTACCCGAAGCTCGATCATCCCAAACGAAGAATGCCATTTAGCATTCCAGCGGATTGGTGCAGCGGAACATCGATGGTATGCCTGTCTATCTTATCTAATCTGCGGTATCGTTATCTTATCCGATATACATACTTATCGATAAACATCCGTGGATAGCATCCAAGCATTGTGTTGATAGCACGATACCATGATAATATAGATAATATCAATAGTATGACGACTGAGGTTTTTTATTCAACTTGAGCGTGTTACGACTTAAGGAGGACATTGCCGGAATTCGTGTCGGATCCCATGAATACCGACCTTACAAATCTTTCCTCGCCAAAGCCCTGCAGAAAACATGGCCCAGCCGACCAACATGCTTTATCCTCCCTACTCGCATGATAAAATCATGAGCCCTCAGGACACACCGTACTTTACTGACAATGAATTCCGACATTCGACCAGCCGCAGTTTCACCGAGGTGCGAGACCCTGCCACCAACAACCTGGTCACACGGGTTCCGCAAATGACAACGGCGGAACTGGAGGAATCGATTTCTTCTGCTAAAGCGGCATTCCCTATCTGGCGGGGAATGTCAGTGATTGCCAGGCAACAGATCATGTTCCGCTATGTTGGTCTGATAAAAGAGAATCAGGAGAGAATCGCTGCCATCATTACGCTGGAACAGGGCAAGACGACTGCCGATGCAAGAGGGGATGTGTTGCGCGGCTTACAGGTTGCTGAGGCTGCGTGCGCTGGGCCTGAATACATGAAGGGAGAAGTTTTGGAGGTTGCGAAGGGCATGGAAACGAGGACATATAGAGAACCGCTCGGTGTTGTTGCCGCTATTTGTCCATTTAGTGAGTCCATTATCCAACATGCTCTCGGGGCACAAACTCACCACATAGGACAGACTTCCCAGCCATGGTACCATTGTGGTGCCTTCCAATTGCAACAATTACAGGCAATACGCTTGTGCTCAAGCCGTCAGAGCGTGTTCCGGGGGCGGCAATGATTCTCGCTGAGTTGGCCGAGAAGGCAGGATTCCCACCAGGGGTTATCAACATGGTCCATGGCACCCACGAAACCGTCAACTTCCTGCTTGATGCACCCGAGATCAGGGCAATCAGCTTTGTGGGCAGCAATAAAGCAGGCGAGTATATCTTTGAAAGGGGCTCTGCCAATGGGAAGCGAGTACAGGCAAACATGGGCGCGAAGAATCATGCCCTTGTCATGCCCGACGCCGACAAGGATCAGGCCCTGGCCTCTATCGTGAGCGCGGCATTTGGTGCTGCCGGTCAGCGCTGCATGGCCTTATCCGTTGTTTTGTTTGTTGGGGAAACAAAAGACTGGCTTCCTGAGCTTGTTCAGCGAGCGAGGGCTTTTCGCGTGGACGCCGGCTTCGAGGACGGTGTGGACCTTGGCCCTGTTGTTACTCCAGAGAGCAAGACACGGATTGGTAATCTTGTATCTAACGCTGAGGACGCGGGTGCGACGATTGTGCTCGATGGTCGCGGCTATATACCAGCAAAATATCCCAACGGTAACTGGGTTGGGCCGACAATCATCAGTGGCGTGCGCCCTGACATGCAGTGCTATCAGGAGGAGATCTTTGGGCCAGTTCTCGTGTGTTTAAACGTAGATTCTCTCGATGCTGGGATCGACCTCATTAACAAGAACGAATACGGAAATGGGACCGCGATTTTCACCTCCTCAGGAGCGGTGGCTGAGCGATTTCGAAAGAATATAGAGGCCGGGCAGGTTGGAGTGAATGTGCCCATTCCTGTGCCACTTCCGATGTTCTCATTTACCGGCAACAAAAAGAGCATTGCTGGTGGAGGAGCCAGCACCTTTTACGGGAAGCCCGGTGTGAATTTCTACACCCAGTTGAAAACAGTTACATCAAAGTGGGCGAGCAGGAACGTATCGTTCGAAAAGGTCGAGCTGGCAATGCCAGCTGAGCTTTAAAACATACAATGTCAAATAAAGCCACGATATTGTATAGCAAATTCCACCTCAGAGAGTTTTGACCTTTTATTCTTTTATTTTTGTCCCTAATGCCCAGATCACCGCTGGCTCTCGAAGCAATGGGTTCAGGGCGTGTTGGATCTGAGATATATGTTTCTCCCGCCCAGTGGAACATTAACTCTTGCTGGTAGAGCTACTGTTGTACATCCTCAAAAGACGAATTCACGAGATACCTGGTAGCAATCGACTGCTTCGAGCTAGCAGACCGGAAGTGATATTCGCTTGCCACATCGCATTCCATAGGTTTGGCTTCGTCATCCAAAATCTACCGATATTCTCCTATCGTCTTTACTCTTATCGCCCTTATCTCCTTATCGCCCTTATCGCCCACACTATCTTCGATAATGTTATCGGGATCTTGCTTTATACTGTCACAATGCCGGCGGTAGTTCCTTTCAGTATAAACGGCAGTTCATCTCAGAACAGAGTATGTGAGACTTTTCAATGCTGCTAGAAACACAGTGAGCTCTCCATTCTCACGGCAATATGGGCTCATATTCGATGGACCTCTGTCTGCTTGCTGGTGCGTACGGACTAACATATTTCATCACACATGCCGCTAAAGCCTTAACAGGGAGTGGCCATGGAGAATTGGCCGAGCAGGTCAGCTCCAGGTACCTGTCCCTGATTACGTCACTGTTGAATATGCAAGGACTCGAGTTGGGTCTCTAATACTCCCTAGGATTGGGTATCCGGTGGGACTAGGAGCCCTTCGTAGCACGCGATTCTCCAACGGGGAGAACTGCGTGACGATCGAGGCGTCGGTCCGCAACGCTGATGTCTTCATAATCCAAACGGCGTCGACCCCCGTCAATGATATGCTCATGGAGCTCCTCATCGCGATAAACGCGTGCAAAATCGCTTCCGCCAGGCGGATTACGGCAGTTCTACCATGCTTTCCGTACTCACGGCAGGACAAGAAGGACCGAAGCAGAGCTCCTATTACGGCGAAGCTCGTTGCTAACATCTTGGAGAGTGCGGGTTGCAACCATGTTATCGTGAGTACTATAACGACACCCTGTACTCGCTTCAACGGTCGGTTGACTTGTAACCCAAAGACGATGGATCTGCATGCGTCGCAGATCCAGGGATTTTTCAACATTCCGGTTGATAAGTAGGTCAATATTCTTCGGTACATATATTTGCTAACACGGCTGCGCTCTTAGTGTGAGTGCACCGTCTTTGAGCACGACCCGTAGATCAAGCTGAGTCACACCATGAATAGCTTTTTTCGGAGAAGACGATGGTGGAGTATATTAGCCAAAACTACGGAACTGATGACTTGGTCATCGTGTCTCCGGATGCTGGAGGCGCGAAACGGTATGTTGTTGAAACACCAGCACTTTTGCAGCCCGTACTAACGACGTCCATACAAGTGCCGCTTCCATTGCCGACAGGCTTCATGTTGATCTCGCCCTGATTCATAAAGAACGTAAGGTCGCTAATCAAGTGAGCCGTATGATTCTCGTTGGCCATGTCTCCGGGAAAGTGGCGGTGCTTGTGGATGACATCGCAGACACATGTGGAACGCTTGCGATGGCAGCCACAATCCTCAAGGAGCACGGCGCCAGCAGCTGTGTTGCGGTCGTTACTCATGGCTTTCTCAGCGGACCCTCGGTGAAGGTTATCGAGGACAGCGACCTCGACAGACTTGTCGTCTCGAATACCCTGCCGCTCCCAGATCACGCGCGATCATGCTCGAAGATTTACCAGATGGACGTTAGTGTCACTATCGCGGAGGCAATCCGGAGGACACATAATGGAGAGTCGTAAGTTCAGCGCCGCATATTGTGCAATAGGCATCGCAGCTAAGCAACCCCAGGATTTCCGTCTTGTTCTCGTAGCTCATAGTTATTTTACAGATTCAATGCTATACTTGGAATACTACGAAAAGTCCGTATTGGTGGAGAGATTGGATTAACTTGAATATGCGCACACATTTATTAGCATGACAATATTGGCTATCAATATCAATCTTTACCTCGAAAACTGAATATCTTACCCCCATCCAAGAGGTCCAGATCTATTTCGGACTGAAGTATGAATCTACAGTCGATTGTACCATACAGTGCCTCCACGTGCCTTACCATAGCCAGCAGAGGTCTACATAAGCTGGACAGAGTCAGGAAGTGGAAGTTTGAAGCAACAAACTAGCAATAGCAGGATCAAATATAAGCCCACTATCATCTGCATCAAGGTTCGAAATTGATTCGTTTTGGGGAGTTCGTTTGGTTCAGTTTGTCATTGACATTCTCTCATGTGGAGATCAGCTCATTGTCTGCCAATTCTTATCATAACGCGTGCATCAGGGAAAGCGATAGACAGTGCTGGCTATCATGATAACCAAGATATGGCCCAAGTTCGTATCGGGAATACTATCTAATCTCTTATCAAGAGCTAGCAGGGTTCCGCATGGCCGAAAGGCTATCAATGATTGCGGGGTTTGAGCTCGTGTGGACTCGAATCTGGCGGTTCGCATGACCGACAGCTATGACAGAAACAGTATGCCTCTCTTTACAACTCGCATTCCTGCATAACAATGCCTCATTTGACGTCTTATAAAATACAGCTCACTTGAATCATCATTTGCAATCCGGCTCTTTCTTTGATACTATTGACAGCCGATTTCACACCATGCCCAACGAAACCATCTCAGCTAGCTGGCATACAGAGACCAATGGGAATGCCTCCCCCAAATGCAAAGAGGATTTTCACCATCCTCAGGTAGTTTTACTGCCGCAGCACAATCATCTGCTCTCTCTAATGACCATACTCCGTGACGCCGATACTACGGCTTCACGGTTCGCTCAAGTAGTGGAAAGGGTGGCAGAGCAGCTCGTCGGCGCAGGTGTGCACTTCTTATCATGGGACAAGGGTTGACGCTTGTTTGACCATATGTCTTTGCAGCTCTCAATCTCCTCCCAACTGAGAAGGCGGACGTCATTAGCCCCACGAGGACCACGTACCGAGGTGTACGACAGACCCAAGCTGTTTGCGGAGTGAGCATACTCCGGGCCGGTGCGAGTCTTGAGAATGCCGTGCGCCGTTGCTACACGTACGTTGCTTGTTCGCGTGTTGCCATACTCGTTTGAAGAACTGGCTAACCGTCGTGGCATTCAGCGGTCCTCTTAGCTTCGGCAAGATATTGATCCAACGTGACGAGACCACATGTCTCCCCTCTCTTTTGTATTCAAAGCTTCCATTTGGTATTGAAACTAAGAGTATATCCTCCTTCAATTGAATTCCAACGCCAAGGGTCAAGTTAGCTGACTTCTGAACAGCGGTTCTGATCCTGGAGCCGATGTTGGCAACTGGTGGCTCGGCGTGCACAGCCATCGAAGTCATTAAAGCTCGCGGTGTTCCTGAAGAGAACATCATCTTCGTTAACGTTCTAGCATCCCAGCGCGGGATCCAGGCTGTCTTCTCTCGGTTTCCGTCTATACGTTTAGTCACTGCAGCGGTAGATGAGGAGCTTACTCCCAGAAGGTTAGTAGTGATGAAGAGTCCTAATACGCTGAAAGATGCTAATTGCGGCCAGTCATATCGATCCAGGCTTAGGTGACTTCGGCGACAGATTTTACGGGACCGAGGGCTGAGGCTGTTGTAGTAGACGTAAATGTCCGGGACAGCGAGGCCATGATAGTGCGGTTCATATTTGTTTAAATAACCCCCTCTTAGCTTACTAGTCATCACAACCAATCTATGAGCATCGAAGCTACGTATCCCCTCCTGGCTCCTCGATCAGAATCCGCCTGGACAGTTACCCAGGAGAAGACTATCGGGAACTATTATTCTCACATAACTATTGTTAGACACGGTCTACGCCGTTGAGCCGTACGTATTGCTCCGGTGGTAATCCACAAAGCGCAATGTTATTCTATCCTGCGGTATTCGCTGTCAAGCGTCCTCTAGTAAACGTCAATAAAGAATATTACTGATCTACACATCCCTCAAGTTTGTTTAATTCTGAGCTCAGCACTGCTGAGAGTTGTCCTCCCGCTACAGTTAGGTTATGGAACAGCAAGGGTGTGCTGAAGTTATTAGAGAAGCAACAATTGTTTGACTTGAGTTCAATTGATCCTCCGCTAGGTCTTCCTGTGAACCATGTATATAATACGTTGAATGATACATAGACGACTCAGATGGGTGTTTAGAACAGGGTCCCGTCCCCCTGAATTAGAATAGGACTGGACTTGCTATGGGGCCGCAACTGCGCTGCCAGCTCCCGGCCTCCTTTCCAGGTCCCAGCTTCCAGCATCTGAGGCAGGCTCAGTTTAATACCCTGACGTCCGAGGCGCTCACTAACTAGCTTGTGTAGCTCGTCGAGTAAAGCGACTGTCATTGCGCGCCATTCCACGATGACATCACTGCTGGCTGGAAAGCTCGGGATTTGTTGATTCGAGGACTCTAGACCGTGTTTCAGTGTCTGGTCCTTTAGTTTGAGAACCCCCAGGTCAATAAATAAGCCGCCATTGCGGTATTCTGGCAGCCCGGTCGCCCGTTCCACATTCTTCCACTCCAGGCTTAGAACCCGTAGGAATGGCACTGTGATAGAATATGCCAGCCATTGGGTCAGCTTATGAAACGGCTGTATCCGTAACGCTTCACTTCGACCCGGCTGATGGGTATTAACCCTCTCAAGAACCTGGAGCGGCCAGGCATCTCCCACCGGAACTCCTGCTACTTGAGTCCGGTCTTTGGGCCAGGCGGGTAGGAGGAGTTCCTGCAGGACGGACCACAAAACGTCAAAGTCCAATGGGTCCGATCCGTTTCGGGTTCGAAGCAAGTAGTCTAGAGATCCAGTTAGAGCGGATTACTTTGAAGGCATGGGTGGAGAGCTCACCAACGAGCTGCCCCGGCCGGCCGTCGGGACCAAAGAATTTTGGCAGCGCCAGTAGAGACGAGCCGACGCTGTTTAACAGGCTGACCCTAGATTTGTCACTAAGAATTGGATTCTCTGCGCTGATCTGAAAATGTTTCCTGAATATGTCGGTTGTCAAAGCATCCAGACCATGTCCTGATTAAAGCTCGTCTGCGTTAACAGTGTCATAGATATATATAACACCAGGGGACCTCTCACCATCAACTCGGAGCAGGTTGTCTGTGTGGCTAGTAAATGCACCAGCTTTCATCATATACATGGATGCGACCGCTATCCCTTCACTTCTTCCGTATGCTTTACCAGTACCGGGCTCAGTGAACTTCCACACATCCCCAGCGCCAGCGTCCAGTAGAACAGAGACAAAGAAGAGGTCAACCAGGCGGCGTGTGACTTCAAGCTTATCGCATCCCGTATCCTGCCATTGATCAACGAGACGGCCAACCCTGGGAATGTTTCCAATATCAAAGTGTTGCCATCGGCCGTGTGGGGGGATTCTGTCGAACTTGTCCGGGCCAAAATCCCGCTGCGCCTGGTTAGTAGCCATTGGTCTGGGGTATCTAATTTGGACATACGGTAATGATGCCAGTGACGAATTCTGCCACGGTCGACATTTTCGCAGCATTGTAGTGAAAATGACTGAGTTCGTCCTTGCACGCAGCTTGCAGGACAAGCTGGGCCCTTTCTCGGACCGCCTGAAGACTCTTCAAATACTCAATGTCGGCCATTCTGGCGGGACAGTTCAGGAAATAAGAATAGTGGTATCTGGGCTAATCTATCAATTCTGCGGCCAGACTGTGCTATATAGGTGGTATTATTCCCCAAGGCGATGTACCAGCGTACGATAAGGGCGATAAGGATGATAAGGGTGATAACGATAAGGACGATAAGATCCAGGGCGACTGATATCTTATCGATGGTGATGCTGGGAGAGCCCAGCAGCAGGACAATGGTGCGAATTGGCCATATAATGCTTGAAATCCCACCTGTATCCTCCATGCACTCATTGGGTTGCATATATTTTCACAGTCCAGCATAACAACTTCGAAATGGCGTCCAATCTGAGAGTCGTCAACGACGCGGAAACATCCCGGATCATTTCACAGCTGCGTAACGAGTCGCCGAAACCCGCGGTCGTGCGCCGGCTCGTTCGCGAATTGACCACTGCATTAACACCATACGCTCTCAAACCGCCTTGCCCCGGAGAGCAGATTGCCGTCATTGTCATCCTGCGATCGGGTCTCGCGATGGCAGATCCATTTCTCGCCGCTCTGCCTGAAGACGCCGATGTTGTTGTTCACCACCTGGGTCTCTTCCGGGAAAAGGAGTCGCTTCGTCCGGTGGAATACTACAATAAACTTCCCTTAAAGAGCCCGCGCATTAAAAGGGCCTATATTCTCGACCCGCTGGTGGCTACCGGTGGTACCGCGAAGGCGGCGACGAACATTCTCAAGTAGTTGAGACCCAGACTCCGGGAGACACTCGAGAGAAATTTAGCTAATGGTTCTATTTTTGTCTACTAGGGACTGGGGAGTTAGTCATATCACGCTGCTCTCGTTGCTGGGCAGTAAAGAGGGTCTCGCCAACGTTGCCGGTGTGTGGCCAGAAGGCACAGAGATTGTTGTTGGTGCTACTGATCAAGAGCTGGATAAGAAGGGCTACATCAAGCCAGGCTTGGGCGACATTGGGGATCGCCTTTTTGGCACCGCGCTGGAGTGAACACGAGGACTTGCATAAGCAGACAACAGGGCTCCAAGGCAGTATACTTAGACGAATAATTATATTATCCAGGCCACTAGGCATACCCCGCAAAGACGCGCAGTAAACGTTATGTAATGCGGAATCGTTATCTATAAAGCTGCCCAACTCCAACGGCCCCACTGTTGTCAGTACGAGGAAATGCTGAAGCCATGACTTCCAATCGTACATGCTTCGTGCCGCCTCCGCGAGGGTCGCCTAATAACATGAACGACACACTGCTGTCCAGAAATACTACCAGCAATGACTTCACAGGCGGCGCTCGACCAAATGTCTCGGGCCATGCCTCCAGCGGGCACGCACGCCCAAAGGTGGCGCATCTTTTCATTAACAACACATTCGTGATGTCCAAGTCGAAAGACTGGACGACCGTTCTGGATCCGGTAAGTCCGGTCAAATACACTACATAAGCTCTATATATCCTGCTGATATTGAAGTAGGCGACCCAAACTCTTGGTTCGAGGGTTCCGGATAGCACTCCGCAAGAGATCCAACAGGCCGCCAATGCTGCCCAAGCAGCGCAGCCGGAGTGGGAAAACCTGGGGCTCTTCGACCGACGGGACTATCTCTTGACGTTTGCTGGTATTCTGAAGAAAATGGCTCCTGCGATTGTATGTGCTCTGCACCACGGCATAATCCAACAGCACCCTTCATGTCTAACCAATGGGTTCGGATAGTCGGCCTGCCTTTGCAGCGAAGTAGGGAAAATACTGGCAGAGGCAGAGTCTGAGGTCTTCCGTGGCCTGGACTCCATCTATGCTGCCTGCTCAATTGGCCCAGAGATGGCTGGCACGTACATCGGTTCCGATCCTACGATTCTTCAGACCGTTTACGAGCCATTGGTGGGCATCCTTGATCAACACGAGTAGCGGCAAAGAAACTGACCAAGGACCCTACCAGGGTGTTTGCGTCTCAATCACCCCGTTTAGTTACCCCTTCATGATCCCCTTGTGGTCTACGCCGTATGCCCTGATCACCGGTAACACGGTTGTTCTGAAACCGTCCGAGAAAGCTCCGTCGGTGTCATGGCTCCTGGCGGAAGCGGCTATCAAGGCCGGATTCCCACCGGGGGTTTTCAACGTTATCCATGGAACTGCGGCCGTAGCCCAGCTGCTTGTAACGCAGCCTGAGGTCAAGGCGATTAATTTCGTAGGGTCCGAGTCTGCCGCAAAGCAAGTGCACGACCTTGCGCAGAGCTCCGGGAAACGGATCCAGGCAGAATGCGGCGGCAAGAACCATGGTGTCATTCTAGAGGATGCTGGTATGATGCCAACGCTTTTTGCGATCGCAGGCAGTGCATTTGGTGCCGCAGGCCAGCGATGCATGGGCCTGAACGTTGCCGTTTTCGTGGGCACCACGCGCGAATGGATACCGAAACTAATCGAATTGGCAGAGTCCATGGTTCTAGGCTGTGGCGGTGATGAGGAAGCCCAGATTGGACCGCTCATTGACCGGGCGGCTAAGGACAAGGTCGTCGGCATTATTGGACGCGCTGTCGAGGAGGGCGCCATGCTTCTGCTGGATGGCCGCGATGCACACGTCCCGGACTATCCCCGTGCAAACTTTCTGGGCCCGACTGTTCTGATGGGAATCGAAACTTATATGGAGTGCTATCAGATGCAGATCTTTGGGCCGGTGCTCATCTGCATGCAGGTTGGGAATCTGGACGAGGCCATCCAGCTGATCAATGACAATAAATGTGAGACTCGCGCCAGGCAGAATTTGGGGTACTAATATATTCTATCCAGATGGCCATAGCTGTACGATTTTCACCTCTAGTGGTAAAAACGCCCACGCTTTCCAACGCCGCGTCAATATAGGACAGGTTGGAGTAAACATCCCGTTGGTTGGTGAGTATGATAATCACGGCCCTCAAGGCCATGGGCTCATTTTCCTAGCACCGTACGGCACTGCTGTCCGAACGAGCAACAAGGCCTCTTTCCTCGGAGGTGAGCAAGCGTTCAATCATAGACACGTTCCAGGCTAAGACTGCCCTTTGGCAAGACCGACCTGCTCCAGGAAAATCACACTGGCCATTTTACACGGTCACCAAGACCGTGTCATCAAAATGGGTTGAGTAGTTTGGATACTTAATGAAATGACGAAACTTGTCGGGTAAACCTGCTGGTTCAGCTTTAGCTTCTTCAATCAAAGTGTATTAATTAGCTGCCGGCTCAGGAATGCGGGGAAGCATACCTTATGGTAATCTGCGGGGACTGAGCGCCATTTATATAAATACGACGCAGCCCCGGTACGTGCTTCAGGCTTGTCGCAAAGTCTCCAACTTCGTGTTTCGCCATGAGTGGCAAAGAATTCGATTCCAAAACCATTGACAGCCACACCCTTTCACCAGATAAACATCGGGCGATAGCGGATGCCCCCTTTACGAATTGCAATAGCCTGCTGTCAGTCGCAGACTTTTCTGACCTCTTGACGCAGACAGGATACCTCCCAGAGAATACTTCTGACCTGCCGCAGTGGTCGTCCAACTTTACACCACGTCAGTCACCTCTGCTGTCTACGCGCAATGATGCGAGCCTTGAAACGCATAGTCAGGGACACCCCAGTTTCTCGCTACCGACAATAAACCTCCACAGCACTACCTCTTCTCTACCACAGTTACAGCAAGACGACATGTCCCAGGCACTTGATTCAATGATCGATTTCCCGCTGTCCGCACCCTGCCCTGGCTCATTGGCCTTCCTTGGTGGTCCTAGCGACGATGACGAAAATGCCCTCCTACAGACTAGCTTGTGCGTGAGTCCGGGCCTCTCTGTAGAGGAAGCTTACGATCCAAGCATTAACATATCATGGACTGCGCAATCCCCCGGCCGCTTTCAGTTATTATCAACACTCGACGATCGGAGCCGCGGCCATGCCGCCCTTGACCAGAATGACACGATGGACATGGACCACGGGCGGAATAAAGGCGACGAACTTGAAGGCAGCAATCGTGAACAGAACCCCCGGCATCAAAAAGTGCCTCGCACATCGTCGATATTAGATAGCACCCAACCAACGCGCCAGCGGGGCAGGACTTCACCCTGCATGTCTTCCCGCACACTGCCGAAATCTGATTCGATGCAAGCCGCAAGGGCTGAGGACCGAAGGGATACTGGGCAAAGCAGCACCTCGATCAGGTGTGCTAACTGCTCTACTCAAAACACCTCTTTGTGGCGCCACCATCATGACGGCCACACGTTGTGCAATGCCTGTGCTCTGTTCTACAAGCTACATGGCCGCCTACGACCCCTGTCCATGAAGACGGACGTTATCAGACGGCGTAATCGTAATGGGACCAATAACCTTGCCGCCCGATCCGCTCGTCCACCCCAGACGTCTGTGCGAAGGGGCTCCATAGAGCAGGTGTCTACGTCGAAAAGCGGGCGAAGGGATCATCCCTCCAGGCTTCCGCAATGTACTGCCGGTGTTCCGAATAGTGACATACCAAATCGGAAATCGTCTGTTATTGGTGCTACTGCACCTCCTCTGACTACGGGGCTTAGGATGGGAGCGAGCACCGACCGAACGGTCGGCCAAGAAAGTCCGACAACATCCCAGCCCAGGATGGTGAAGGGACCGGGGAGTGACCAGGAAAATAACACATGCGCTCCCAGCCAGCCGGACAGGGTGGCACCAGGCCCGGAAGCTGCGAATCCGGGCCTGCACAGCAATAGTATTCATGGCAGGCAAGGCGCAGGGCACAAATGGGAGTGGCTGACGATGACTTTATAAACCGCAAAAAAGGCCAAGTCATCTCAATCTCTTCTCTTTGGCTGCTGTTCGAGATCTGATTAGGTTTTTGTACTACCAAGTACTCGTTCTGTTCTCAGTCTTGTTTTCTATATACTGACATGTAATTTATTATGCGAATACCACATTACTCGAGGTTCTTTTGCGTAATGTGACACCGTGCGCTTCAGCGAATTCTCCGATAACAGACGGACTGATAAGATAACGATAACGATAGCGATAACGATAATCGTATACGGAGTAGATGGTCCTCGGCTAAACCAGGCTTGTCGTCGTATAAGTTAGGGCCCACAGTCTGCAACGAAAGGGGTTACAACTAACGGCTGTTCTCTCTACTCTGAGCCCTGTCGCGACCATGAAGCCATTCTTGGGCCTACGAGGCCCGTCGCTCAACAGAGCGACTATCCTGCTTGTCGTCATGCCCGCTATGCTCTGCTACGGCTACAACCTTTCTGTCGCTGGAGGCGTATTGACCTCCCCATCATTCGTTGCAACGTTTCCACAGATGGACACGTTGAATACCAAGGGCCCCGTGCAACATAAGAACTCGCTGGTACAAGGCTAGTTGGCCATGGGGATGATTGCAGTCCTGACTCTGACATTGATTGTAGGAACTGCGCTTGCTCTGCTAACTGTTGGGGCCAGCCTCGGCTCTCTATCCTGCGTTTGGCTGGGTGATCTTCTCGGCCGCCGGCTTGTTATTCTCATAGCCGCCTGTGTCACTATCATTGGGGCAATCCTGATGTCTACGTCCTTTTCCCTGGCGCAGTTCATCGTCTCCAGGCTAGTCCTGGGACTAGGCACAGGAGGCTGCACCGCCACCATTCCCGTCTGGCAGTCTGAGATATCTAAGGTCACGAAGCGTGGGGCGCATGTTGTAACCGAGGGCATCTTCATCGGCGGCGGCATCGCCATCGCGCTGTGGATTGACCTAGGCTTCTATTTTATCGGCAATAGCTCGGCCTCCTGGAGAGTACCTTTCGCACTTGAGATTGTCTTCTTACTCATTGTCGTCGGCTTTATTTTCACGTTGCCGGAGTCACCGCGCTGGCTGATCAAGAGAGATCGAGAGCAGGAAGCTCGCCTGGTCCTGGGCGCCCTGGGGAACCATCCAGTGGAGTCGCCGCAGGTCACGGCGATGGTGCATGAGATCCAGCAGTCATTCCAGATTGAGCACACTGGGAGCCTCTGGAGTATATTCTCCATGGGCCCGTCACGGAACCTGCATCGAACCCTCATCGCCGCTGCTGCACAGATGTTCTTCCAAATCTCCGGCGTCAACATGATCACCTTTTACGCGACGGCGATCTTCCAGGAAAAGTTGGCTTTTGGCGCGACAAATGCCAGAGTCCTCGCCGCTGCCATGACCTCCTGCCAGGTTGTCGGTGGGCTGGTCGCTTTCTGGCTGATCGAACGCGCCGGTCGCCGCCAACTAATGCTGTCCAGCGCAATCGGCATGGCCGTCTGCATGTCTGTCCTCGCCGCCACCACGGCCTACCAGGATAGTCAGCCGGCTCTCGCTACCGCAGCAGTCTTCCTCTACCTGTATAACCTGATATACCCCATTGGGTTCCTGGGCCTGCCGCTTCTCTACTCGGCCGAAGTCTCGCCGCTGCATCTCCGCGCGGCGATCAGCGGCCTCGCCAACTCGGTTCTCTGGCTATCCAACTTTCTGGTCGTTGAGGTGACGCCTGTTGCATTTAACAACATCGGCTACCGCTATTACATCATCTACGCAGGCATCAACGCGGCGATTGCGGGTGTCGTGTATCTTTGCTTCCCGGAGACCACGGGCCTCTCGCTGGAAGAGATAGACGAGGTCTTCCGCCAGTCACAGGGTGTTTTGGATCCAGCTAGGATTGCAAAGAAGAGACTCGCGATCACCGAGATGAGTACTGTCAGCAGGTCATTATAAAGTTTGATTCTTTATTGCGAGGTATCGTTTAATAGCTTCAAGTCTTCACTTCAAAGAATCTATGTATTGTTTTGGAAGGCAAAACGCTTGAAGTATCAGATTATATATATATACATATTAGGACAGTGCTACTACATTAACAGCTCTTCTAGAAGTCGGCCCGACGATGACCGTAGCGCTTAGGTATTCGGGCTACTTTCTGCATCAGAACCGGATTTCAGGGCAAGAAACTCCGTTGGGGCCAAATAATGGGGACTCCTGCAGGGCTGCAACGCCGCAGTCTTGCGCCCCACAATACCAACAGGTAATTACGGGGTGTGATTGACAGTTATTGTTTGAATCACAGAACGGTCTGTTGATCAGCTCTCTAGCCGACTTGAATGACAGTGTAGAGTCGTATACCCTAACTGGTGTGGTATCTCTGCCGCAGTATCACGACCCGCAATACCAACAGGTAATGCGCAAGCTACGGGGTCCGATTGATAGGCATCGTTTGAATCATGGAACAGTCTGTCGATCAGCTTTCTAGTCGACATGACAGAGTAGATTCGTACACCCTAACTGGTTGTGGTATCGCTGTCGCAGGCCTGCGGGTTATAAATATCAGCTGCGGCCCCTACAGTATTCCTAACCATTGTCAATTTCTCAATTGCAAGATACCCACCACATCAAGAGCCGTCTACTCAACATTCAATCTCACAAGATGAAGCTCAGTCTTGGAACCCTTGCCCTGGCCCTCGGAGACCTCAACATGGGTGAGTGGCAACCATAGCCCATCCCTCCCTACCTCAGCAGCTAACCGGGAAATAACCCTTAGTTTCGGCCTTTACGGAAACCTACTCCTGTTACAGCAACAAGTGTACTGGCGCGTGTACACCGACCGATGGCGGACGGGACGGCATCCCGACTGAAGTCCAATGGGGCGAAGGCCAAGCATGGTGCTATCTCAAGAAGACTGGGAGAAGACCTGGGTCGGAGGATGCACCTATTACTTGCTTGGATGGTGTAGGATGTAGCGTGCCAGCGTCCGGAGCGGTGTGTCTGACCAAGGATTGGGATGAGGGCATGGGCGGGTGTTCTCTGTGAGCACTGGCATTGCAAAGTGTACGCAGTATTCATCTGTCCAGGGGTATTTGGCTGAGATTGCTTGTCTTTGCAAGGCCGAGTACATTTCTAGTGGGGGCATGATCGGGCAATGAACTCCTGTCCTTAAAGACCTGTTGACCGAATTGATATTGATATTGTGCGAAGGAGTTCAGCAAAATAGTAGTTCATTGTTTCCATTCACCCAGCTGATTATAATATTCTGAACTTGAGCTCACACGAAAGTTAATCCTGCCTGATCGCCTCCAAAGTCTGGAGCCAAGAGGACAAGACGTTTTGATGCATAATTACAACAGGAATAAGACTCCGCAGCGAGAATTGCTATTATGGAAGGGGGTGATGAGAGTATTAAAAAAACACGCTGCCAGTAACAGCATTGAGAAAACTCGCTATCAAGTCTAAAGTCATAGTCAGGGTTGGTGGCTTGCAATGTTTGCCGTAGAACTATATAAAAGCTCTACAGTTCCAACACAGCTAGTAAGAATTATCAACAGTCCGACTAGGTCATCCTTGTAAACGGCGTCATCCTCTCGATGCAGGTTAGCGATGTATTTCTTAAAGTCACTGACTGTAATACAACCAGCTTGATTGGGCATCAGAATATGCTGCCACAGCCTAACGCATGGGTTGGTACAGGCAATTGCAGATATCATAGTTGCAGCATGGGTGATCGCCTTGTGGTGTCTGGAAGCTGTACAGTCCGCCAGTCTTGTCGGATGCCTCATGCAGAGCGAGGGAATTCGAGAAGAGAAACAATGGCAGTAGAGAGCATGGCATATCTTCGTACTAAGATAGCCTTATAGATTAAACCGCACGGCTAGCCGGGGTATTACCGAGAGTCGGCGCTACTCCAGCCTTGTTAGCTCGCTTTTCTTCCGATGTTTAATGATTCTTTATTAAAAGGAGCTAAAGCTTGCCGATAATGCAATTAAGAGACTGGCACCCCGAGATGCAGGACCGATGCTGTCCATCCTTATAACCTGATCTACTTGGGACATCCCATGAATGCATGGGAAGAGAGTCGGCCCTGAATCACAGAGGTCGGCCGAGAAAAGAGTCGGGCACGAGCTACCGGCCGAGGAGAGTGTCTTGCAGTGTGTGATTCGGATCCGATGGTGCTGGCAAAACCCCGCGGGGTCTCCATTAGACTCGCGCCGAGACTGTTAGACCCTGGTTAAGAGCGAGGCAGTGCACTCTTAGCGGTGGAGCTTGGTACTGTCCAGCCAGTAGATGTCCAGCTATTATCCTGATCTGCGCGCGGGGAATTCTGGAGGCGGGACGATGCATTCCTTCGCAATACAAAAGGTTATCTACACCCTGAGTTATTCTCTTATTCATTCTGCACCGACTCAAGTTGAGAAGCCGCCAAAATGAGAATCCCGCCCATGGAAGGGCGTTGGTTCTACTCCCCAAGACAGATCCTCAACTACCTGCTCACCCGAACAACGTCCTTGAAGCCCCCCAGGGTATGTCTGAGAAGCCCCTGGAATTGGCCACTTCACTAAGTGACCACTAGCCTCAATTTCGCAACCCCTTTGAGATCCTGCGCGAGCTCAACAGCCTACAATGGCAGCTGTTTTTCGTCGGCTTTCTCGGCTGGACATGGGACTCGTTTGATTTCTTCACCGTCTCGTTGACCGTCACCGAGATTGCCGCAGACTTTGGCGTGAGCAATTCGGACGTCACTTGGGTAAGAATCCGTATTCTTGGTCTGATCTATCAGTAGCATGGACTAACCACTGGCAGGGCATGACCGTCACGCTGATGCTTCGTTCCGCCGGCGCACTTATCTTCGGGGTTGTGAGCGATCGGTATGGCCGGAAATGGCCCATGATCATTAACCTTGCTCTCTTCGTCGTTTTGGAACTAGGCTCCGGGTTCTGCAATAACATGCCCCAGTTCCTCGGAGTGCGGTCTCTGTACGGCATCGCCATGGGCGGCCTCTTCGGGCCTGCTGCGGCTACAGCCCTTGAGGACCTTCCGTACGACGCGCGCGGTGTCCTGTCCGGTTTCTTCGAGCTGGGCTATGGGTTTGGATATCTCCTGGCTGCTATATTCTACCGCGCGCTCGTCCCGACGACCTCCCACGGCTGGCGCTCCCTCTTCTGGTTCGGTGCTGGTCCACCGTTGCTGATCATCGCGTATCGTTGGTGTCTGCCGGAGACGGACACCTTCCAGATCATGGCTGCTGAGCGTGAGGCAAGGCTTGTGCTGGAAAAGCAAGCCGCCAGTCAGGAAGGGCAGGGTGCTGATGTCCAAGTCCGTGCTGGAGGCCTGAGAGCTTGGTTTAGGGACTCCTGGGCAGGCATCAAGGAGTATTGGGTCATCTTCATCTACCTGATATTCCTGATGACCGGATGGAACAGTATCTCCCACGGGGTAAGCTTGATATCCATATCCATAAGGGCGTGACTGACAATCCACTCCATAGTCGCAAGATTTCTATCCAACATTCCTTAAGAACCAAGTCGGACTAGACACTACCCAAACGACCATTGTCTCCTGCATCGGCCAGGTCGGCGCCATCATCGGCGGCACTATACTGGGCTATATCTCAACATTCGCCGGTCGCCGTCTCACCATGATCGTCGGATGTATCATCGGCGGCGCCTTGATCCCCGCGTACATTCTTCCCCGCGGAATGAGCCTCGTTGCGTGCGCATTCTTCATGCAGTTCTTCGTCATGGGCGTCTGGGGCCCAATGCCCATCCATTTGACTGAACTCGCACCCCCAGCCCTCCGCAGCACAGCCGTCGGTCTAACCTACCAGCTCGGAAACCTGGCGTCCTCCGCCTCCTCGACGATCCAAAGCACAATCGGCGAACGCTACCCGCTGCCACCCAAATGCACCGCAGGTGAATGTACTGAACGGTTTGACTATGGCCGCGTGATTGCCATCTTCATGGGCGCGGTCTGGGCGTGGATGATTCTGTTTACGTTCCTGGGTCCGGAGATGAGCGAGCAGGAGAGACGCGAGCACGCAGAGCATGCGCAGAATTTGGAGAATCTGCGCAAGAGGGGGATGACCTTGGTAGAGATTGGCGAGCATGTGGCTAGGGCGGCGTTCGAAGCGGAGAAGGGTATTGATGTCGGTGCTGGGGCAGAGAAGGAGGTTGGTGCTGAGTTGGTTGAAGAGAAGGAAAGCGCTTAGAAGTATCACTGTAGTACGTGTTTATACCGCAGCCTACCACCTTTGCGTGTTATGGGACCCTTGTCTAGCAAAAGATACGATATCGAACATCTTCCAGGGTGTATCTAGCTTGTTCTATCCCAGGCTCTGCCTACCGAACGCCGAGAAACTGTAAACAAATAGAGGCTACGCACACGCAAGCGCTTGCTGTATAATCTTTAGTTTTGACACATAGTGTGATCAGGTGTAACTATTTAGGTTCGTTCAGTTTTCGAGAGCCTGCTCGACGATTGCAGCAAACCCCAGCAGATTCTCATCTTTGAATGGCCTTGCTGCCAATTGGATATGACACGGAGCTCCTGATACTTCTTCCGGTATGTCTGTTAGGCTTTAGTATGACGCGAACTGATCTGTGTATACTAGGGGCTCCTTACATTCCGGTCTATATTTCACGTCCCGGACGAATTCCGCATCGACCGCCGGATTCGCTTTGCCAAATGGCAGCACACAGGATGGATACTGCAGGCACTTAACATGGATCCAGCTGAGACAAGAAAAGAAAACTCACGTTTAAGAGATTCCAAAGTACGGTATAAGGCGCGGGACCATAAGTGTCATGCGGAACAGCACAACTTTGATGCCCTGGTCCGAGGATAAGGTCCAGCTGATTGTCGACAAATACTCGGTGCATGTTCGCCGCAATTGTCTGCCTGCGAGCATTTAACTCGTAAAGCTCTCGTAGCTGTGGCTCTGGCTGTTGGCCCTCTAGATCAAAGCTGAATTTTAGGGACGGAATAAACGGTTCTCCACTTCGTTTGACATGGGAGAGGAAGGTCTGATCCGGGTCCATGTTGAAGAAACGATAGGATACGTCGCACGCATTGGAGATGGAAGGCAGCTTGCCAGATAGATCTATAATTTTGTGGCCTGCCGCGACGAGTTTTCGAATCGCTCTTTTTAATGTGCGTTGCATTGGCGGATGGAGCGGATATGCTGAGCTCTCCGGGATGATCCCAATAGTTAGCTGATTCTTTTTAGGGCCTCCGGGCTCAATCCAGGGAATGTCTAAAGCTGTCTCATCGAGATCAGCCGCATTGGAATTGAACACCGCTCTCGCAAACAACTCCGCATCACGAACAGAAGTGCATAATGGCCCAGCACATGAAGCGATCCCCATGAACCCAGGCCGTTCCGCTGAAGTCAGTCCGCTATACGGAATCCGATCAGCCGTGGGCTTGAAGCCTACGATCCCACAGCATAGGGCTGGAATTCTCACTGACCCAGCGACATCTGTGCCGACACCCATCACAGACCCGCGCATGCTAATGAGGGCTCCTTCACCACCACTACTGCCTCCAGGTGTCAGATTTAGCCGGTGCGGATTCAGCGCTCGCCCAAACACATTGTTATGCGAGTCGGCCGTCATCATTGTCTGCGGTATATTGGTTTTCACGAACAACACTGCCCCAAGGCCGAGCAAAACATCCACCAGTGTAGAGTTGTAGTCTTTTGGCTCATGGTCAAGAAAATCCACGAATCCAATCGTCGATTGAACGCCAATAAAGCTGAACGAGTCCTTCATACTAATCGGCAGGCCGTGCAAGGGCCCCACAACCTGCCCGGTCTTCTCGATGTGTTCATCTAGCTGTCTCGCTCGCTCAAGGGCCTCCTCAAAAAGAGTCTCCGTCAGGCACGATGTCAGCTTCTGAGCAATCGCAGCGCGTTTGGCGAATGCCGTCGTAACTTCTTGCGATGTAAACTCACGCCTTGCCAGTTGCTCCACCAGGGCTGTTGCGTCGTATGCTTCGGTGATATCAAGCTCCCGGTCCGTAAGAAGACCACAGGTCCGCGGGACAGCAAGCACGCTCTGGTTCGAGTCTTGAGAGGCCGCCTCAAGAATGCTGGCAGGAAGCTGCCAGTCTTGTGGAATCTTAGCAGCGGCTTGAGCTCGCTTGGCTTCAGCTTTCTTTTCCCAAGAGTCCAAAGCCATGGTGACGTTTGATAGATTGAATGAACGGCCCTGGAGTGAACCAATCCAACCGCCACAGGAAGAGTAATTGACCAGGAATGATTATACCTCCAACCCCAAGCGTGCCCAATTCCACTGTGTAGGAACTAGAGCCCATTTATCCCTTCGCATCCAAGCCGTATAGTGTCAAAGCGTGGCCACCTGACTCCAATTACAAGTCTACCACTGGATGTCTCGCTCGAACCGAGGTTCAAGAAGGGCAAAAGTGGGCATATTTATAATAGCACGATGCAAAGATGGGGATAAGGTTCATATAGCCGTAAGGTTTAAGAAGGTCAGAAGTGGGCGCATGAACAATAACAGCGTGCAAGGATGGGAATAAGGTTAAGACGGCTATTGATACGAGAGGATGCAGCCCTTTCCTTACCATTTTCTACCCACTCTTGGAAACTCAATTACGTGTTTGAATCCTAGCTGCAGTAATCACTTGTTTTTAATCATTTTTTTAGGGCGTGGTCTATAAAAATCATTTGGGGAGCTTGAAGTGAATCTCGCTCGGACTTGATAACAACAAACCTACAGCTGGAGCCCTGGGCTACTACCGATTAAAATGGAGAAACCTGACCAAGCACCGCCAGGTACTGTGATCCTGATCGATTTTGAGGGCACTCTTGAAGCACAACATAGCCGCAATAGTACGGATGTTGTCCTCAACCCAGTGCCAAGTTCGGATCCAAATGACCCCTTAAACTGGAGTCTGGCAAGGAAATGGAGAGCGACTCTATGCGCGCTCTTCTATACCTGGAGCGTATGTGTCTCATCTTCGGCATGCTATTCTGTTTTCGTCCCAATTCATGAAGAAAGCGGCGTGAGTATCTCAAAGCTGAATGAGGGCACTGGCTACATGTACTTGCTGTTCGGCTGGGCATTGCTCTTCTGGATACCGCTTGCCTTGGCCTATGGAAGGAGGGGAGTCTATTTGATGTCACTTCTGGGAACTGCGATGATGAATATATGGGCCGGTTATGCCACCACAAATCCCACTTGGATTGCCACCAGAATCCTCATCGGGTTCTTTGGGGCGCCTTGCGAGGCTTTGGCTGGGGTTACCATGGCTGATATAGTAATTATTTTCCAGTGTTACTTATTTACTTCACCGCTAAATCGTCCTAGTGGTTCACGCATGAGCGCGGCACATATATGGGCCTATTCACCCTGGCCATGTTTGGAGGAACACTTGGTCCTGTTCCGGCCGGGTTCATTACTGATGCCATGGGCTGGCCTTGGGTTCTGTTTTGGTGTGCGATCCTCAACGCCGTTGCATTTGTCACCTGTTTCTTTGCGATGGAAGAGACCATGTACTTCCGACAAGTCAACGACGCAGAGACTGATGGTTCGAGCCAGAAATTCCGAAAAGAAGCCGCTACAGAAACTGTTCCAGATGCGATGAGCTCAAACGAGAAGCATAAAATGGGAATCGGTGCACAGGATGCTGCAGACACTAACATCTCAACCTCGTATGCTGTGAAGTCATATTTTAGGAAGCTGGCGCCAATTGCTGGACGAGGCGGTCGCCCAGCTCACGTCTTGCAGAAAGTCGTTTGTTCGATCCAGATGCTGAGGTTTCCACCGGTCGTTTTTGCAGGGTTTATCTACGGCTGTTATATGTGCTGGTATGCAGTTGTCAACGCAACCCTCAGCCTCTTCTTTGGGTCGTCTCCTTACAACTTTGCACCCAGCGTGAGGCTCGCCGTTTCCCATGTCTGGACGCCGATTGTTTGCTGACGGGAGTTAGATCGTTGGTCTGACATATATTGCTGAGATCATTGGCAGCTACCTGGCTGGATTCTGTGCCGGAAAGCTTGCTGACAAGTTGAGTATTCTGCTGACCCGAAGGAACGGCGGCATCATGGAGCCCGAGTTCAGACTATGGTGTTTCGTTGGCGGTTGCATTGTCACACCCCTTGGGCTCTTGTTATTCGGTGTCGGCTACGCCCATGAACTCAGCTGGGTGGCCCTCGTCTTTGGCATGGGCATGGTGGGATTCGTCAGTCCCGCTGCAGGCTCTCTTGCCGTAAGCTACGTCGTCGACTGCTATCATGAACTTCGAGGCGAGGCTCTGATAACCGTCGTGATCATTCGCAACACAGTAAGGAATTTCAGCCCAGAACCACGTTCATCCTTGCTTATTCGGCTGTCTAGATAAACTTTGGTTTCAATTACGGAGTAACTCCATGGCTAGAGAACAATGGGGCTCAAGACATGTATGTCACGGTAGCAGTCCTGGCGTTTGCCACTACAGCCTCATTCCTCATTATGATCAAATGGGGACGGCGAATGAGAGTCAGATCCGGAGAGGCGTACTGGAAATATGCTAGGCAACATACATGAATCAAAATGTTCTACTAATATTAAGCCTGTTAGGTCGACAAGGGAGCAATAGGGCCAATTTTATCACACTAATTTTCGTTAACGGGACGACGTTCCTCTCATTAAATAAATAACTACAACCGACGCTTCCTGTTCAGCAAGAATAAATATAGCGTTTCGTGCATTCCGTGCTACCCTCTTAGCGGAAATGGAAAGAAATGGGAAACAGACGGTGATAGATGGAATGATAGCTAGCTACAGATATATTATCCACGATCCGGACTGGAGACAATCTCGCCAAGGGGAAAGCGCACAAATGTCGTCTCAGGGATCATAAGGCCTGAAGCACCGGCATAAAATGCGCAGAATGCACAAACAACACTGAATGCTCCACCGACTTTGTTCAAACGCAGGCTTGCAGTGGCATGTTCGGTTGCAACAAAGTTGGCCACGGCCAAGAAGAAAAAGGCAAGGGTCAGGAAGAAAAACACGCAAAGGATAGCAATGTTAGTTCGGAGGGCTGCGACTAGGAAGAGAAATGTCAGAAAGCACCATAGGATCAAGAATATGCCTAAAGCAAAGGTATATGCCCGTTCATCCCCTTTATACGCGGCTTCAATCCCAAGGTAGGGCAGCAAAAACATCGCATAGCTGAGCCAGAATGCCCCATAGGAGCAGTGGACAGTTGAACCAAAGGTATTCCCAACGCGAAACTCCATGATGCCAGCGATGGTCTGGATTGTGCCGCCCATAAATACTGCAAGTCCGAAGACTGCCTGATTTGGACCGACACTGCCTTGGGGATTTGAACCAGGAAGTCTGCAGTAGCAGTTAGCCAAGTTGGTGCATTCATTGAACAGACCATCTTACCCAGCGCCACATTCATAAAGTCCTAGAACGAAAGTCGTGATGGCGAAAGAAAGGAGGCCAAGGGGTCCGGGGTTAGCAAGCTTCATATATTGTGGTTGAAGAACCTGCGACACCATGGCCCCCGGACGAGCAGCCGGGTCAAAGCGAAGTTTCCTTGGACCCCCCTGATGTTCGACATCTTCCTTCCTTCCTGGGGGTAATTGATCGAAGCTTGCGGAGGTATCCGTCATGTTTGACGCTGAGTTGCCTTGTTCTGCGGCCATTGTGGTATAGTTTCAATTCTGCAGTATGCGGCTTATATCGTGGGTAGGATTGAATCTATGCTTTCTTATAAAATATATCATTCAACCACTCCTACTGCAGCTGAGGTCATTGATATGGCATACTTTACTGTACCAGCGGGTCACAACCCGTGGCGATGCTTGAATATACTTTATCTTTGCTAGGTGCACATTCGTTCTTGCATCATATGCCGCCACAGCCAGGGAGATGACAATCTGACGACTTCGATTAGGATTCTCCTAAAGTTCATTACAGTGCAGACAATGCGATGGTGCCCGTCGACCCGAAATATTGACTGTAAAGAAGCTTTTTGCTTTACCCCGTGGAAGTAACCAGGTATAATTCAACAGATGAGGACTGAGCCAGTTCAAAGAGTTCGGCCCCAACAAACCATAATTGCGACAGCACCGACAGTTATTAATTGGCTATTTCAGAGCAGTTCATGGCAATATGACGATCCTCCCGCTGGGATGGGGGACCACTGAGGTGGCCAGCGAGGCCTGCCGTGTGTTAACACTGACGTCAAGTCAACACTATCGCCCCAGCAATGTATTCAAATTTTACAGAAAAGCAGCAGCGTCAAGGGGAACTTGAACAACAGGCTTGGTATTATATTACTTTCTATCGACAGCTTTTCGGTTCGACCGGGGAGCTGGAGGCGTACCCAACGGTAGATTGAAAGACAGTAGATCGCCATGCGAATAGACAATGACCACTACAAATAAATACTCGATCGCAAGCTGTCCAATGTTAGGGTACCCTGCAGGAAATAAATGAACGAGTTGCCAACGGACGCGATGCCGAGCAGTCGGCAATGGCCAAGGCCGGAGAAAGCTTGGAGAAGCTTGCAGAAGCGCCATTTATTTCATGTCGGTCATTGGTCAGATTTTCACCGGAGGACACGAGAACCTTGAAGTCACCCGAATTCACCGACAATGGCTGGCTGGCTGGGTATTGCGGAGCCGTTAAGACCGAGAATTCCGACTCCAGATCTCTCGGTCCCGGGATCCAATGCAACAGCAACAGACCGTGCGGAGTGACAGCTCGCGTATCGCAATCTCGTTCTCTCCATTTCTGGGCCCGTGGGGAGCCCGAGTGTAACCGCACCGACCCACACCACGAGGCCGGAGAGCTGGGGAATCTGGCAGAGTTGGAGAAGCAGAGATTTCTCGCCCCAATCCAGCATCCTCCACGCCTCTAGCCCTGCTTGGCACCTTGGCAATGGCGAAAAAGCATGCACGCGGGGTCCTGGGGTGCTCGGTAAAGCCAGGGCTCACCGGGGCGCCTTTTAGCTGCCAGTCGCGCTCGTTCTTGGACTTTCCTTCCTCTTAACTGTATACGGACAGCTCGTTACTGTATACAGACGCCTTACTGTATACAGATAGCCAAGTCTGTGTATACAGATAACGAGGTTCCTGACTACAATGGCTGCCCACGATGAAATCGACACTATTGAAGCGCAGCACGCGCAGTACGAGTTCGGCGAGAAGGAGGAGCCCAGAGACGAACATGTCGAGCTGCAACGGGACCTTAAGGCGCGTCACATCAGTATGATTGCCATTGGAGGTGCCATTGGAACCGGCTTGATCATCGGAACAGGCAAGGCATTAACGTATGTTCTTCGCATTCCTGCTGTGGACTGCTGATTGACTGACCGATCCAGGGCCGGAGTAAGCTTCGAGCATCTTGCGAAAATAGACAATACTGACAACTCCAGCCCGGATCTCTCTTCATTGCGTATACTTTCATGGGGCTAATCGTCTGGACCGTGATGTGTGCTTTGGGCGAGATGGCTGCATGGCTGCCTCTGTCCTCTGGATTCACCGGCTATGCTGCTCGATTCTGCGACCCTGCGCTGGGCTTCACGCTTGGCTGGTGGTAAGTAGCTCCCTGCGGTCTTTGGTTCGCATGCTGACTTTCCAGCTACTATATCAAATATATTATTCTCCCTCCGACTCAGTTAACTGCTGCTGCGCTGGTAATCACTTACTGGCCACGTACGTCCGCTGAGAATGTCAATCCGGGCGTATGGATTGCCATCTTTATGGTGACAATCATCGTGATCAACTACTTTGGCGTGCGCATCTTCGGTGAAATGGAGTTCTGGCTCTCCTCGTTCAAGGTGATTGTCATGGTCGGCATCATCCTGTGCTCGCTGGTCCTCGCTCTGGGCGGAGGTCCTGATCATGACCGTAAGGGCTTTCGCTACTGGAACGAGCCTGGTGCTTTTGCTCCTAAATACTCCGAGGGCTCGCTGGGCAAGTTCCTGGCATTCTGGTCTACCATGGTCTCGGCGACCTTTGCGTATCTCGGTAAGAACTGACCTGTATAAACGATATTGACCACCATGCTGACCGTCAAAGGCACTGAACTCATCGGTGTCACCGTCGGAGAGGCCCAGAACCCTCGCAAGACAATTCCCAAGGCCATCAAGCTGACCTTCTGGCGTATCATCATCTTCTACGTGCTCAGTGTGCTCCTCGTGGGCATGCTGGTCCCGTACGACTCCGATGACCTGGCCTTTGCAACCCAGGCCTCCAACTCTGCTGCTGCCTCGCCCTTTGTCGCAGCCATGAAGCAGGTCCCAGCACTGCCTCACATCCTCAATGCCTGTATTCTGGTCTTTGTCTTCTCCGCAGCCAACTCGGATCTCTACATTGCCACCAGAACGCTGTATGGTCTGGCTCGAGAGCACAAGGCTCCCCAGATTTTTGCGAAGACCAACAACAGCGGTATCCCCATCTATTCCCTTGGGTTCTCGTCTCTGTTCTGCTGCCTCGCCTTCACGAGTGTGTCGGAGGGCTCCAAGGACGTCTTTGGTTACTTTACCGACGTCGTCTCCATTGTTGGATGTATGTTATTCGTCCTCTCCTCTTATAAACATTCCAGCTAACTCGTCCAGTGTTGACATGGATTTCGCTTCTCATCGCCCATATCTGCTTCATCCGCGCCCGCAACGCACAAGGCGTGCCCGACTCGTCGGTCCCATACAAGGCTCCGCTGGGAATGATCGGGTCGTATGTCGCTCTGTTCTTCTGCGTCCTCATTGCCTTTACGCGCAGTTTCAACGTCTTCATCCACGACTCCGAGTACGGCAACTTCGACTACAAGACCTTCATCACAGCGTACCTGGGAATCCCCGTGTACGTCACGGCCTTTTTCGCGTGGAAGTTCATCAAGAAGACCGAGCTCATCAAGCCGCACAATGCCGACATCTGGACCGGCAAGGCCGCGATTGATCGCGAAGAAGCCGAGTTTGTCGCGCGCAAGGAGGTCGAGGATATGCATGCTCGTGGATGGAAGAAGTTTTACAACCGGTTCCTGTCCTGGTTGTTCTAGATTATACTTACTAAAACATGGTACATAGACGGATTCGAAGACATTATATAGATGAGGTAGATGGCAATATATTGCGGTGTTGATTAAGACATCCAAGTGATTTTGAGTACTTCGTGCTATCTCATGCCCAGATTTTATTCCGTGGATCAGTGTGGGCTGTCGGCCCCGTCGGAACCCCTCCCCCTCCGGAGGCAGCATATATAGGCCGTTCACTCCGATTCAATTTGTTATGTATTTTCTCCTCTAGAGTTTCATTCTAAACATTTCCTATCAAGTGGATCTGCTTTTTAAACCATCTACAATGCCGAACCGCGCGATCTGGCTCGGAGAGGGCGAGCAGGTCTCCATCCGCGACATCGAGGACAGCTATACACCCCAAGAAAGTGAGGTTTTGGTTGAGGTCCTTTACTCTGGCATCAATCCTGCCGACATAAAACATGCTGTCTTAGGCTTCAGCAATTGCGTTGCGGGATATGACTTCGCCGGCAAAGTCATTGAGGCTGGGCGCAAACGAACGGACCATTTCAGTCCAGGAGACCTTGTCTTTGGGTTTTCTGCTCCGGCTTTGAACAAGCCTCAGCAGTATGGCGTACATCAGAAATATCACTGTGCGCAGCATTTCATCTACCACGTCCCTCCCACGATGCCGCTGCCTGCCGCCTCCTGTCTGCCGGTCATCACCCACACTGCAGCGGATGCTCTGTTTAATCAGCTGGCACTCTCTTTCAGCGAGAATAGCTGTCCGATTTTAATATGGGGTGCTTCTTCTGCTGTTGGCACGGCAGCAGTCCAGTTTGCCAAGATGGCTGGTTGCTATCCCATTCTGGCGACGGCGTCGGAGAAGAATCATCAAGCCCTGCGAGAGCTGGGGGCGACAGAATGCTTCGACTACCGCGATCCCAACATCGTTGACAATGTCAAGGAGGCCCTCAAGCGGCACTCTGATAAGCCGCTACAGCATGTGCTAGACTCTGTGGTCTCTCGCGGCCAGCCATCCTCGACAGAGCTGTGCGAAGCCATTGCGGACCCCGGTGCTCGGTTCACTTCGTCAATACCTGCGACTGATCAAGCCACTGAGGAATGGCGGGTTGCATTCGCTTGCCGCAATGTAGATGTCACGCTGTCGCTTCCAGGCGGGGTTGACTTGACGTATCGCGCTGCTCCTGAATGGCAGGCGAACATTGATCGTGCTACGAAGTGGGCGATTGATCACTATGGCCGGGGGTATGTGATGCCACATGTCCAGGTGGTCAAGGGCGGAGAGAAGGGAATTGAAGCAATGATCAACGTGGCTGCAGGACGGGCTAGTATGGAAAAGTTTGTCATTGAACATCCTATCTAGAGAGTTAATTTCCATGCAAGATACAGGTTCATGTCTTATTCTTGGTTAAGCTAGTATATTAGCATAGATATTGAGAATGAGTGCTGGCTAGTCGGAAAATGACAAGGTCTCACCAGACAACATTTGAGACACTGCATACCCAATAGCATTGGCCAGCTGGGACCAAGCATTAGCATGTTGAAGTGTCTTGACAGCCTCCCTGAGGACTCGCGAAACACTATCACGCCCGTTAAGTACCCCCAGCCCAGTTATATGCAGCTGTACTGTCGTCTCCCCTCCCTGCTTGATCCAGTCTTGCACAACATCCTCGTCCAAGTCTTGGTCGACCCGTAGCATTTTGCCACGACCTTCATTTGCGGATTGGCGTTGTTCTGGTACCACGAATCGGTCATAATACCAGATGTAAAGGACAGCCATAAGGAGGACAATCGGATCGGCCGGGTCAAGCTGTGATTGCGAACGGATAATGCGGAATATCCGAGCAGCATGAACCAAACCATGACGCGCTTGTTGTGGCTCTGTCCGTAGAAAATGTGAGATCTTTTGTGCGGTAGCTTCGACTTCCTGCGGTTCTGTCATCCACCCAGCAGCAATATACATTAATCGGTAGCGGATGAAGTGCAGTAGTCTGAATAGAGTAGCGAATTTGTAGGTGATGCGAAGGACGTGCGAGCCTGTGGTGTATTTCCATGACGCCTCTTGCAAACGGGCGAGGATGCTATCAGTCTCGTCATTCTCAGCGCTGTCTTGTCGGTCTTGTCGGTCTTCTCTCTGTGACTTGTTGAATATCGAGTAGAATCTGTGGATTTCCTGCTGGCGCGCTGCCTGTCTCTCCCCGGTGTGAATCGCAAATGTTGCCGCTATCAAAGTAACGTCACTTAATGGCTGGATGTGCGTCGCGCTGATGGCTCCTGTTTGGAACAGGTCAAAGAGATTGAGGTTGGATTGTTGGTCTAATCATGTCTTGTCAGTCGTGAACCTCTATCGGGTTGGGAGTTTCAGCAACATACATTTCCCAGTGTCCTTCACTCTCTCCCATTCATTGAAGGTCCGAGCTTGCCAGAGCTCCTCCTGACAAGGTGGGTCGAGCTGCATATCTTCTATCCTGATGAGAGGAGTCATATCAAAGAAGACCTGTTGGATGCATTCGCCGACTTTTATCGTTAACGTCAGTTCACAATAGACTGCATGCACACTCACACCACGCGAAGTATACAACTCTTTTCCAAGACTCGACCAAGGCCCATCGGGCCCAGTCCCTAACCGACAGGTCGCCACTGGTCGGGATAGCTTCCCCCTTGAAGAGAAGGCTGGGGCCTAGTAGGGGGCGACACATGGTCACCAGGATGTTTCGCTGGTACTGCACATACATGATGCCTTCACGGGTCCCACCCAGGATAAGACACATGTCGAGTAGCACCATGGTCTGCGCCAGCGCCAGATCGTTTTGAAGGGATGTTCCCGACGCGATCTACCTTCTCGTATCAGTGGGATTCTGGTGAACTTGACGAGTATTTCAACGCACCTTGCATAGCATCGCCTTGCGGATGATGTCGAGGAGAGTAGAGAAGATCGCATTCCGGTTGGAAAATCGCGAATATTGGCTCCCAACAGCAGCTACTGCACAGTACAGGAGCCAGCTTTCAGCGCGGACGACGAAAGTCCCTTGATGCAGTAGTGGGAACGTCTTGTGAAAGTGCTCAAAGTATAACTGGACGCATATATGAAGAATGTCCAAATCAGGGAGCCTTAGGTGAGATGCTGGTGGGAAGTTGATTAAGCCAGCAGCGAGAGTGCACATATAGTCATAAGTAGACCGAGAAGGCTTCGGAATGTGGCCGTAGTCCTCAGATATGAGAATGTCTCGATCCTGCTCTTCTAATATGGACTCACTAACATCGATGTCGGGTACATCTGACGTTGAGTTTACTTGTTCGTATGCAGCAGAGTGATATTGCAATGCATCACCACTAGACAAGGCAGCGTCTTGTTGAACATATGGCATGTCCAGATTACAATCGCTTCCCAACGGCCAAAGAAAGAATGACTCGAATGATGCCGTAGGATCGTCTGTGCCGTCCGGAAAAGCAAGTGCTGGATATGGCTGTGTAGAAGCAACGCCGGGTAAGTCTAAAGTCTCCGGATGGCACAAGGACGTCGTTGGCAATCCCGAGGAACCGTCAGAGCAATCAGCAACCGTTCCATTCGCTGTATTTTGGCATGGATGGTCATCCGGTCTGTCTGGGGCGTCCTGTAAATCTGCAGCTGTGTCTGCACTCGATTGCGCAGGGCCGTGGGGAATTGTACAGCGCCAGCCTCGGCGAGTACATCGTTCACAGGGTTGCGGTCCACGACAGCGTTGCTTTGACTTGACACAGTTTGTACAGGCACGAGATGCGCGTGGTGAGGCCGTGGAGAGTTGGACAGGGACCTGGCCGTGCGTGGCGAGATGGCGCTGGAGCGTATCCCTTTCCCTTGTTAGCCAAAAAAAGCGAACCCGGGGATATTATTACCGTCGAGAAAACCGCTTGTCACAAACGTGGCAGTGGAAGTCTTTACTTTGAGAATGCGAGCGCTGGTGGCGCTGCAAGTGCTCTCGGCGGTGGAATGACGCAGAGCACTGGCCACAATGATACTTTTTGACAGGGGTTGAAGCCAAATCATTATTCGAAGGAGAGGCAACCCGCCGACGGTTTGTGTCTTCCATCTGCTGCGATAATTGGGATAATAATGCTTCCATAAAGGTGTTGCGTTGCCGGTCAGACACGATGTGCTTACTTAAGCTGTTGCTCTGCATAACTTTATCCCATTATGCACGCTCACCAAAACCGACAACAGTAACTGGCAACCTGCACCAGTGAGTTATGGGCAATTAAAAGCTGGTTTCTGTTGATACACTACGGGTATATTCTATGTTGCAATTAGCTGGCGTGGCAATATCCTGTGCTGCTAAGTCGCGCACTCATTATATATATTGATACCTTCGTCTATAATGCTCATCACGGCATATCTCCATTCCTTCTTCCCCCTCACTAGGACCGCTATATTCTCTTGGACATCACTGAGCATGGCAACAGGAGCCAATCCAAAGTCCCCCAAGCTGCATTATATGCTTTCTTGTATCGAAGACTACGACCATCGACCGGCGTGACCTTCCTATTTCGGAATAGAAACGATAATACCCAAATCGGGTTAGACTGTCGCGTATGCTACACGCGCCTTCACCAGCTGGGATATTCATATTCAGATACGCAGGCACCGTCATCTGGTTGTTTGAAGGCAGTGGTGACTCGTCTGCGGAAGAATGTAACAGTATTCGCTTCAGAAACCCATGCCCCACGGACTCGAAGGTCTCAGCGTTTACCGCATCTCCGTCAGATACAGCAGAAAGTCTGCGCGAACACGGGCTTTGTCTGCCAGACACCGATGATCCAGATGGTTTCGGCGTGATATTATGGCCTCAGCAAGGAAGACCTGTATGAAATTTCTCCAACAGCGCCTTTTTGTGTTAGTTATTTTCCGTCAAGGCACCGCTGATGGGTGGGCTGCGATGTGCTGCACTTGATATCACCAATCCAGAGCCACTTCAATCTTGACCATGACCTGTGGTATCCGCCATTATCATGCTACATCCTCGCACCAGCGTATCTGCTGCTCAACGGAGCAACGATTTCTGAAAGTGAGAACGTCGCCAGATTAGAGAATGAGAGCTTCTACTATACACAGTCCAGAAGCAAAGACGGTATTAGATACTGTTACTTTGGGATTACGATCAAGGCTTATTTTGGAATTGGTGAGGAAAGACAGTTCCTTCTATTCTCTAATAATTCACGGCAAATCTAATTACAATACGCGATGGATAAAACTTTCTGAAAACAAAAGCATCAGGCCCCTGCGTTCTTGCCACTGCAGATAACAGAAGGAAAAAACCGACCATGTCGGGGAAAAACCTCCTGTTTTGCAGCTTGCGGGCAAAATTGAATGACAAAAAAACAAAGACAAGATATCGGAATAACATGGAAAACAAAACAGTCACCCTGCCTTCTTTTTTCCCTTCCCGCCTGAGCCAGGAGGGCTGTGCGAACCTGACTTCTTTTGGTTTTGATGCGAAGCCCCGGTTTGAGTTCCTGACTTCGTTCCGCTTGGAGTAGAAGGACGAGGAGAGCTAGAGCCTTGCTGTCCAGGTGATTGAGTTCTCGCTGGGCTAGGCGTGGAGGCCCTCGCCCCAAGAGCAGAGCCCGGGCCGCCCGTAGTCCCTGCAGAACGCGAGCCGGGCCTGTCTTGCACGCTGGGCGATGGAGAGGAGCTCGATCTCGCCGCAAAAGAGGACGGCGATGGCTGCCTTCCTGGATTGGTGGCAGCGGGCGACAAACCCAAGGGACGAGGATCAGGGCCACCCATTTGAGGAGTGGTGTGCATACTGGGTTCAGCAGGTCGTATCATTGAACGAGGGACTGTGTACAGAAGGTCGGGAGCAGAGTTCAACCCGCTTGGTGGACCTGGGCGTGTGGTAAAGCTGTCTGACGAGCCACCTCCTCGTCCGCGAGGCTCCTCGCCATAGTATTTCGGAGGCATGTTTCGTTGGGTTGTGGTTGGGATTTGGATTGGTTTTGGATATCGTGTTTGAGTGGTGTTCGAATGAGGAATTGAGGACAGGATGGTTGAGAACTGACTGGCAAGAAGGAGGTATTTATGCCCTGTCGAACTGGGAGCTGGGATGCAGCATCATGGTGGTGTCGAGTACTGGTTTAACTTAGGGCTGTGAATGGAAGTGCCTATGATACAAGCTTCATCTCTTCATACACCTCTCAAGCCTACATTATGAAAGAGCCATTGCTTTCAACGAAGGTCTAGGTCTGCTACATTGTTTCAGTCCATGTGCAGCTTCTTTGTTAGTCCTAAAACGCCCAATAAATGCGTGAAACCATCAACGTGAAGTTATAGTTAATACGCACATAACTATGAATATTAGTCATTGAGAATGAAGAGCCTTAATGCAGGTGATTATGAAGGTCTGCTGAGACAATAACACAGCACAATGAGAGTTACAGACTGCTCCGTATTGTGAGACCCACTGTCACTGGCTATTGATCACCAATAACTTTTCATAGATGCCTTCCATTTGTTCTATTATGGCCAATTCAATCCATGGAGGCATCTCCAATGACTGGTAACTCTGCCAATCGGAATCTGTAACTGGAAACGGACAAGATCAACTGCGAAGACACCACCAGCCCTAACAGGAAAACAAGGGATATGGCCATGGGAACTCTGGGGTAAGCTAGATCTAACTCTGCGTCGTCCATCTGCTTTGTATACTTATTATGATGTTTCGTGTTCCAAGCCATCCTACCACTGCTTTCACTATACACCCCTGGTCGTTAGCCAACACTCTGTTCTGCCTCAAAGACCATCCTCATGGCATCCCTTTCCAAAACAAAGTCAACAGATGGCATGCCAGACGACAAGAGCGTGAGCGCCGGAGACGTCGAGAATGTTGACAACCGTACACCGGCACTTGGGTACGACGCCGTTTTGCACCAGCGACGGTCCACGGCCACGCTCCTTTTCCAGTCCCTGGCGATTTCGGCACCTCCATTCGCTATCGGCACGCCGTTGATCAACGCAATGTACGGCGGGGGTCCGTTGTCGCTGTTTGTTGGATGGCTCGTCGTTGCGAGCCTGGCACAGTGTGTCGCCCTTTCTGTTGCTGAGCTCGCATCCCGATATCCGACCTCCGCAGGCCCATATTACTGGTCATTCCAAATCGCATCAAAGGCAAAGGTACCGGTGTCATTTGTCACCGGTTGGATCTGGCTTACTGGGAACTGGACAATTGCGCTTGGTGTCAATTTTGGCTTCGCACAGCTCATTGCGGGCACTGTGACTCTATACCATCCGACTTGGGAGGCAACCCCATGGCAGCTGGTGCTAATCCTATGGGCAATTGTCTGGAGCAGCGTGCTGATCTGTGTTTTCATGCATCGATGGCTGCATATCGTTGACTCGCTATGTGCTATGTGGACGGCTTTAATAACCGTGGTATACATTATTGTTCTGCTCGTACAGGCCAAGGGCCGCCGTCACGATGCGAGCTACGCATTTGGAGAATACACTGAGGAATACTCTGGCTGGGGCCACTTTACATTTTTCATTGGGCTGCTGCCAGCCGGCTACACCTTCGCTGCAGTTGGGATGATTTCATCCATGGCTGAGGAAACACCAATGCCAGAGGTAAAGGTGCCCCGGGCGATCTCTCTTTCAGTGCCAACCATTGGGACGCTTGGACTAGCCCTTGTGATTGCAATCAACTTCGTCCTCCCTCCTATGGAGGACGTAATGGCCGCTCCATACACCCAGGCATTGCCGAAGGTGTTTGAGTGGGCGACGGGTTCGCCTTCTGGAGGAGTAGGCCTGATGGTTCTTCTCCTGGTTCTGTCGCTGTTCTGTAGCATCAGCGTCACCACCGCTGCATCTCGCTGTACTTGGGCGTTTTCCCGGGATAAGGCTGTCCCACTGTCGTCTGTATGGAGTAAAGTCACTGACAAGGGTATCCCCCTATATGCCTTGCTCCTGGTGGCCATCGTTCAAATGCTACTCGGATGTATCAACCTGGGCAGTTCCTCTGCATTCACAGCATTCGTTTCAGTGGGCGTCATTGCGCTGTCCGTCAGCTATCTGATCCCTGTTGCAATCAGCCTCGCCCACCATCGGACTGAGGTTAATCAAGCCCGCTTCCATTGCGTTGCTCCGTTGGGGACTTTTGTCAACTGCGTCGCGCTCTGCTGGATTGCATTCCAGGCCGTGCTTTTCAGTATGCCCGTGGCTATTCCCACCACCCCGACTGAAATGAACTATGCATCCGTGGTTCTGGTTGGTTTTGCCTCGACGGCTTTTGTTTGGTATATCGTCAATGCCAGAAAATGTAAGCCCTCTGAAAATAAATCAAAAACAGCGAGCTAACAGATAAGCAGCATACACCGGACCCCCGGAGTCGGATGGTATTGGTTTTTAAAGCAACAGCTTTGATTGTGGGATACTGATGGTCAGTATAATTTGTTGGTTTAATTATGCTTAGTATAGCTCTCTTTGTATTTCCATTGCCTTGTCAATCAATATACTTGATCGCTTGGCTAGAAGCCCTGCTGCGGTGTGTCTATTTGCACTCAAATGGAACAAGAAAATAATGTAAATTCAGCAACTAGATATTCAATTATAGCTTCGAAACCAGAGTGGCAGTACTGGACAGACGCTCCCCCACGCTCCTCGCAGCGACGGTCCCCCTCTCAATAGCCCCGTCAATGAATCCTCGCCATCCATCAGCCCAGTCGGAGCTGGCCATGAGAACACGTCCATGGTCTTTCTGCAGCTCAGACAGGTACCTGGACATCTCCCCCGGGCCCCAGGTACTCCATGCTCCCTTGGACCAGTGGTAATTCACCCAGTCATGAGTCAAATACGAGGCTACCTTGACATCAGGCCGAACATACTGATTGAAGCTGGAAACTATCTCATCACTAGCCTCGCGAGTCCCAAGGTGTCCGTTATACCCAAATCCGATGGCGTAATTGCCGCTTCCCTCGTTCTTGCCGGTGCCGTTGTGGTCGGAGAATGCGAGCACCCAGGAGGAACTGCCATATGCATTCACCATTGCAAGCCAGGGAAACTCAGGTTTATCCAGCTTGAAGTGGAATTTCGCCCCCTTGTTCATGTGTCCTTTCTGGATGGCCTCCTGGCGCAGGGGGCTGAACGGAGGGTTGAATTCGATATCCTGAAGTACATTTCTACCATAATTAATTAGCATTGGGCGGAAATGGAAGTGGAGTCTGTACTTGCAGGGGAATGGTGCACACGGCATATTTTGCTTCGAAAGCCCTTCCAGTGGACGAAGTAACCACAACGCCCTTGGAACTCTGGTCAATCGTCTTAACGGGCATCTGCATCTTAACATGGCCACGATAGTCATTCAGCATGCTCCGAGCCAGCGCAGTCTGTCCTCCGGCTCCCAGCTTGAAAGTCTCGATAATCTCAAACATGCCAGATACTGTGTGCCCGCCCAGTGCAAACCAGCGAAGGGGCTCGACGAATCCAATATCGGTTCCAGGTGCACTGCCAATGCTGGTCATCAGCGCCTCGAAGTGCTCCTTGTCTGGCGAAGAGAACCCAGGTAACTGATCCATCCGGTCTTTCAGACTGAGCTCGTCATACCGCGTCCACAGCGCTGGTGCCCGGAATGGGTCGTGGGGATAGGGCATGAGTTCGCGGCTGGTGAGTCCGTCAGGGCTGAAGAAAGCCTGTCCGATCTTCTCCATGCTGTCATCCATTGCCTGGACGTCGATCCCATGGGGAGCTCCGGTCGCTGCTTTGTATATGGCTTTCTCCGGCTTTTCGGTGCCACTTGATGTCTTGATAAACCGGTCAAGGCCATATCTGTACGCCTGTGCGAAGAAATGGGGTTGGTTCCTAAACATGATCGCGTTAGGAATCACTCAGTAAATTGCTTCGAGATATCATACCAATGGATCCAGGTGCCTCCCATCTCAAAGTTCTCTCCCAGAGCTGAGGCAGTCCAGGTGCGGCCTCCAATGCGATCGCGTGCGTCGACCAGCAGAACGTTGGAGCCATGAGCGAGGGAGATATCGCGTGCTGCAGTCAGGCCAGTATAGCCAGCGCCGATGACAATCACATCGTATGAAGATTTAAGCTCGGACTCAGGGGTGCTGGGGATAACTGCCTGGGTCTCGAGACCGACGGTGACTGATGTGGGAGTCCACTGGAAGCCTTCCCTGCTACGAGGCATGCTGAATTCACTGCTATTCAGACAATAGGCAATGATGGCCGTTCAATATTCCATCGTTATCGTGTACCATTAAATACAATACAACTCTATTGGAGTATGGTAGACAGATTGATACCATTGCCCAATCGGGAAATGTCACTCGATTGGCTCCCTGCAACTTCATCTCCACGTCAACGCTAGCAGATAGACCATACTGGGTATCTCCTTCCAGTGCCTCTATTAGGAAATCTATCTCGAAGCTGTCGATGATATCGCCATCTCCAACTGCCTCGGCTGCACGTATAAAGTGGCCGAGGAGCACTCCGGATGCAATCACCAGCATTCATAACTGTCTTCAACGATGTTTTCCAGTGCTCGCATTACACTTCCCAATGGGCGTAGCTATGACCAGCCCACGTCACTGTTTATCAACAATGAGTTCGTGACTGGCTCTGGGTCGACAATCACGGTGCTCAACCCTGCGTAAGTCCCGCTCCCCAGAACCGTCTCATTCACCCACTTATTCTCGTCACACAGAACCGAAGATACAGTTCTTGAATTTCCTGGAGCGAGTCCTGCTGATATTGACAGGGCTGTTGTCTCTGCACGAGCTGCCTTTGAAGGCCCGTGGTCGGAGCTCGCCGCGGTGGATCGCGGTCAATACCTGTTCAAGCTGGCCGAGTTGATTCAACGCGACCGTGAGCTTCTGGCTGCTATCGACACTCTGGACAACGGCAAACCCTTCAGTGCAGCGTTGGAGGAGGATCTCGAGGAATCATACCAAGTGTTCAAGTACTACGCTGGTGCGGCGGACAAGATCAGCGGCGACACCATCGAGACATCGCCGGCCAAACTGGCGTATGTACTGCGTGAGCCTCTCGGTGTCTGCGGTCAAATCATCCCCTGGAACTATCCCTTCATGATGTTAGCTTGGAAGATCGCGCCTGCTCTGGCCTGCGGAAACACCGTCGTGCTTAAGCCAGCCGAGCAGACACCGCTTTCGGCCATGTACTTTGGCAATCTCGTCAAAGAGGCTGGTCTTCCTGCCGGGGTTGTTAACATCGTCCCTGGACTGGGAGCTGAGGCTGGCAAGCCTCTAGCTGAGCATACAGACGTCGACAAGATCGCGTTTACAGGCAGTACCAACACCGGTCGGGCTATCATGCGCTCTGCGGCCACCAATCTAAAGAACATTACGCTGGAATGCGGTGGGAAAAGCCCCAGTATTGTATTTGCTGACGCCGAACTCGATCAGGCCGTCAAGTGGACTCATATGGGGATCATGGGGAACCAGGGCGAGGTTCGTCTCCATTTCTTTGGTCTGTATAGAGAGCGCCAGCTAACTGCGTAGATCTGCACAACGACAAGCCGAATCTACGTCCACGAAGATATCTACGATGAGTTCCTGCGCAGGTTCGTCGCCGAGGCCAAATCGCAAAAGATCGGCGACCCCTTTGCTCAGGATACAACAGAGGGAGCCATCATCTCCAAGGCCCAGTACGACAAGATCCTCAACTATATCGAGCAGGGCAAGAAGAGCGGAGCCAGACTCTTAGCAGGGGGTGTCCGTCACGGCTCGAAGGGATACTTTATTGAGCCCACCGTATTTGCAGATGTGAGTTAGACGTATCCTATCCCAGACTCATACTGACGGCAGCAGACAACCGAGGACATGACTATAGTCCGCGAAGAGATATTCGGACCAGTCGTCGCTATATCCAAATTCAAGACGCAGCAGGAAGCCATCCAAAAGGCCAACAATACCTCCTACGGCCTGGCAGCAGCCGTGTTTACGGAAAAGGTGGACAGGGCACATATTGTGGCTCGGAAGCTGCAGGCAGGGATGGTCTGGATCAACTCATCGCAGGATTCGCACTTTGGCATTCCATTTGGCGGCTACAAATCGTCAGGGATTGGTCGTGAGTTGGGGAAATATGCCCTTGATGCGTATACTCAGGCGAAGGCTGTCCATGTCAATCTCGGCTCGAGGCTGTAACAGTGAAACTGCCTCGGATTAGACAGGCCTCAGATTAGGTAGAATCCTCATTTGAAAAAAAAAAAAAAAACCCCTCTATTCCGTAATAGTATGGTAGAGAGCATGGCACGTTGGTGCGCCAATCGCAAACGGTTACTGAGTCTGGTTAGTGAGGGTTGGAGTATACAGTCCCAATCAGGAAGTCCAAATGAGCTCCAGTCATCTCATCCAAGTAGTTCAACTGTCTAACTAGTTCACTGTACTTAAATACGAGGCTATAGACCAGGAGTAAATCTTATGCCAATCCTATTCTCAAAATGTCCAACTCCCCCGATGGTATCTACGAAAAAGGCATTGTCGACCCCGGACTGCCTGTCCTCAACTCGACCAAACCATTCTGGCTCAGTGAGCCCTCCAAGATCTCAAAGCTCCAGTCACCATGGACTGATGAGGCTGATTTCGTGATCATTGGGTCTGGAATGAGTGCTGCGAGTCTTGCCCGGTCGCTGTACGCCAAACGACCAGGACTCAGTGTTGTACTGGTCGAAGCCCGAGATCTCTGCTCTGGCGCAACAGGACGTAATGGAGGCCACTGCAAGGCCCAGAGTCCTGGCGACTGGCATGCACGCAGGAGTAAATACGGCGTGGATGAGGCTGTCAAGATCATGGAGTTTGAGCACCGCCATGTGCGTGAAACCATCGCTGCGGTTGCTGAGCACCGCATTGAGTGTGACCTTCATGTTCTAGAAGGGTTGGATGCTTATTATGACCCTAAAGTCTTCCAACATGCCGTTTCAGCTGTGATGGAGATGCGAACGGTCGCTCCACAGCTTGGTGCACTATACACCATCTACACCTCTCGCAAGGACTTGGATAAACGCAACTGCTCGAAGCAAGTACTGGGTGCTATTGGAATGAGAGCTGCCTCTCTCTGGCCGTATAAGTTTGTGACCGGCCTGCTGGCAAAGCTGGTCGAGCAGGGACTGCGTATCCAGACCAACACCGCCGTCACCAGCATCACCGACCGCGACATCGACCCTTTTGCAACGGTCAACACGACCCGTGGTGTAATCAAGGCGAAGGCTGTCGTCCATGCGACAAACGGCTGGGTTGGCCACTTGATCCCTGAACTGCGGCCTTATGTCTCGCCCGTGCGTGCAAATGTCCAACGCCGTCTACCTTCGCCCATACAGCCCCGAACAAACAACTCGTGGTGGCTACGATACGGCGAGAAGGACTACGACTATATGATGCAGCGTCCAGATGGGTCCTTTATTATCGGTCGCTCGAATACCGGACGCCGTGCCACTGCAGACGACAGCCAGGTGGATTTCCTCCCACACACGCACCTCCGCGGCGCCACCCCTTTAGTGCATGATTTTGGAACCAAGGATATTGAGACAACCCATGCATGGAGCGGCCCAGTTGCCTTCTCGCATGATGGGAATCAGTTTGTTGGGAAGCTGCCTTTCCCTGGTCGCAGTCATCAATGGGTCTCTGCGGCCTTCCAGGGTATTGGCATGGTAAGAGCATTCCTGTCGGCGCAGCTGCTTGCTCATCTTATTCTGGATGAGCGGATTCCTGATTACTATCCTCTGTCTTTACTCATTACTGAGGAGCGGTTGAGTACCTTGCCTCAGCCAACCAGCAAGCTATAGGTCTTACTCAGCTGCATCGTAACTTGTCGAAATAATGCCTCTAATTCCAGATATTTAAATTCAATTAGATCCAGTATATCTAGTAACACGAAGGGAATGTGAGGCGCAAAGACCGTATTATCCGGCAAACACTATACGGTTAGATCTCAGAAGTACAGTGCAGGGAAGCGACTTACCTTCCCATTGCATGTCCATCATAGCACCGAGCCAGTGCAATTTGCAACCTACCTTGAATTCAAAGCCCAAAGTATGAGAACAGCTTGGTGGGCACTCACCCCGCTGCTGGTCCCGTCGGCCCCAGACTTCCTGTACAATTCGCCAGCAGCTGTCAACGTTGCGAACCTTCAGCCGCGCAGCCATCGACAGCCACCGGTCTTTTACCCAATCACGATCTTCCCTGTCGGTGACTTCGCAACTTGCGATCAGAAGGGGGAAGATATGTGTGTTGAGAGCACGACTCGTCGACGGAACCGTGGCCAGCCTGACGAGGACCTTCCGGGCGAGCGATTTCGCAGCGTCGGGCTCTGATAGAATTTCAGGGACTGCCTGGTGGAGATATAGGAGTGCCGCATATCGCAGGGCATCGGCCGTGATGACCGCATGGCGAACCTGGCTGGTGCTATCTTCGAAGGTCTGGAATACAGCAGCATTGGGCACTGCCCACTGCTGCAGCTGCTCTTGAAGCTGGCCAGCCTCGCTGATCAAGGTCAGACTAATAGAGGACCCTTTACGGACCTTTTGAACAACGTTCGCTACTCTGGCGATCATAGGGAACAATGAACTGGCGCATCCAAGCAGAGGGTCGACCTCCATCAAGCCTCTTGTAGGGAGGTTCGTTGCAGACACGATAGCTTCATAGCTGGTATTGGATTCCTCGAGGCTTGTCAATCGAGAGATAACATCCATGTAAACAAATGTGTTACACAGATATCTGAGCGCTTTTGAATCCGTAGTCTGGTCTTGCAATTTCGCCACGGCGCTTCGGTCCTGCATGAAGTCCCTGACGAGCCCCCTGGCACCGCGTAAGTGATGCGTGGAATTTATAGGCTCTTCCCAGCCCTCGGCAAAGGCAATTACCAGGGACGTTGCCAGTGCAGGCACCAAGCGGAAATCATCTATCTCGGTGAGAAGTGCTTTGATACTTTGGCTGCGACCGTTGATGCTGCTGAGACGCAGACTGGGATTATCGTAGGAGCCATGGGACGCTGCCATGGATGATAAAGCACAGCGAACCGCCAGTGAGCTTGAGGATAGCGGCCCGATGAGTGTGCGCCATGGGTTCTCTCTTGGTCCGTCTTTTAAGGAGAGAATGCCGCAAGTGTCCTGGTTGTATCGCAGCATCAGGGCGTCTGGAGAGGAGATATCGAGTGAAGGTTCGACTAATATGGATGGTCCCAGCAGCTGTTCACAGATGGCTAAATCTTCCACATCATATGAACTTTCGTGCTGCGTCGTTGGGAGCATGGGTACTGTGATAGCCTCGTCGACCTGCTCCCCAGTGATATATTGAGTGCTGGTGCCAGGTATATCAGCATCCGATAGAGAGTACAAGTAGTCTACTGCAGCCAAAGCAGATTCTGACTCGCTTTCAGGCCCTGTATTTCGCTGCGATGTGGGCGAGCTGTCGGAGGTCGTTAAGCCTGGCAGTCGGGCAGACACCGACACCGTGCTGCTATGTTCTGATCGGGGAGAGAATGTACTTGACCCTTCGGCGTCCAAATTATCAAGAGTCTCAGTCATCGATGGAGTTGCGTGTAATCCTTCAAAAACGCGAGCTGCAGACGCAAAGGCCGAGTGCAGGGCAGATCCATCGCTGCTCGAGGATCGCGCAGAGGGTGATTTGGCAAGAGGCTGCTGCTCGATGAACCGCCACTGGAACTCGCGCTTTCTGTATCCTTCGCACGGAGTTCTGGAGTTTGTGCATCGCTCGCAGGACGGTTTCGCTTCGTCGCATTTGAGTCGCTTCCTGCGACATGTAATGCAGCCTGTTGTGTGTTAGCTGGCAGCTAAGCCGGGTTGTAGGGACAGACCATTTCGACTCTTCGGTGCTCTAGGCATTTTACAGGTATGGAATATTAAATTAAGGGAATCCAGGATGATGAGATATCTCCCAGGGCGCTGGTCTAGTCTTAATGCAGTAGTGGGATGCGAGGTCTTGATATCGGTGGAGACGCGGGGGTCTGTCCCCGCATCGTATGCATCATATTCATACTCATATTATATCAATTGCTTGAGTTCGTGCTATCTAGAGTCTAGTCCGGCGGAAGGCAAAGTCGAGCAGCGTATGCACATGGTTCTCGCCATAGAGGGATTCCCGAGTCGGCTCTACAACCAGTGTGTTCGCCCCTGCATACCGCAGTCTGTATTCTGGCGAACGGATAACCAACGGCCGGCGCCCTGTGTCTACCTTGGTCTTCGGTGCACAGGCTATGTCCGTCTGTTTACCGCTACGGAACCATCTGTCCACCTCGACGCCCGCATGCCTGGGGATGTCTTCTTGGTTGCCCAGGTCCGACTGGCAACACGCCTCCATCGCGGTGATGCGAGGGACGTTGCAGTCCAGCACTACATCCAGACACAGGCTATTGAATGGGTCCACTTCCGGATCCAGCATGTCTGGGGCGCCCATGTCATTGGCCCAGCCCGCCGTGATCATATCGGTTCCTATCCTGTGGAAGGCCCAGTCTGCATTGGGCGAGAATCGTTCTACTTTGAACACCCAGTGAGCCGCCGTCAAATGCTGGCAAACAACCGCAAAGTCTCCTTCATCCTCGGGCGAGGGGATCATGCGCGATTCCACGTAGTGCCTGTCCCCCCAGCGGTACTTGTCCTGACAGAAGGGGGCCTCGAATATCTGCAGTGTGCTTCCGTCTTCGGGGTTGATGACCAGGAAACCCACCACCGTCCTATTACCAACGGATGCGAAATATGGCGACGGTGCCATTTCATCAGTTGCTGAAACACAGAACGTGACCAGCACTTCCATATCCCCGAGGCGACGAATAAGGAAGCCCCCAAGGCGCTTCTGAAGTCGGCGGTAGTCCGTGATATACGACCTGTGCAGCAGGGCACCTGTGGCCAGGTCGTGGACCAGAAGATAGGCCTTGTCCGACGACCCTTTTTCCAACGCAACATAGTACAATCTCGTTGCTGAAATCCCTCGAATTCCAGGCCATTGAGTGGTTCGCTCCCACGCTGAGCTCCCGCCGCGCCACTGGCGCTTTCCTGTTGATATCGACACGACCTGATCCCTAAAAGCATGGTCAGCATGGAGATTTCTCAACAGTCTCCCAGTTGATTCACTTACAAATAGCCCATGTGGCTGGACACTCGAGCAACAATATAGCCCCCCGGGCTGACATGCACGGTGGTTTCTCCAGATATACTGCACTGGCGGTAAATGTCCCACGATCGAGTGCGATACGGCGAGCCATCAGCCTGGAACCCCAGGCGCTGTCCAAAGAGCCTTTTTCCAACTTTCCACGCTGCAAAATCTCCATTGACCTCGAAGCATTGCGCGTTCCTGATGGCTCGCGCGCCCGATACCCGGCCGGATGTGATTTTGTTGTATTTCTCATGGCCCACAAGTAAGTCTATTAGAAACAGCCATCGATCGTGCCGGAGTTACTTACCACTCTTCTTCATCATTTCCACCTGCTCTTCCATTGTCTGTGAAATCCCAAAGTCGGGTCTCCAGCGTTCGGGTAGATTCAGATAATACCCCCGCGCAACCATCCACTCCTGCACAAACGCCCTCCAAGCCCGGCACACCTGCTCGCAGCGAGCCAGGTCAGGCAGCTCAAGGTATTCAAAGACCATACTTGCACAGTCCCAGGACAGACCGCCTAATACGGGGTCTGGGTATACTGTTTCGTTTTTTTGAGTCTTGCGGCGACGGGAGCTCCGGGTCTCTACCCTCGACTCGGTGATCGTTCTTTTCGGCATATTGGTTGACTGGTGATTTCAAGGATGAAACGTGGTCGTCTGGCGTTCTGTCTTTGATTCAGCTAGGATGCCTGTATGTCCAGGGCTCTTCAACAGAACAGCCTCTGCCTTTTATATCAGTACTTGTGATCGTTTACTTCTGACTTTGCTGGATACTCACTGCCTTCACCCAATGCATGAGGGCTAGCGAAGATCAACCACAATGACTAGTTCATATAGGCGTGTGTGAATGTGAATGACATGATATCTTAATCACATTCACAGCTGTGCTGTTGTATCAGTGGGCTCCACTTCAACTCCTGTCTATTGTATAGTATTCATTTTGACCTTTTGTGGTCGTCGGTATTACACTATAAACTTCTATATATTCTATATATCGAATACAGACAAGTCCTTTCAGCTATAATTATAGCCTCCGGGCTTCCATTAGATATAATACAGGAAGGCTATCTATACTTGGATTAGGTCTCTACTTCGCCCTCGACGCAAATTGTATGGCGACTGTAGGAATCAAAGCAGCGACAGCAACAACTGCACACATCACACCTGCTGCACCAGACAGCTTCAGAGTCTCAAACATAATAGGGAAGTAGAACGGTCCAATCTATGACGGATTAGCAGGAGGCTACAAGCAAATAAGGACACGTACAAATCCAAATATCTGGCGGTAGAGGTTGATGCAGACACCCACGTCGGTAGACTGCTCCTTGTAGCTGTCGACCGCAAACGAAATCAAGATCGTCGTAATGATCTGGTTGCCAAAGCTTGCAATGGCCGCTCCAACACAAGGCGTAACATTCCAGGTACTCTCAGCTTTTTCCAGCTGGAATCCCCAGACCAAGAGTCCTGCAACGACGGTCGCGTAGCCAATATACGACAGCCACAGGCGATCTGCTGAATGGAAATATCCTCTCTTTCGCTTCAGCGCCATCAAGAACCAGTCAGACATGGGTCCGCTCAGCTGTTCACCGAGAACGCAGCCGATAATGATGGCGATGAATTGCAGTCCAATCTGCTGCGCATTGAAATGAAACTTCTCGCCAAATGCGATGGGCATTTCCACTATCAAGACGATATTGGCGTAGCAGAAGACAACACAGTGTGCAATCGCGGGGATAAGCACGCGCGTATGCCGGGAGAGAAACACCGGCTCGATGAACTCGCGCAGTCTCAGGGGACGAGGATTAATACGTCTGGGAAGGAACTTGCTGAAGAACCCCTGTTGAGCACTGCTGGCCTGTCCCGGGATATACAGGGTTTCCTCTCCAATAGCCACATACAGAACCAACTGCACGAAATTTACGATGGTGAAGATCCAGAAGATCCATTGCACGCCGGCATGCTCAGTCACGAATCCCATAATGAAGGGGCCGCTGGGTGTTCCCAGAGTGAGCAGCAAAGTCCACCATCCGAGCTTCTGCGCTCTATGCTGTGGCTCGCACAGTTCCGTAATCACTCCACTGCCCATTCCGAACGGGGGCGAGATAAGAATAGATCCTAGTACTCTGCAGACCATCTGGGCAGCGTAGGTTGTTGAGCGGGCAGATCCAATATTGCACAGCATGGCCCCAAAGACAGACAGCAAGAAGACATGATATCGGCCGTATATTTCTGTGATTGGCTTCCATATGAACGGGGCGATGCCGAAGAGGAGGATCTATAAAATATCCTTGTTAGTAACGATCTCCATACAACAGCGTAATACGCACCTGTACTGAGGTCAGGTAGCTTGCCTGGGGTACCGTGATGCCGTATTCCTCTGCCAAAGCATCATAAGCCGGGATAATACCAGCGGCGATGAACGTTGCAGACATCGAATGGAATGCAACCATCAGGATCTGGGCATTCTTCTTCCACGATGGCCAGTTTCGAGGATTTGCAGGATCATCCATCTCAGTGGCCCCCTCGGAGTTTTGGGGCGAACGCACAACATTCTCCGTGTGGATTGAATTCTGGAGTTTGTTGCTCCGGGTCTCTGGGGCAGCCATTGTTGCTCACACAAAACACTCCTTGACAATCTGTCCTTCACCCTGACCTTGCCAGTGCAATAGTTAAATATCAGTCCCCATTCCGCAGTGGGTGCATACACCCCCACGGGGACTCGAAGGGTCTATCCCCGTGGACACGGCCATATGGGTCACGTCAAGATATACAATATCTGATTTGTTCAGAGACAATGACCCAGATATCTAACTTCGACTGAGGAATTGATTCCGTTGCGGAACACCGTCCGCTCTGTACCCGCGGCTATACTGGCATCTCGGAGCCACACCCGAAGATTCCTCGGCGGGGTGAGTCCCGAATGGCCAATTAGAAAAGAGAAAGGGGCAGCTCGGAGTCCATCCCGAGTAACCCCTGGATATTGTGCTACGGCCTATATCGTCTACTAATGAAAGTGCGGATTGAAACTTGAATTATAGTGTTAAGTAGGCTTTCTTCCCACCTCTTTGGAATCTGCCTCTACAATAACGGTCACATCGGCCTCGCATACCGGCTGCACTGGAGCTTCGAATACCGGGCCCGAGTCTGCCTCCCCAGGGGTCTCTGTTGCTCCAGCCAGTTCTGCCCGGGGGCGTGAGTCTGCCTCTACTGGGCTTGAATGGTCGTCGTCTCCCTTTTCATTTTCATTGAGCTTTGGCTGGTTGTCCTTAGTTGCAAGCCAGCCCCATCTCAGGTAGAACGCCGCGAGACCGATATAGATACACAGGTAGAAGCACGCCTCGCAGATTCGCGCAGAATCAACAGCGTTCGAGTAGGCTCCCTCGCCAGTTTCGTTGGACAAGGGCCATAATAGCCAGCGGATATTCCACGCAACCCACATCAGACTGAGCGCGAAGAAAAATGTACTCCCTATGAGCAATAGCATGGCCAGTGCCTGAGTGTTGTCAGTATAGTTCATGCAAGTTGACTTTGCTGCTTACCCTCCACCGTGATCGTTTGCCCAGGGTTTTCCATGCAAAGTATATCGTCCAAGCAGCGATTTCAACCGCGGCCGCAAGGCGAACAATACACGCCGCTGTATTGAAGCCCGCGTGCACTTTATAATCCTCCGAGTAGGACAGCTTGTCGCGACCAGTACGGACTACCTTCGTAGTTAACAGAGCCCATTCCACGATTGTCAGGGCCACAATGAGCCCGACATAGAGCCGGTGGAATTTCTCAAGCCGAGGAGACGAGGGTCGAACGGTCGGGCAGCGGGCGAGGAAGACGTCGACGAGGTTGTACAGGATATAGACCAAACAGCAGTTTCCAGCATAGAGAAAGAAGAAGGGGGCTGTCTCTGCGGCGTAATAGGTGTAATAGTACAGGCGAAGGACATTCTCGCTTCTCGTGGTGGTCACGTCGACGACGCCGCTGACTGTGGCTCCATAGCCAACAGATACGATGACTGCGAATCTATAAACCAAATCAGAGTCTCTCTTCCTGATAGAACATCCTTGAATGAATGCAACTCACAGGAAATTCGCGAACAGGAACGCAATGAGGGTCCACTGAGGCAGCGCATCAAAGGTGAATCTTCCCCGACGTCGGACAACCAAGGCGCCAATCCCCAAGCCCAGAGACGCCGCTCCCAGAACGCAGGTTAGGCCCAGTTTTGCATTCTGCAGCGAGCTCTGAAGCTCGAGATAGAGGTCGAGAGAGTCATCGGCGCTGTTTTGGACGCCCGAGGACATTTTGAAGGGGAGGCATTACAGCAGTCAGCAGTCAGCGCCCGCCAACTTGGCAGGCTGCAAGCCTTTAAGGACAGAAGGCAGAGTCGAGGGATTCTGGGGATCATCTGGGGCTGTTTCAATCTCACCCTGTTGTTTGTTGGCCCAGATGCAGGGCCCACAGCCACAGCCTCACACAGACACGAGCGATGACGAACGTAAACAGGGTTGACAGTGATCAGACTTCACTCTTGGCTGATGTATTTAATATTCTGCTGTCTATTCCATGCCAGTAATTCCTACAGCTCCCGCAGCACTTTCAGTTATACTGTGGTCGCGTATTCAACATGGGACACTGGGATAAATCAGTAACAGGGCAGTGTGTGAACATCCCAATCCAGTTAAATCATGCGCTGATGCTTATCATGTCCTGATAGAGAGATCTGGGCGTACTCTGAGCCACCACTCATGTCGATCGATGTCGATCTGCTCGAATAAAAGTGCTCTCCAGCTCAGGTATACACACAATCTATGGGCTTAACATTAAACTCGAACGAGCCGGAGATACAATAAATAGAGCCCAGTGTCCAATATTAAGATATACATCAGAACCATGACCAGTTGGTCAGAAATATTCCGAAGTGAATGCATGCTCATAATAATCTAATTGGTGGAGAATTGCTCGACAAGTAGTACCCTGTAGATATATATATGTACCAGCTTGACTACTCATTTTCACAGTTAAACAGAAAGTAATCCCAATGGTCGCAAATTGTCAATCAACACAAAGGGTGCTCATTTTATAAATTTCCATGGATTGTCAGCGTTTCATTAACGCTGCAAAGTACTACCACTACAAGCTCTCACTACGACGAGAGATAAGACCTCCGTATACTACGCAGCCTCCGAGATGGCCAACACATTGCTATTTTATTCAATCGAATTAGACTTTCATGTTTACTAGTACAACTACTGTCAACCCCCTTGATGGTAAAGATCCAGTCATTGTGTCATTATCATATATCAAATACTAAACGACAGCCCACCGTTAGCAGAGATGATACTGCCAGTGCACCATCCAAACTCAGGATTGCAAATCGTCGCAATCAGGCCAGCAATCTCCTCTGCATACGCTGCCCTGCCTCCAAACTTGTTGCCCAGCTCCTTGACCTCGTCGCTGTCCGTCTCACGAACCGGAACCAACGGGGTAAGGGGGTTCCACCGGGCAAGGCCCTGTTTCACCTCATCCGGCGCAGTGAGATACATATCGGTCATGACCGGGCCAGGGTTGATCGAGTTGACGGTCGCACGTTCAGCAAGCTCACGCGCCCAAACCCTCGTCATGGCCTCGATGGCGCCCTTTGTCCCCGCGTACAAGGTAGTGTGTTCCGTGCCAACCTTGGAGTTGATGCTCGACAGCATCACAATGCGCCCAGAGCGATCTGTTGGGAGATAGTCCCTGCAGACACCTGTCAAGAGAATCGGACCTAGGACATTCACCTCGTAGATGCGGTGGAACTCGGCAGGGTCGACGGTCTCCAGCGGTCCGATGAAGAGGATCGCAGCATTGTGCACGATAATGTCGATCTGCAGCTTTCCAGTCTGCGGGTTGGTGAATTTCTCCTTCGCGGCTGATATAATGCGCTCGCACTCCTCTCTGGTGGTGATGTCTGCGCGGATGGGGAGGGTCTGGACGCCGAATTCCTTCTCGAGCTGAGTGGCAAGAGTCGCAGCACGCTCATCAGAGGATGCAGTGGCGTAGTTTATAATCACATTGCAGCCCTTGCTGGCGAAGTTGCGGGCGATTTCAGCACCGATGCCTGGGCTGTTAGGATAGTTGGATATGGAAGCCGACTACAACTTACTGCGGGCGGAACCGGTGACAAGTGCCAGCTTGCCTTCATAGATGCGAGCCATGCTACCCATGTTGACGGGGAATTGAAACACGGAGCGTACGAGGTGGGATGGCGTGACAACTGGGGACGGGCTGGTTCGCATTTATATTCGGTCCACAATCCACACGGCCAGGCCGGCACCAGACGGTCCACTTGAAACGGCCGGGGAAGGGGCCGAATCCTTGCTACTAAGTCATAATACATTGACTAACGAAGCGCACACGTTGACTTGTCGAGTCATTGTAGCGTTGTTGAGGTAAGTTACGTTGATTGATATCTACAGTCGGAGCTTTATATACAGAAATAAACTACCAAACTACCACTTGGACAGGAATCCTCCGTCAACCGGCAGACTGACGCCGTGAACGTACGACGAGCTGTCGGACGCCAACCAGAGCGAGGCCTGCGCGACCTCGTGGGGCTGGCCAAACCGGTGCAGGCTGCTGACTTTGGGTGCGAACTCGTCGTGCGTCGTGCCCATGATCTCCAGGGCCGCTGCAGACATCTCGCTCTGCATTAATTAGATTAGCCCGCAGTGCATAGCCCACGTGGGAAACTTACAAAGATGGCTCCTGGAGCAACGGTGTTTACGCGAATACCGCTGGGTCCTCCCTCTGTGGCGGCGTGCTTGGTCAAGCCCAGAATGGCGTGTTTTGATAGAGTGTACGCCGGCATGTTGGGCTGGGGCATGTACGCGTTGATCGAGGCAATGTTGACAATTGACCCCCTGGTCCCCTGCTTCTTCATCTGCTGCATCTCGTACTTGCAGCAGAGAGCAGTCCCCGTCAGGTTGACATCGATCAGCCGCCGCCAGTAGTCCTCGTCGGCCTCCAGCAGCGCCGTCTTGTCAGGAGTCATCGCGGCGTTGTTGATGGCTACATCCAACTTGCCGAATGCGCTGACGGTCTGCGCGATGAGGTTCTGGATATCCTCCGACTTGGAGATGTCCGTGCGTACGAAACGAACCTCACCAAGTGAAGAGAGCTCCTCAGCAACCTGCGCCCCCTGTTCGTCCCTGACATCGGCGATGACCACCTTTGCCCCTGCGCGGAGGAAGACGGAGGCTGTGGCCTTGCCCATGCCCTGGGCGCCACCCGTGATGATGGCCACCTTGTCCTTGAGGACGGGGAAAATCGGGGCCTCTGGGAAGTCCATCTTGGAAATAAATCAAATAATGTTCTGAACTTGTGACAGATCAAAGGTGGAAGGTTGGGATTGGCTGGTGGGACAACGGTCGCTGCTGGACTTTATGTCCTCGTGCAGCAGTCTGGGCTCGTGGAGACACTGACCGACTTTTGCAACTGCTCCAAATCAGTGGATTGACGAGGATAACACGGCAAGGGAATAATCCAACAGTCTGAACCCGTGGCGACTGGCGAGTGTTGGAATTAGGGCAGCAATTTCCGGTCCGCGCAGACCAGCCAAAACAGTTCAAACAGGCCGATGCACGACGATGCAGCCAGGATCCCCAGTGGAGCCGCTACTGGCCGGGGAGTTTATCTCCATTCTCCAAGCCAGCGCTCGTAGTCTAGTTGCAGTCTAGTTACAGCCTAGGACGTGGGCCTTTCCTTCGTAGACTGCTCCACTGCCAAGCTGTCAAGGCCAACGGTCAACTGTCAAGCACGAGGCAGCTGCAATACAAGAGAGCTTCATCCTTCCGTACCCATATTCTCAGCTGGAGGAGCACCATTGGTCCTTTTGGTCCGGACTGGAGACGATCCCAACAGCAGGATTGATGGCCCTCCTGCGTGGCTTGGCAGCCCACTGTAAATACGTTTAGCAGGCGCATCTCGGAATAAGCTTGAGTCGCATAGCGCGTGTAATTAGGTAACGGCTGCTGCAAAGCTGTGATAGCCACGATGATCTCTCATGGTCCAGCCTAGCGTTGGTGTTCTTAACTTGTTATGCCACATGGGCCGCTCTCCACCCCCTTGCCCACCCACCACGTTCTCTGGCTTGCCCTAGATGAGGCACAATCACACCGTACGAGGTGAAGGAACAGGCGGGTGCATGACTAGCACACAATAGGGGTGTTGACAGGGGTATTCTCTGCTTTAGTCAGTTTTGGGACGAGCTAATACTTAACCATCATCGGCTGGAGGAGGGCTCATCCTGATCTTTTCTTCTTTCTTGACTGCCCACTGTCCGCTCATTGACACCAGGATATCACTATGGCTGAGAGATCCGAGAAGAAGTCTGGTGTTGATGTCCGACCCATCGCGTCCAAGGTCGAGACCCCGGGGACCAGTCTGGTCAATATCTTGGTATGCTAGCAATCATCCAAGCTCAATCGCTGTGCTAACCTGGCAGGTTGTTGTAACTGCGTGTCTGGGTGGCTTTATGTACGGCTTTGCTGCCAACGCACTCTCCGGCTCGCTGTCCCAGCCCTCCTTCCAGGCAAAGTTTCTCAACAGGCCCGATGCAACCAGTGTTCAGGATGGCATGCTCTCTGGGTATGTTTCTAGTATGTTGTGTATATGAAATGTACTGACGACCCAGTTTCCTCGGAGGTGCCCTCGTTGGCGCCGTCTTCCAGGCTCCCCTTTCCAACAAGTTCGGTCGTCGCATTGCCAACCAAGCAGCATCGGTGCTTATGATCATCTCAGGAGCTCTCCAGGCCGGCTCCGTTGACGTTCCTATGTTCACCGTGTGCCGTGTCATCAGCGGTATTGCCGGTGGAATGCTGTTCGCCAACACTCCAGTCTATATGAGTGAAGTCTCTCCCCCCCACACCCGTGGCATGCTGGTCGGCCTTGTCGGCGTCGGCGTTGTGACGGCGTATATCCTATGTGCCATTTTCGCTCTGGCCTTCAGCTTCGTGCAGTCGGACGTTGCCTGGAGACTCATCTTCATCGTGCTGACTGGCTTCGGCTGCGTGCACCTGGCCTCGCTCTTCTTCATCCCGGAGTCGCCCCGGTGGCTCACCGAGAAGGGCCGTGATGAGGAGGCCAAGAAGGTGCTCGAGTACCTGCACAACACCAAGAAGGATGGCTCAGCCCGGTTTGCCCACGCCGAGCTGGACCAGATCAAGGCCCAGGTAGACTTTGAGCGCAACACCCCGCGTGGCTACATGCACATCCTCCGCACTCCCTCCCACCGCAAGCGTGCCCTCTGCTCTATCCTGCTCTGGGTGATGGGCCAGGGAACCGGTATTACCGCGATTGCCAACCTGGTCCCGACCCTGATGGGTGGCCTGGGATTCGACGCTACAATGCAGCTGGGTCTCGGTGTCGTCTGGACCGTCTGCGCCATTATCGGATGTGGAATCAACGTTATCCTGCTGGACCGCGTTGGACGCGTGAAGCTGCTCAGTATGTTCAATAATCAGACCCACCACACATAAATGCTAACAGTCGCAGTTGCCGGTGGATTCGGCTGCGCTGCTATTATCGCCGTCATGGGCGCACTGTCCAAGTACTATCTGAACTCGACGTACACCCCTGGCATCAACGCCGCAGTGGCCATCTACTTCATCTTCGGCGCCTTCTTCACCTCCACCATCGAGTGCACGGCCTACGTCTACGGGGCCGAGATCTGGCCCACGCACCTCCGCAGCGAGGGATCCACGATTGCCTTTGCCAGTTTCTTTGGCAACGCGGTCGCGTACACGGGCCCTGTTACTATGGCCCTTGCGACTATTGGATGGAAGTACTACATGGTGTTCGTTGCCGTGACTGTTGTGTCTACTGTCCTGATCATGTTCTACTTCCCTGAGGTACAACCCACTACAAATCCCGATAATGAGTAAAATAGCTAACATCGTTGCAGACTATGGGTCTCAGTCTGGAGGAAATCAACGCCAAGTTCGGAGACACCGTCGAGCTCGACCTGCAGGACGCCCTGGCTGCGCAGGACAACAGCTCTGTCTCCAACTCCGAGTCCGTCACCTCGGACAAGGTGTAGATAAAACATACTAGAGGGTTAGTGTAAGGTAGAAGAAGGGTGGGCTGCTTTCATATGTACATTGATTCGTTTGTAGTCTGGTTCTGTGTCTTCCTTGTTTTAGAATATGCTTTTAATATAACTGTCTCATGTTAAATGTTCTCCAAATGTTCTCCAAATCCTGCCGAATCCTGCCAATTATCCAACATCCCGGCAGATACAAGAATTCAATAGGCTTGTTCTGGACAAGGCTCCTACCCCTGCCGCCACCCGCTGTAAGAGGACGCCACCAGTAGTCACCGAGCAATACCCAGCAAGTCACAGACGAGGCTCAGGTCGGGACGGGTGGCATGCCGATCGTGGCGGGGAATGTGGTCTTCGCATCCGGCACGGGTCGAAGAGTCCAAGACGGCGTCGACTGTTCTAGATGAGGCCGGTCTCTTTCCTAATTAGGGCTCGGATATCCCCCCAGCAAGTCCCCAGGTAACTCACCCCGACGTCCATGGAAACTCCACGGCGAGCAGACAGTAAGCCACTTATTCTCTCTTTTCGGAAACCTTCGAATCGACGATCCGCGCCGGAATTATCAAGATCCTGACAGGCCGCTAGTTAGATTGGGCGGGTCGCAGCCTGAGCGAAGGATTTGCTGCGATATCCACTGCGCTCCACCAGGGCCTCAAGGTTGTTTCAGCCGGAGCCCTCCAACTCCAATTCGCAACAGCAAGTACGTATGTCGGATTTCAACACCGCACCATCACGAACAAGGATTTAGTTGGCGTCGCTGGGTCCAATTGTAGCATGTCCTCCGTGCGCTCTCCACTGCTCTGGGACGGGTCAGGATACCACGAAGGATGATAATAATACAGTCGCCCCATTGCTGTTGGCTCACCTGACACCCCTGCATCTGCACAGCTTTAGCGAGGTCTAGCTGTCCCAAATGCGGCTGTGAAGGGACTTTCGACACTCGCCGGACTGCTTGGCTCATTCCCTCAGAGCGGTACGGCTAAACGGTCGACTATGAAGACGGGACCGTTGAGATCTAGCTGCAATAGGCGTGCGATCACCGGTCTCAGTTTAGATCCTCGAGCTCAAATCCTACTGACATTAGGCTTGTACTTTGTACTCTTGCCAGAGGCTTCACCCCTGACCCCTTTGTTATTGTCCCAGTCCCGAAGAACTGGTTGATATATGAACCACCCGGCGCTTTGACTGAGTTCTTCTGTATTCTGCCACAAGCCACAAGCGAACATGGTTCTGCGTGAAAAGGGTCCGACCCTTGTCGGGGTCCTCTGGATGGAGACTGTTATCTGCCTGGTCGTGCTTGGGCTGCGTCTTTACACTCGAACGAGGATTCTTCGCAACCCTGGCTGGGATGACCTGCTGCTGGTGATAACTTGGGTACGTTGCCCATTCCTGTGCAAACCTTGCTCTCGATGCTAACCCGTGAAGTTCTTGATGGTGGCCTTTGCAGGGTTATGTACTGGATCTGCTCACTATGGAATGGGGGTCCACGCAGAGTTCCTCTCACCACATGAGTCAAGCCACGCGATGCTGCTGCTGCTGAGCGGCCAGAGTGTCGTTGCCCTTGCCATGGGCATCAGCAAGTTTGCAGTCGGTGTGTTCTTGCTGCGTATCGTCGTCAGCAAATGGTACATTCCTCCCTTCAGCCTTCTGGAATATCCTAACGATTATACAGGCACAAGGCGTTTCTCTGGTTCTGGAATATCAGCATCATGGTCCTCAGTATCCTCCTGGCCATTACCGTGTTTACGCAGTGTACACCGGTCCAGTCAATCTGGGACACGAGCGTTCCTAAAGAGAGCTGCCCGTTGAGTCTGACCGTGATTGCAACCATCATGTGTGGTAAGTCATAACACCTACCTACATAGGAACTACCTGACAAGGAGAAGCATGGTCTGCTGCCCTGGACTTTGTCCTGGCTCTGTTCCCCTGGTACGCACTCTGGGGGTTGAACATGAAGCGCAAGGAAAAGATCACGATCTGCGCATCCCTCAGCCTGGGCATCTTGTAAGTCTGAGAATCCTCTCATGTTCCCTGCTGACAGTATCAAGCGCCGGAGTCTGCGGTGTCATCCGGACCAAAACCCTCGACTCACTATCTCAATCGACAGAATACCTCTGTATGCTCTGATAATACCCATATCATCGACATCGCTAACAGGATAGATGCAACAACCGACTCCGTCATCTGGACCAACTCCGAACTAACCACAACGATCGTCTGCGTCTCCGTCCCTGCCCTCCGTCCCCTCTACCGATCCATCCGCGGCTTGAGCTCCTCCAAAGACGCCTCAAACTACAACAACCTCGGCGGCTCCTACGGCAAGTCCAGCGCCAACCGCAGCAGGCAGCCCAGCTACGGGATGGACACTCTGATCTCGAGCAAAGTACGCGGCGACGACGTGCAGGACTGCGTTGTGACCACAAGCGGCAAGACGGTGGAGATCGACGACGGCGACGACATCGACACGCGACGTATCCTTCCTAGGAACAGAGACACCGCGCAAAACATCTACCAGGTGAAGGAGGTTATCGTGTCGTACGAGGACCGTAGGAATGGCGAGGGGTCGATGGGCGAGAGCACGTCTCCGCCTGCGGTGAGGGCGAGACAGCATATTTGATTTCTGTTGTGAACGAAAAGAGAAAGGAAGGAAATGTCGATTCTTGTGCTCTTCGTGAAGGCGTGGCCTCTACTTGTACTGTATAGTAATGATACCACTTGACTTGGAGCCATCGTTCCGTGGCTTAATTGATTAGACCGTTGGGGTATGTTCAACTCTTATAGACCTTACTCATGCTGATAAGCTTGATACGTAAGGATACGCTAGTATGTTGAAATGTTTCATCTAGGTGAATAGGTCCATTGAATATCCATTGTAATCACTGCAGGAGAAGGTGTTCCAGCAATCAGCAGCGTGGATAGACGCCATTACACATCAAGCAGAGCAGATCATTCGTTGAGTTTGTACTTGCTGAAGAAATCGACAATGTACTCTGTCGCATCAAAGACATACTTGCCCATGGGACACTGGTCTGGATGGTCTTCAAAGTCACTGTTCGACTCTGTACTCGGCCAGCAGTGGCCATTATTGCCCTCCCGGTAGTGCTGAACGATGCCATCTTTCCCACCACAGTTCCAAACGACGTGCTTCACTACCGGATCCTCAAAGACAGTCTGGTTCTCCGCCGGGGGAGCGCCCAGCTCGCACCTATTTTCCTCGACCCAGAGATTGAGGACATCAATGATCGGGATCTTGCGATTGTCGTTCGTATTGCCATCAATAGGCGCCGTGGTATCGCCCACGCCATGGAACTCCAGAAAAGGAAACCCTTCATCACGACTCACAGGCTCACACGGGGGCACATCCGGCGCAGACTCGGCGTCATAGTACGCACCACTAACGGAGGCAAACGCAGCGAAACGCGCACCAACAGTCTCATTGCAAGCGATGACATTAGTGAAGCCGCCACCATTGGACTTCCCCACCGAATATACCCTGCTCGAGTCAATACACAGCTTCTCCTCCATATGCGTCAGCAGCTGGTCGGTGAAATCCAGATCATCGGGGCGCGAGGCGTCGGCCTTGGGATTCGACAGCCAGTACCCATTCTTGCTGTTCGGGTACACGACTACAGCGTCCTTGTTGAATTTGGGATTCGAGAACTGCGACAGCTGCTCCTGCGACGCCATGTCCCTGGTCGCGCCGTGGAAGGAGAAGTACAGCGGGGCGGGCGTGCTGGTGTCGTATGTCTCGGGGATGTACAGGATGTACTCGCGATCGCTATCGGGCAGATGCAGCGACTTGCTGGATCCAGGTCTGGGGTAGGCAGGAGGAATATCAGTGCCACAGCCTGAGTCCGCCAGGGACAGCTTGGCCAGGCCTGCTAGGCCTGCCACGGCGAAGAAGGAATGAATGTGCATGTTTGCGTGCTGGAGGAAATGGGGCCAACACACCTCAGTCAGCGCCAGCGGCAGCCTTTTAAACCCCCATCAATCCAGTGCAAAAGGTCAGGCGCGAAGGAATTCTCCGACTGACGCTGCTTATGGTCGAACTGCGAATAGGGACGCGAACCCGTGCATGGCGAAGGGGCTTGTACGCTTCCATTGCATACGGAAGCACCAATCAAACAACTCGCGTGCTCACTTTCTCAGCTCAGATCGCGGAGATTGCGGGGAAAACAGGGAGAACAGGGAGAACAGTCCGATCGAATGCTGATCGCTGGGGCTGACTCGGTCAGCTCCGATGGACTAGACCCTGACATCGAAGCAGAATAAGCCTCGGTGGTCGAACGTGTCGATTCAGGGGGATATCTAAGCAAGGGCTAGGGCTGGCTGCATAAACTATAAACACCAACCAGTATTGGATTTCCTTCGGCCATTCAGCTGCGACAATGTGATGTGCACGCGCAGCCCTACCCTCACCGTAATCTTGTCTTCGGCGTTGTCAAGGTTGGCATCCTCGCTTAGCCCCAGGGGAAAGGATAATTGCCTTTTCTGTTGTCAAGACCTTGAGTATTCTCTAACATTACACTAGTCGCAGGATGTGCTAACTGATATCTGGAGGATAATGAGTTACTCCACGTCTAATCTCGCACTATAGATCACCTCGCGTCTTCCACCCATTCTGCAGAAACCTTACCATCGACTCGATCCAGCCCGGTAATTGCAGCGCCCAATCCCGTGCAGACATGATGCTTAAACTCCCTGGTTGGTATCCGCGCTTGGAACATGTCGTCCAACTCCTCCAGCGACCGATCTTTCGTCTCAGGAAGCATGAGCCACACCCAGGCGGCGGCGACCACCGAGAAGCCCCCATAGATGAAGGTAACGGCGCCACCTAGATCGGCCTGGACATACGGGTTGACAAAGTTGATAGGCACTGAAGTCACAAAACTACCCATCGAAGCCAGAAACAGCGTCCGCTCTCGCAGCTGGCCAGTTCCAACCTCGCCAGCCACGACCCAGCATCCAGGGCCCCAGGTAAAGCCGTAGATGCAGTACCAGAGAATAAGAAGCGCAACAGATGCCTCGGCTGCGGTGGATGAATAGTTGCCAGCAGTCCCTGTACTCGTCGCCACCCCAGTCCCCAGCATCGTCCCAGCGAGGAGGATAGATCCCAGGAACAATGACGGTCTTCGGCCAATCTTATCAAAAGTAAGAAAAGTAATAATGTGCACGGCGAAACTGCACCCTGTCACCAGGAGATTACTCCGCAGTGGGTCAGGGAATCCCAGCTGCTCCATAAAGGTGACCACGAAGTTCTGGATAAACGAGACACCCTGCGCCTGCTGCAGGATCTGAACGCCCATGGCGATAATCGTGCGGCGGAGATTCGTACCCTGGAAACAATCCCATATAGACGTCGCGCGGTGAAGTTCGCGTTGTTCAAGGTCTTGCACCTTGAGCAGCTCGACTTCTTGTGGGATTGTCTCTGGGTGGTTTGACAGCGAGCGAAGGACGGCTTCAGCTTCATCGTATCGGCCGCGGTAGACGAGGTATCTTGGAGATTCAGGTAGGAACGCAAAGAAGGTTACATATCCGACAGGAACCATCAATTGACACAGAATCACAATCCTGTCTTGTTAGTTTGTATGCGGCAAGGCTTGGTTGGTCTTACAGGTACTGCCACTTGTCTTGCCGGTTACGAGACAAATAGACAACAATCGACGCGAGAAATACACCCAGCGAGTTAAAGAAACTGTAGAGAGCGAGAAATGCACCTGTCGTTGTTAGTATTGCTGACAGAAGTGGCACACACGTACCTCTGATCCGTGGAGGAGAGCATTCAGACAGATACAAGGGGACACAGTTCGACGCCAATCCAATCCCAGAATACACAATAATGCGGCCAACAACCAGCTGCCAGAAGGAGGTCACTGCTGATGCTTCCAGTGTAATACCGACCGACATTAATGCGGACATCACAAGAAACGCATTGCGACGCCCAAGCGTGGTAGTCACGAACGGAGCGATGATGCACCCGAGAATGATACCAGCCGACCCCGTCCCTGTTCCCACCGATGTCTTGTGTGATGGGATACTGTACTGGCCCAAGTCCTCATCCCATTCTCCATACTTTCGCTGGAACTCCGAAAGGCCCAAGGCTCCTCCCCACCAGCCATTGTCGAAGCCGAAGCCCATGGCACCGAGCGAGGACACAGCCCCGATGAGCATGAGTCGGCCATTCAGGTCGTGGAAGAGGCTGTAATTTTTCACAGCTTCGAGCATGTTGATAGATAGGATATGTCCGGTTCTCCCTTATTGGCAATGTCCTCGTTTACCCCATTTATACATTTCGTTTACCCCAACATCCACCCAACAAGGCAGCTCCTAGCACAAGGAAAGGCCAAGCGCGGGCGTGGGGGTGGTTAGGCCTGATAAATAAATACAGACATACGCTGCAGACATGTTTTGAGTTCGACCGACCATCATGCCTGTTCAGACCAAAGTGATCCTACAATCAGCGCTCCTCAAGGCCGCCGCCAACCTGACTGCGCAAGATGCCAACTCCAGCCTCTCAGCAATAGACTGGCAGTCGGTGGCTGAATTCGTCATTTTCTGCCTGATTCAAGCACACCTGAACTGCCACTGGCAACGATTCCTCGAGGATACCTTCCCCACCCTCTCTCCAGCTCGGGGCAAGCAACGCACAACAGCCTGGCACAATGTCCTCCTGAAACTGGCACTCGACCAAACCATCGGTCTCTTCATCATGAACGTCATCTTCCTCGTGTGCACCAACGCAGTACGACCATCCAGCGCCAGCCTAGTAGCGGAGGTGAATGGCAAGATCTGGCCGTTGATCCGCAACGCGTGGAAGGTCTGGCCGGCCTGTGCCCTGGTCAATTTCCTGTGCGTACCAGTGGAATCCAGGGTTCTGGTGGCATCCTGTGTTGGATTCGGCTGGAATGTCTTCTTGGCTCTGTTCATGCTGGCGAAATAGGAAGTTTGAGCCTGCTGCATGTTGGATGTTGTCGGAGAGAAGGCCGCAGTTGGAGGCAATAGTTAGCAGCGCTTATGCATTCCTTTTCTGCTATTCCTATTTAGAAGGTGTAAGCTGCAACCGTAGCTATAAACCGAGCTTGGCCTGATTATTATCCCACCTAAAATGGCGTGGTGGAAAACAGCCTTGATTGCCCTGTCCTGGGCTCGTCTCTCACTCCAAGCACAATGTCGACTGGCGCAAGAAGATAAACCACGTCTGTTCGTACTCAGCGATATTGCAAACGAACCAGATGATGCGCAGTCCCTCGTGCGCCTGCTGGTCTACGCCAATGAATTCCACATCGAAGGCCTCGTCGCAACCACCAGTATCTGGCTCAACGACACTACACGTCCTGATCTGATGCACGACATTGTAGATGGCTACGCACAGTCCCTGCCAAATCTCCAAGCCCACGCGACCGGGTGGCCAGACACTGCAGATATAAAAAAGGTAATCGCCTCCGGCCTCCCAGTCTATGGCAGGGACGGAGTCGGCGAGGGGAAAGACAGCACCGGGTCCAGACTCCTCGTCGAGGCAGTCGATGCCTCCGACAAACCTTTATGGATTCCCATCTGGGGCGGCGCATCCGTTCTCGCACAAGCTCTCTGGCACGTCAAAGCAACCAGACCGGCTTCAGAAATCGACCGCTTCGTACAGAAGATCCGCGCATACTCAATCTCCGACCAGGACAACACAGGCCCATGGATCCGGCGCAACTGGCCACAACTATTCTACATCGCCAGCGTGCACCACTTCAACCGCTACACCGTCGCGGCGTGGGGAGGAATGTCTGGCGAAATGTACTACCACTTCCCAAGCGGGGCAGACGCCGAGCTCGTCTCGCCGGAGTGGGTGCGCGAGAATATCCAGAATACAGGACCCCTTGGGTCCAAGTACCCCGACGCCGAGTTTATCCTGGAGGGCGATTCCCCGTCGCTGCTGTATATGATCCCCAATGGCCTGTCGGACCCCGAGCATCCGGAATGGGGCTCGTGGGGTGGTCGATATGGGCCGGTGGCGTACGGGGAGGGCCACTTTGCCGATAGTGTGGATACACTGGTGGACTCGGACGGACGAACGATCATGGGCTCGCATGTTACGATCTGGCGATGGCGCGAGGCATTCCAGAGGGACTTTGCGGCGCGCATGCAGTGGACGGCGACGGGTGAGTATGACAAGGCCAACCATGCACCGATTGCTGTGGTGAACGGTATCCCGGGACGGCATGTCATTGAAATGGTAGTCACAGCCGGTGAAGAGGTTATTCTCGATGCCGGCGAGTCCTGCGATCCGGATGGGCGTGTTCTCTCGTTCAAGTGGTGGCAGTACCGCGAGCCGTCGTCGAACAACAACACGCCCAGGCGAGACGTGGCAGACCTAGAAATCAGAGAGCCAGAGTCTCCTTCGACGACTGTTACGATTCCACCGGAAGACGTCCTTCGACGACCAGGCCGAAATGCGCATCCGGAGAGCGATAAGCACCTGCATTTGATCCTGGAGGTGTCGGACGGTGAGCTCGTGGCGTATCGGCGGATCATACTCACGGTGAAGTCTCCAGGGGTGGGCCATGATGAGCTGTAGATATTCTACGATTTTACCATTCAAACTGATAGGATTATTTAGTCTACGGTGACAAAGATTAGAAGCTAAAGCTGAGAGATACTTAGGGGTTAGAGAGCAACTATCTATACATCTACTAAAGGAAGAGTTGATACAATCCCCCACCCCCAAGGCGGGCAGAGGTTTACAGACCAAATAGTCAAGCGCCTTGTAGGCAATTGCAGCGCTGGCTGTGGCTAGTATGCCGCCAATGTCCTACAGGCGTCAGCGAGGCCCTCTCTACTTGCCCCGATCCAGTCCTTGATCTGCTGCTGGTGGCTCATGCGCCGGTTGTAGATGAATTCGAAGTCGAGGCAGTCGCCGCGCACAGTTATGTTGATATCGAACAGAGCGATTCGCTGGATCCCATCTCCAGGGCTCAGCGGTCCGAGAACGCTATGGTGATCCGAGATAAAGAGGGAATCTTCACGCTGCAGCTGCTTGTAATGCCCAGCGTAATTGAGGACGATCTCCATTGGGTGCCTCAATCCGAGCGTCATTGGTCCTTCAGGGTGCAGATACCGGGAGGTGAAGTATGCCCACCATTTGCGCGGCGGAACTGCGCGGCGCGTCTCCTTGACGGCCCGTATAACATGGATGATGCTCATGCTTTGGCTTACAGGGACAGACATGGGGTAGATAGTGCTGAACCATCCCACAGTCTCAGATAAGTCTGTGCCGGCGTCCCACGGCTCCCGGCCATGCCCTTCCACGCCGAAGACCGGGCCTTCGCTGCGACCTGGAAAGACGCGGACGAATGCAGAGAGCAGAACTGCATGGAATAGCTCCTCTGGACGCGTGTCCAAAGGGTCGTTCATGGGGCCCAGCAGTTGCTGCGTCAAGTCGCTGTCCACCGTGAAATGCTCTACCGTTCTGTCTCCCATCACGTTCGTGCAGTCGGCAACTCCCCAAAAGGGCCGGGGATCCCACGAGGCCCGACTCATTGCCTCTGGCGACAGCACCGTGGCAGGATGCAAATGGTTCCGGGTGTACTGCTCCTGCAACGCACACCAGACCTGGAATGAGAGTGGGCGGGTTAGGTTCACCGTGGCTGTTGCGCTGGGACTGCGCAGCTCTGCCTCCAAGTCGGAGAATATAATCCGCCAGGACGCCAGATCGGTCACCAGAAGGTGTATGACAAGGTGCAGGTACTGGACCTCATCGCCCACGGCATTGATTAGATCAAGGCAGAAAAGGGGGCCCCTTTCGATGTTTATGGCATCCTGGGCCGCCGCAACTATACCCCCCCATTCGCCGGCGTTGGGCACGGTATGGACGAGGCAACGGTAGGATCCAGCAGCAGTAGGCATCACTCGCTGGCTCCATCGTCCATCCGGCTTCTGTTCAAAACGCGCTCGAAGCATGCTGTGCCTCGTCACTACCGCTCGCGCCGCGCAGTCCAGGTCTTTGCCTGTGATCGTCGACGACAGGCGCAGCAGGAAGGATTGATTGAACTTCTGCCGGGGGTCAGGCTGCATATCGAAGAACATTTTCTGGATCGGCGACAGCCCGAAGGGAGTTCCGGGTACTTCCTCCAGCTGGGGTACTTGGTGATCAGTACTTTGCCTATGCTGGGCTATTTTTGCGATACTTCGGTGCTGTATTATGTCCTGGACAGAGGTAAGCAGTCCCTTGGATCGTGCCAGCGCGACCACCTGCATTGCGCTCATCGAGTCGCCGCCCAGATGGTAGAAGCTGTCGCTGACGCTAATATCCTCGGCGCGCATGTTCAAAACAGGGGCCCATGTATCGCGCAGTGCCTTCTCTGAGCTGGTCATGGTCGTCCGTCGGTCTTCTGCTTTTGGCTGGTAGGTAGCCAGCTCAAGCCAGGACAGCTTTGCACCGAGCTCGCGTAGCAGGCGGCGGTTTGCCTTTCCAGAGACATTGGTTGGAATCTGCTGCAAGGGAATGAAGACGTCCGGTATCATGTAGCGCGGAAGGAACTTGTCCAGATCCTCTAGACACTTGCGGACCTGGGCGTGGAATTCATCCGTGACTGATGCAAATGGGTGTGTGTCTGTGATGCCTTGCCCTTGAACCTCGGTGCAGACAAACGCAACAAGACAGGCCTGGCCCTGGGCTGCTCCTCTGGGGACGAATGTCTCGGCAACCAGATCGACTATCTCCGTCATACAGGACCGGACGCCATTCTCCACCTCGCTCAGCTCAACACGCTGGCCTCTCAGCTTGACCTGCGTGTCATTTCTGCCGATGTAATGCAGCGATCCATCCCCTTGATATCGCACCAGGTCGCCAGTCTTGTAAAAGCGGTTTCGTGCACCGTCCGGTCTGATGTCGTGGAGCCAGGCAGGGGGGGTATCCAAGAACTTCTCCGCTGTCAACGTTGGATTGCCCAGGTACCCACGCCCGACAATCGGGCCCTCAATCAGCAGCTCACCCGGAGCTCCAACAGGCCTTAGTCTGTCGTGGTTTTCGGGGTCAACAACCCAGCATACGGCACCAACTCCGGTCCCGATATCGCGAGCATCGGACCCGAGGCCCACCTCATGGTTAAGCGTTGCGCAGACAGAGCATTCAGCCGGTCCATATTCATTCATCAGCTGCGCGTGCTGGGTCCAGTGCGAAATATCCGAGGCCGCCATCGGCTCGCCCACCAGGATGAGCACCTCGAAGGGGTGTATGCAGGACTGAGCCAGAACCCGGGCCACTGACGGTGTCAAGTACGCGTGAGTGACGGCAAGTTCCTCAACCACCTGAGCCAGTCTGTTTTCACGGTCGTGATCTGAGGGAATGCAAACACAGGCGCCCGCCATCAGTGTACTCACCATCTCAATGATGCTGGTATCAAATGCGTATGAAGCAAACTGCAAGACCCGGGACTGCGGACACATACGATGCCCCTTATTGTGGAACTTGGTCCCAGCATGGTAGGACCGGTGCTCGATCACAACGCCCTTGGGGGTACCGGTAGATCCGGACGTGAAGACAACGTAGAGGGCCGTGCTGGGGTCGATAACAGGGCTTCTGTGCTGCTCAAGACAGAGGGGATGCTCATGCAGCGTCCCTTGGCTGACGACGACAACAGTCGACTTGAGACTAGCGGCAAAGGCTGCATTCTTCTCTGACGCTAGAACGAGAGGTGAATCAGCCTGGCTGCAGATATCCTGTAGACGCTGCAGTGGCTGCGAGGGATCTAAAAGCACAAACGCTGCGCCGGCCTTCATTACGGCCAGGATTGCAACTACCGCCCACCGGGACTTCTCAAAGCACAGCGGAACGAGGGTCTCCCGTTTGATTCCTTGCATGCTGAGCTGAATTGATAACCGGGTGGACATTCCATTCAGGTCGGCATATGCTAGCCTACCATCGCACGCGTCCACCGCGCACGCGCTCGGTGATTCAGCAACACGTTCCTGTATGACTTCATGGACACATTCGGGTTGGATCTCAGGCGCAGCAGTGCCCCATCTCCTGATAGCTGCCGTGTCGAACGCGCCTAGGGAAATATCTCTCAGTTGAGCGCCCGGATGGGCAATCAGATACTGTAACACATGCCGAAAGTGCTCGAGGATATGCTGCATGATACTCGGCCGGATGACGTCCGGATCGAACTCGGCCGTGACGTGTATATTGGATGTGCTTGTAAGGCTACAGAGCAAGACAATGGCATACGACGCAAACCCCCCCTGCACGGAGGCGCCGTCTTCCACCAGGCGAAGGACATTCCCGCCTGATTGAGCGTTATCACGCCACGCTGGCTGCACGACGAGATGGCTTTGAAACTCGCAAGCGTCTGAGGCCTCCCGGCTGTATCTGCGGATGTTCTGCAGGCCAGTCTGTTCAAACGGGATCATCTCGCTTGCTTTCTGCTGTACAGCTGCCACTGCCTCTGTCACCGTGCGGTTGAGATCTATCTGCACGCGGAGAGGAACAGTGCTAATCGTGGGCGCAGGTAGCTTCTCAATGCCATCTATCGGCGCATTTCGCCCCGTCACCGTCACGCCGAACACTGTATCAGTCGTAGCAGTGTATTGGCTGATGCCGAGGGCCCACGCGAGCCGAATGAAACTAGACATTGTCGCACCCGTCGGCGGCTCTGTGGTGACCTGGAGATGGAGCGACTCCGACGGACGTGGCCGATGATGGGCTTGCGATGGCAAGGCTGGGAAAACCTCTGCTTCCAGGCCTGCAAACTCCTTGACCCAGAATTCCCGGGCCTGGCTTTGCGGAGAGTCGCTGATGTACTTCGTAAACGCAGCAAACGAGCTCTTCTCGATGGTCTCTCCTTCGAATGCGGCCTGCAGTGCGTCCAGAAAAATACCAGCCGACCAGCGGTCACACACCGAGTGATGCATTGTCAGAACTAGATACACTGCTAGAGGATCTTCTGGGCCTTTGAGCAGAGCACCACGGACTAGTGGTCCCCCCAGCTTCATTTCAGTGTACCGTCCGTTATCTAGATAGTCGTGCCACTGGTGGTCCGTATCCCACTGCGGGCTCTCTTCCTTGATAACGACTTGATGCATACGATTCCCTGGCGTCTGAATTATTCGCGTGCGTAAAATTGAATTGGCAGCGACCACTGTGGCCCACGCCGAGCGTAGACGGTCAACGTCCACTTCCTGGTTAATCTGGCAGATGAATCTAGCCACGTATGTCCCCGGGTTGGTCTGCCCCAATGCCATCATTCCCTCCTGTAATGGCGTGCATGGGAGTATGTCCTCAATGTCCTGCGTAGAAACATGGCAGAGCTCCGCTGCTGTCTGTGTAATCGTCTTTATGGCTTCGGTCTCTACCAGCGAGAACGGCGGGATTGCACCACCACGAGTTGTCGGTTGCAAGGAGGTCTTTGCGTTTGCGGCCAGGGCTCGAATGCTCGGCGCATCAAATATATCCTTGACAGAGATGGCCAGTCCACGCTGTCGCGCCGAGGCAGCCATCTTCATTGCCAGAACCGAATCCCCTCCGAGGCCAACGAAGGTGTAGTCCATCCTTACCAGGTGCGGTGGAAGGCTCAGCACTTGCGTAACGAGATCACGTATTGCCCGTTCCTTTGGTGTATTGGGCCCTGTATCGCTGCCTGCAATGGCCAGGCCAGTTAGGGCTGCGAGCTCCTCGATACACAGATTGCTCGCCTGGTCACGCAGCTGTCGTCGGGCTATCTTACCAGTGACTGTCACCGACAGATGGTCTACGCAAAGAAAAATGTCTGGAACCATATAACGGGGCAGCTGGTCCGTTAATCTCCTCTTCACAGCCTTCGTCTTGGCCGTGAATGCCATATCCGGCACACCAAAAAGGGACTTTTGTCTCCCCTCTTCCTGAGGTTGTCCAGGTCTGACTGCCTTTTCTGCATGTGGGACGAATACAGCAAGACGAAGCTGATCCTCATTTGCCAGCGTTATAGCATCTACAACTGCCCCTGAAAAGGATGGATCCCCGTGCGCGAGGTGATGCTCGATCACGCTCAACGGGGTCCGCTGGCCCCGGATCTTGACCTGTAGATCTTTCCTGCCGACATGCTGAAGTGAACCATCGCTGTTGTAGAATGCCAGGTCCCCAGTTCTATAGAACCTCCTCTTCCGCTGCTGCGAGATGCTTTCGTCCAGCGCCCATGCAGGGTCGGTTATGAAGCTCAGCGCCGTCTTATGCGGGTTCTGCAGGTATCCCTGTGCGAGACTGGGCCCTTCAATAACCAGTTCTCCCACGACACCAATCGCCACCAGCTGATCGGGGTCATGGGAGTCGACCAGCCAGGCTGAGCCACAAACTGGTGCCCCAATGCTGGCGGATTTATCATCTGCGCGGATCTGCGGAGAGACGCTGAATGTGCCGGCCCATTCGGTGAGTCCGTATGCCTGGAAGAGCTGGGTATATCCGACCCAGAGTGACTTCTGCGCATCCCTCAGAGGTTCACCGGCTACCACGATAGTCTTTAGACCAGGGGCAGTTTCAGGTTGCAGCAAGTCGAGGATGGTCGGCGTGAGGACGGCCCAGTCCGCTTGCAACATGCTAATCGTGGTGGCCAGGCGGTCCAAACGGTCAGCGTCGGACGGTATGCATACGGTGCCGCCAGCACACAGGGTGCACCAGACCTCGATCAGCGACACTCCGAAGCTGAATGATGCGAATTGGAGGGCGCGGCTAGATCGGTCGAGATGTAGCGCAGTTGTATGCCCGGCCACGCTGGCCAGTGCGGCATGGCTCACTACGCAGCCCTTGGGGGTGCCTGTGCTGCCAGAGGTGAAAAGACAGTATGCCGGGTCCGCAGCATAATCTGACGCCCCCGCGAGAAACGTACCCGTCCCGTAATGTGGGAGCTCTCCGGTCGATGCCTCGTCTACCACAAGGCTGCAGGGAAGGATACGCCCCAGGAGTTTCTCTTGCAGCGGAGACACGAGGATCAGCGGCGGGTTCACCATGCCAATGATCCCGCTCAGGTAGTCCGGTGGATGCGAAGGATCGAGAGGCACGAATGCCGCTCCAACTCGGTTAATGGCCAGCATGGCGACAATCGCCCAGAGCGACTTTTCGAAACAGACCGGAACCATCGCGCCAGGCCCGGCTCCGAGCTCCTGCAGCTTGAACGCCCACCTGCGGGAGGCATCCATCAACTCCGAGTAGGTGAGCTTTCCGTCCAGCCAGCAGATTGCGGGCTTTTCTGGGTCCTCCATGTATCGTTGGTGAATCGCAGCGTGCAATGAAGGGCTCGATGCGCGACTGCCGGCCTTGTCAGTGTTCCATTCATTTATCTTGGCTCGTTGGTTCATGCTAAAGCCAGATATTGCACTGCTGTTGTCCAGTGCCTCTCCCTGGATAATGCAAGTTATAATATGTGATACTGAATCCGCCACATGGACAGCGGACTCGCTGCAAAGGACGCCGGCTTTGTACCGTATCCATAATCCTGGTGGCCCACTAGAGCTTCCCGCTTGCCATGCAAGAACGACATCACACGTCTACCAATTCTAAGTAGTCTGTACGTGCCCGGAGATGTGGTGCTTACATTGTTCTCTTCCGTCACTGAAATGCCTTCTGTGGTCGGCACTATTCCTTGAGAACACATCGCCACGCCGGTGTTGAACGACGCAGTCTCAGCTTCTGCTGTCGTCCATCGGCCACTGTCCAGCAGCTCTCTCAGCGGAGTATCTCGGCCAAAAGAGCTTGAGGCTACTTCCATACGGCTTTTGGCGCCGATTTCACACGCCTTGGCTGTCTTTTGGAAGCCCATATGGATTGTTTCAGTGTCTGTGAACTGCTTCAGGATGATAGCCCATGTTCCCATTAAAAGACGACCAATCTCCACCCCGTGTTCGTCACAATACCCTGCCACCTCCCGGTAAGCATCACACCCGACTTGTGTTGCGTTGAGTTGCCGACTATCCCCGCCACGGTCGTGGCCATGGCTCCGGGTGGGGAAGAGGCAGGCACCGTCAGAAGGAGGTTCAGACTCCATGATTCGGTCACAACTGGGGTCTATCCTGAAAGCAAGGAGGCGGGGTTTCTCGGGCTGGCTATTGAGGTCTGCAACAGCTAGTCTAATGTGTGATAGTAAGATTTGATATGATGTTGAAAGACGTAATCAGGGCGAACGTCGGTGCTAGAGCTGTTGTAAGATGATTATGTAGGGGCTCAAAGCCCAGCCATCCAAGCTGATTCCAGGTATCGGCATAAAACCCGGCAACACGTGGGCGTACTGTAGCATTCTGCCATTACTGGACTGAGGACACAGGGATTCCCAAAGCTATAGAATGCCGACCCTTGCCTTTGGTTAACACCCATGTCGCCAGCAGATACCCGGGATATTACACCCTACCTTGACTGGTACAGCGAGAGACGTTCAATCGTGCCTAAAGGTGCCATACAGCGCAGCCCAGCATTCCAAGTAGTCGTGACGATACTAGGAGGGCCAGCGCAATGACGAGTGCAAGCGGTGGTCCAACACCAACGCTTTGCCCTGAGTCTGCGGTAAATACGCACTGAGTGTGGAATAATTTAGGCTACACTATTCAACATTCCGTCAACGGCGTCAAACATTTAGATTCGTCTTCCATGGCAGCCCTGGCCTGGCCGTTGTAGTTGCATTTCTCTTGTCCTCTGAGACATATACCAGGCCCATTGACTGCCAGCCTTGCTAGTGATATGGGCTTTACTACGCTGCTATTCTAGGTGGTGTCTACGCCCAGCCGGTGCTTAAACCCCACGAGAAATATGGTGAAATGCTTAATATGTCGTCCCCGTTCAACCGGTTCTGCTTCGTCTGCGTCGAGATATTACCTCCTTGTCCCGGCCTCCATGGGAAATCCTCCTCAAATGACATCATCAATGCAAGCCTGTGCTGACAACTAGCATTCCACGAGCCCTGGCTCTGCGCCTTGCGTGTGCGTGTGTAACACACTGAGACTCTCCTTGTATGATTGTTTCTATCGTATGTGCTTCATCCATAAGCCCGGGGTGTACATGTCTGCCTCCTGAGAACATGGTAGACCTGGCGTAGATCCAAACAGGAAGACGGCAAGTATCGTTCCGATTTCAATGTTCCCTGTTCAGGGCAGTAGATATATAGCTCCATGCCCAGGATAGAAAACCCGCAGCCTTGTTCCTCTTTATTCTCCTGACCCGTTGCCCCGGACTTTGGAATGGTAAATTCTCCCTTCAGTGTAACAACAGGCAATGGCTCATGGTAGGACAAGATAATCGACCTGTGGTTGACAATGCGCAGGGCATAACACGAGTTTGGCCAGGACCTGTTGGAACGGTCTGTGTACGTGTCGGAGTGCCAGACAATGACAGCCTAGCGGTGCTTTGTCTTTATTGTCTATTCCCAAGAGCGCAGTCTCTCAAGCAGGACATTCAAAACAAAATGGACTCACAAAGGCCAGATCCTGGACCAAAGCTTTGCAATCTGGGCAGTACTGAGCAAAACATCCGGTTGGCTTCGGTTACAGAAGCTGTTCCAGATCCAGACCATGCTCATATTGCAAGCGATGCCGCTGGCCAGGCGCGCTATGCGTCAGTTCGCACACGACTCGCTATTATGAACGCACTGTGTCTCGCGGTGCTTTGTTTGGCTCTCGTAAGTCGCTGCTCGCACTAACATCGTCCTTTGTAGCCATTGACACGGACACCTATAGGACAACACAATCCTCGCAACGGCGATTCCCAAGATCACTGAAGACTTCAATTCCATGCGCCAAATGGGATGGTACGTCAGTGCCTACATGCTCACACTGTCCAGCGTGACCCTTGTCTACGGCAAACTATTTACCTACTACACCATCAAGTGGGTGTATCTCACAGCGCTTGCTTTGTTTGAGATCGGGTCTCTAGTCTGCGCGGTCTCGCCACACTCTGTCGCCCTGATCATCGGGCGTGCAGTGGCCGGAATAGGCGGGTCTGGATTACTAGTGGGCTCGTACCTGATCGTTTCTGTGATCGTCCCCGTGGAAAAACGGCCGGTGTACAACTCCATTCTGACCGGCATCTACTCAATCGGCGGAGTCGTTGGCCCACTACTGGGCGGTGCGTTCACCGACTACGTAAGCTGGAGATGGTGCTTTTATATTAACCTCCCAGTTGGTGGCGTTACTGCATTATTCTTGTTGCTCTTCTTCCGAGCAGACAAACCATGCAAGGTACCAGGCAGAGCGGCAGAGCAGCTCCTCGAGCTGGATATCGTGGGCCTTGCTCTTCTCATCCCAGGCGTTGTCTCTTTATTTCTAGTGCTCCAGTGGGGGGGCGCGACATATCCATGGGCCAATGTGCGCATTATCGCGCTGTTAGTCTTGTTTGGTGTGCTGATGCTGACATTCGCGGCTGTGGAATACTGGCAACAAGACAGGGCCACCATACCTCCCAGCTTGATTAAGAACCGTAACATCTGGGGCTCCATGATCTTTGGCGCTGGCACGACCGCGTCGCTGATTGTGCTTTACTACTATGTAGGTCACCCAGTATGCCTTCACACACTTGAATCAGTCAACCACAAACCCCCTCCCCCCCGGAACAGCTCTGACATGTCTCGGTCCAATATAGCTTCCCATTTGGTTTCAAAGCGTCAAGGGTGCATCAGCAACAATGTCCGGGGTCATGAATATTCCGCTGATTCTATCTGTTGCCTTCACGTCCGTTCTAACAGGGTGGACCGTTACCGCTCTGGGGTACTACCTGCCGTTCATGTATGTGAGTATTATTCTCACCTCTGTGGGAGCAGGCCTGTTGTCCACCTTCAAGGTAGACTCTGGCCATCCAACCTGGATAGGGTTCCAGGTCCTGTACGGCCTCGGGGCTGGCATGGCATTTGGGCTCCCTCTTATCGTGGTCCAGGTTACCCTGCCGACAGAGAAGATCCCCATCGGCACGGCCTTGATCGCATTCATCCAAACCCTGTCCGGCGCCTTGTTCAATTTTGTGGGCCAGAGCGTTTTCCAGACGCACCTGCTGCGTTTCCTATCCGAGGAAGCCCCAGGGCTTGATGCGGACAAGATTGCAGACGCGGGTGCAATGGCGATTCGTAAGATCGTCGAGCCGGATATGGTGCCCGTTGTGCTGGAGGCGTATAACTCTGCGGCGACACATGTCTTCATTATTACACTGACGTTGGCCGCGGCAAGCCTGTTGGGCGTCTTGCCCATGAGGTGGGTATCGGTGAAGGCGAAGGAGGCTGAGGCTGAGTCTACAGGGCCTGCTGAGAGGCTTTGATGTCCTTAGCATAATTCTAGCAGTTCTTGTCTCGTGAAATCATGGCATCCTGTGTTCTGTAGGCTATTGCTCATACACGCACGTCCAGCTACAGCCACGGTTCACACAGCAACCCCGGAACCTGTCTCACTCGCTTTTCTGCTTTACAGTCGAACATGGCAAACCGCTCCTTCGCCTCCGCCCGCACCGTATCGACACGCACCCACAGCTCATCAAACGCATCCAGCTCGAGCTCAATCACCCCTTTCACAAACTGCAGCTCCAGTTCAATGCGTAGCACCTCTTTCGCCATCCCATGAAACATGCCGAGCTCATGTCCTGCAATAGAGACCGCGATCATCGTCTCCGAGGTGGAAGTGTCGATCCACCCGCTGATCTAGAGGCTGTCAGTTTGGAAGGATGAGACAGTGTTCGCAGGAGACATACATGAAAGACGTCAGCGATGGTCACATCAAGCGGGTCTCGAGATTTACCCTCCGCAAAGGACGCGATTGTTGGGCATTCTTGGGTTTTGACTTGCTGGACTTTGTAGCTTCCTTGGCTTTCGCGGGTTTTGAGGACGAGGGCTAGCGGGTTAGTGATGGGGTTAGGATCTCTGGATTTTACTTACTTGCGTGATACATCGTGTTTGGGAAATTAGTATTATCGCTGTTATGACAAACTTGAAGTATCGAGTAAGAGAATGAGAAGGTGAGAGGGGCCCGGCCATTATTAATATTCGTAGCAAGGGTTGGAGGGGCTGGGCTGCCCCTTGCGCCAGGGCATCACCAGGGGGGCAGCCCGGACGTTTAATCCGAGAAGAAGCTGGAAGCATTTGGAATGAAGGGACGTTGGCAAGAAGCTATTTCGATATAACCCATGTTGAGGGATAGACACGACTTGCCGTGCCCTACTTGACTATAGACTCTTATATTCGGGTAGTATTTATAGTAGTTTTCTACGGTGTCTAAAGCAAAACACCACGACTGGCTTGGAGAACATGCTCGGTCGTCGAGTGAATTATTGATAAGCTCTGATATTTATAGTATTTGTAGTATTTTATATATTAATTAATATCAGATCCCAGAACTGGGTTCACCAGCACATCACATGACCTGCACGCCATCAGATCACTCTTCAAGTCTAATCAGCCACGATCCGGGACTGTTAACCTGAGTTCATAAAATGAACTACTTATTACCAACATAATATCCATCCCATCCAGGATGCCAACTTCGACTGCGGAGGATGGGCTGATATATATATATATATATATGCCGATGATATTCTTGGGTCCAATACTAATTCGACCAGTATTTCATCCGCAATGGCTATACTATCGAAGTGTTACTCAAAGACCCTATCAATCCTCTGTGATCTGCTGAATCCTTTGCTCTGTCTGTCGCGTGAGGGGTGCACGTGGCGCTGCCCAGGCGCTAAACCCACTAAAGTAGCGTAAACTCTAACAAGCCTCGGCTGTGTCTGCGGCATGTATTCCGTACTCTGTCAGAGCATTTTGAGGTGGTAATATTGTATATACTATGTGTATGAGTGGCAGATACGCCGGACTTATGTATATACTGTTATTATATACTGTCTGCTGACTGGTGTTGTAACCCGGGTCGTTCAGTTGTCGGCCGCATGCGGTGCACGGGGCGGTTTGATTGGCGGACGGCCCTGGATGAAGCGAATGAAATGAATCGCGATGAGCAGGCAGTGTCAGTGGCTGTTCCCCTAGTCTTCCCCGGCTGAATCCTGGTAATTCCTGGGCCCTGAAATGTTAAATACCCGGCCAGCGGCTGATTCCGCCGACCCCTGTCTCTTTTTCTCAAAGTCGCATCATGGACGTCGAACACTCTGCTGCCTCCAAGCAGCCAAATGACCGCCAGGACAAGGACCAGGACCAGGATCGAGATGCGCCGTCGGTCTCAAACCACTCCGAGACCCTCGGCGACACCGACCTGCTCGGCGGGGAGAAGCTGGACGCGGTGCTGACTGCGAAGATGGCCTTGGTCAACGATGTGTGTGCATGCGGTGCCCGGATTGACCATTGACTGGCAATCTCCGGTACATCCTGGCGATGGCCTCCCAGCTTTGGAAAAAAAATGGCCGTAATACTGACGCTGCTAGGCCATCGACGAGATCGGATTCACCCCGCACCAGGCCAAGCTGTTCTGCCTCAATGGCTTCGGATACGCCGTCGACTCGCTCATCCTACTGCTGCAGTCCATCGTCGCTACGCAGGCCACCCTCGAGTTCCAGCCCAGCTTCGATACCGGTTTGACGATTGCCGTGTACGTGGGAATGCTGGTCGGCGCGCTGTTCTGGGGCTTCTCTGCGGATGTTATCGGCCGTCGCTTCGCATTCAACGTTTCGCTATTTATCTCTTCGATCTTTACCATTGTCGCCGGCGCTGCTCCCAACTGGATTGTTCTAGGGCTGTTCACCTGTCTGAGTGCGTTTGGCGCTGGTGGAAATCTGGTGCTGGATACTGCGGTCTTTCTAGAGTACCTCCCCAGCCAGCATTCATGGCTGGTGACTCTGATGGCTGCTTGGTGGGGTAATTTCGCCTCTTCTTGTCTATTCTGTAAATACTGATTTATCTAGGCGTTGGACAGCTGATTGCAGGTTTGTTCGCGTGGGCCTTTATGCCCAACTACTCCTGCGCCGACGCTGCCAGCTGCACCTACGACAACAACAAGGGCTGGCGCTACGTTTGGTATACCTCCGGTGCTTTCGTTTTCGTCCTCTCCATCCTGCGCATCACTGTCGTGCGACTCGAGGAAACGCCCAAGTTCCTTGTGTCTGAGGGCAAGGACGAGAAGGTAGTTGCAGTGCTGCAGCGAATCGCGCAGAAGCATCAACGGCCCTGCAGTCTCACCGTCGAGCGCCTAACAGCGCTGGGAGTAACGCGCACTCGCCATTCCGGTGATACTCGTCGCTCCTTTCAGCTGATCTCGTTGCCCGAACTGGGCCACCATCTGCGCGGTCTCTTCGCGACTCGGAAAATGGGCCTATCCACCAGTCTGATCTGGTTCTCCTGGCTCCTGATCGGTCTGGCATACCCTCTCTTCAACGTCTTCCTCCCGCTGTATCTGAAATCGCGCGGCGCCGAGTTTGGCGAAGACAGTCCGTACATCACCTGGAGAAACTACGCCATCACCAACGCATGCGGTATCTTCGGCCCTATCCTGGCCGGCTACCTGTGTCGCACGCGCTGGTGCTGGGGCCGACGAGGAACCATGATTCTCGGCGCGCTGGTTACCATGGTGTTCTTCTTCTCCTACACGGCTGTTCGCACAGCAGATCAGAATGTCGCATTCACCTGCATCATCAATTTCTGTCTGAACATCTACTACGGGACACTCTATGCCTATACGCCTGAGGTATGCATTCCCCCGAGAATACCTATCAATGCTAACAAAGCAGGTCCTCCCATCCGCCCACCGAGGCACAGGAAACGGCATCGCCATCGGACTGAACCGAATTATGGGAATCGTGAGCGCCGTCGTTGGCAGAGAAGCAGATGTACGTGAATCGAAATCTTCTAAACCTTCTAAATGGCTAATATCTGTAGACGAGCACATCTGTCCCGCTGTACATCTGCGCCGCGCTGTATATCGTCATGGCCATCGTCGCCGGCGTCTTCCCCTTCGAGCCGCTCGGTCGACGCAGCAGCTGATGCTGCAATATACAACTATAGTTCCTCCCATGCGCCAAAGGCCCAGGACAAGCCGCCCGCGACACTCCGCAAATACTGTTCCCAATGCGACTTGCCAGATTACTGTACAGCCCACGCGACCTGGACGGATTACGTTATTAATTATACGGACCGAGGACTTTGTTTAAGTGTTGTCTGTCTAGTCGTAATTATCTGCTTTGTCTTCTAGGATCTATGATTATACCCCGTTATTGACTGGAGATATCTGACAGACATGATTATATAGCAAGTAGTAAATAAACAATAAATGATACTTTAACAGTTAGCCAATACTGCACGCAGGGCTGTTAGTGCAAGGCACACAGAACTCCTGGTCCATGATCTCGTCCAGGTTTGGAGGGAGATAGGTCTCGCCAACCTTGGGCGTGTCATCATCGTCCGAAGTCATATTCTGCACTCTGGCCCAGCAGGGCGTGCGCCAGTTCTCTCTGCCAGCATCGTCCTCAGCGGCGATAAACACAGGAAGACTGTAGAAGCAGTCCGGCTTCTCGCTGTCTGAAAACAGCTTGAAGGTGCCTGAGTCGATGACACCCCCGTAGTCGCCCGTCTTGGACTGGCACGCGTCGGACAGCTTGTACAGCTCCTCCAGATCGATCGCGTACTTGTCTGTCATCGTCTTCAGCGTATCCTCCGACACCGTCTTCGACCAGTCACTGCGCTTCGGCTCCGCAGACGGGTTGCCGCTTCCTGGGTATTCCAGGGTATAGCAGACATCGTCGATGACCATTCCTCCAGTCTGATCCTCACAGTCATCGACATCGAAGCCGTCCTTCATGACATAGTAGTTGGCGAAAGTCAATGCATACGAGGCCAGACTCTTCCTCATATTCTCCGACAACGCATCCTGCATTTCTCGCACAAACTTGCCCGTGAGTCTATGCAGCCACCGCCCGTCGAAGAAGTTCGAGATCTCGTACTCGTAGTCCCCCTCTTTATATTCCTTGGGAATATCAGACAAGTCGCCGTCCGCAAAGAGAGAAATAACTCCGTTCTGTCCAGCCCGGTACGCTGCATTCCAGATAGTCCCGAGCTGCATGTTCAGCGCCCGCTCCATATCATCCTCATCAGGGGGCTCTGCATCTTCCACTGCAGCCGACAGGATCGTCCACATCCCCGAGAATCCAGTCAGGACCGCACCAGCAGCCGCACCGGCACTGCCAGAACTCCCCGGTGGCCCTGCCCCTGCACCACTCGCCACGCCACTCGCTATACCCAGCGCGCCAGCAAAGATCGCAAAAATGGTCGACTGGGTTTTATCCGAGGGCGTCTTGATGGGGAAGTCCGCCACCAGCGCGCCAATGTTCAAACTCTCGTTGAACGTGGTATCCCGGAACATAGTCCCGAACTTGGAGATGTGGTCGAAGTAGTTGGCTACGACGAACTGCGCCCAGTACAGAGACGGGGGCTCGTAGCCGTGACATTCGCCTGGGTCAGGGAAGCCACAGGGGCCGTCGGGGAAGGTGTCGCAGCTGACTGTCTCGCTGCCGGCGAAGAGTTCCTGTGCCCAGCTTGCTATTGACTGTTAGAACATGCAAGATAAATAGGCTAAGGGTACGCACATGTATCGCCTCCCCGTCGGACGTCAAAGAAGTAGTCAAAATACGCAGAGATATTCCGCTGCGAGCTGGCCTCTGCCTCTGAGATCTCGTCAAGATTCGGCTCGGAACAGAACTCCTCGATATCCATGTCCTCAGGCAGGGGGAGGAAAATGCCAGGCCCTGGCGTCATTGATGGGATGAACTTTTGCAAGTCGATGGACCACTCAACGGATCCTCCCATGTTCATTCCGCTGTACTTGTCCAGTCTCCTATTACGGGTTTCGTCCGTCATGTACGCGGCCCACTGGTTACCGTTGTAGACCAGGATATCCGAGTCACTCTTGTCGTCGTAAGAGTGGGCCGAGTTGTCATTGTTGTTGAGGATCTCGTTGATTTCGGCATTTGCCAGGTATCCAGAGGTATCTGTGCAGCGGCCCTTTGAGGCCCCGTTCCCTGTGTACTTGCAGGTAGGGCCAGTGCATCCGGGCTCTGCCATCTCGAAGGAGCGGCCGTAGCTGCTCACTCCAACCATGAGTTTCTTGGTCTGCACCTGTGCCTTGGTGATCATTGCCAGGGCGTACTGTGTTTCTGTAGAATTGACATGGGATCGGAGACAGTTTCCATCCGGGCATCCCAGCGGAGGGTCATTATTGTCGTAGTCCCATTGCCCGCGGAGGTCGTAGGTCATGAATACGATGTAGTCAACGAGCTCAGCAATCTTGTCGATAGGGAATGCCTGCAGATACCAGAACGACGCAGGAGCAGCGATAGAAAGACTCTTTCCATCTGGGAGCTTTTCACGCACGACCTTTAGGAATTCCAGATACCGCTCACCTTCTTCCTCTTCGCCTGCTGGGATATCCGGAATATCAGGGGCGCCAGGGTACTCCCAGTCGAAGTCGACGCCGTCGAGACCATGTTCCTCCACGAAGTCGACGACGTTCTTTGCGAACTCCTCTCTATTCTCCTCCTTGACGCCGTTGCGGAAGATGTGATATGTATCCGGGAATGTACTAAAGTCCCAACCACCAAAGGAAATAACCCTTTTGACGGACGTCATTCCCTTAAAATAGTCAAACTGCTCCTCATCGCCCTCCATGAGTCCAATAGAGTAGTCGTCCTTGATATTCCCAAACGCGAACTGGATATGCGTGTACTCGTTCGCACGGATCGAATAGGCGTTCATGTTGAGACAGTCTCGCTCCAGATTACTCGCGAGAAAATATCCAACATTGGCAAACTCATCTGGAGGTATATCATCATTCACCACCGAAGTGCCACAGTTACTGATGCACACGCCCGTTCCCGGATTGCCTTCATCCTTGTACTCGCAGAACTCCGGATTGATCCCACACCACCCGTTCAAGTTGCAGCAGGCATTTAGTGGACACGGATTCAACAATGCCCATTCAGCCGAAGAGCTATCATCCGGCATGGTAGCGTTCTCAGCCTGCGGCCCACAGATCGCACCAGGGATAGGAGCGGGGAATGGAGGATCCCCCTTACTGAGACAGATATTCAAACCAGCCTGGAGATCCTCACACCCGCGCCATCCCCAAGTCTCCTCATTAAACTCCTCCAGCTGCTTATTCGTGAGACTATGCGAAGCCGCCAGATACGAACAGTCCTGCCCGGTTTCGACACGGTGCGTATAACACGTCCCATTCTCAGCCGGATCAGGCGAGAAATCAGGGAGATCGCCGCTGGTGCAGCAGACGTGTTGGCCCGCGCGCAGACTCGAGCATAGATCCTTATCGTAGCTGTTATACTTGGTAAAGTCGTCGCCCGAGATGCCGCATTTCACGGCCATCTTGGGACAGTCCTCGCCGAGCTCAACCTGTTTGGTCTCGCATGTATCTGCCCGGTTCTGGAGGATGGGGCCTCGGCCGTGTACGTTTGCGATGGCGATGGTGGATGGTGCTTTTGCGACGGAGATATCTTTGACGGGTTTGGTCGAGTCGTGGTCGGATGGACACTCGCCCTCGCGCCATTGTCGGAGTAACCGCTGGATACTGTTCAGATCACCGTTCGTGGAGATTGCAACTCCGATGGTGTCTTCGCCGATATCACCGCAGTGCTGGAGAGCTACTAGGGGAGAGGAGCTGCCAAGCTGATCCAGCAAGCCGTTCACAATCGTCTCGGCGGTTCTCGCCCGGTTAAACCGTGGTCCAATGTAGAGCCCGGCAGTGACTTTGCCAAAGTGTCCAAAGACATGGAGCTGGTCTTGTTTCGAAGAACGGCCGAGCCAGGTCTGCATGCTCTTCACGATGCTCTTAACCGCCTTGGTATCTTTGCCTGCCTTGGTAGACGCGCCCCAGCTAACGAGCTCAAGAGACACATCCGTATCCTCGTACTGGAGACTCTCCGCACGGCGCTCGTTATTGTTACCAGCATCAGTGTCATCAGGGGTACAAGCAAACATAGTCCATGACGAGTCTGTCTTGTTGAGGGCGTTGTATAAGGACAGGTCAAGGAGCATAGGCTGTTTGCAGGCTGCCAGCCCCTCAACTCTGTGATAGTTGATCCAGTCAAAGGGAGTGTCGCTGAGACTGCATGCTCGAGGACAGTCGTCAATGTAGTTTCTTCGAGACGCTGCAGGGTGGACCAGCAGGGTTGCTGTGAGGGCTAATGCCCCTAGCGAAAGTAGGCCCATTTTTCAGGGTAAATAAGAAATAATAATAGGCACAGCAGACAAGCCTGTGCTTGTAATCTATGATCACGTTGAATGCATGGGACTTTAACTGTTTATATAGTACGAAAATGCCTCGCAAAGGAGTCACGGAAATTGCGCCGCCATCTTCAGCTCAGAAATACAGACGATGTAACTGTACAAAAGATCACTCTCGATTGAACGTGGCGACAGGGGACTGCACTTGGCGTATTAGCAGAGGTCATCTGCAGACCTGTGACTGTCTGACTGTATTACTAGACCGTGGGTAGGCATGGTAAATGGACCCTCACAGCCCTTATTCTAATCTATTTCTCCAGTGAAATAAAAGGCACGGAGTCATTTTCCAATTGGTTCTGCTTTCTTGACTCAGCTGGCAAAAGACTCGCGTGGGGATTTATTCAGCCCTACAGCCACCATTGTAACCCTTCACCTCGACTGATTCGCTAGGACGACGGAACATGCAGGGCATTCTTCAGCCCGCGGCCCCGAGGGTCCGAGGGCGCGATGCGAGGCTGCGGTGCATCGGACTGCTCTAGGTTAGAGCCGTGAGGCTGAGGCTTGGTATTGTGCTTGGCTGAAATGCTACACATAAAGCAGATAAGGCTAGAGGCATGACACCCGATACACTCATAGTGATCTCACGATCCCTGCATTAGGACGATAATGCCATTGGCTACAACTGTCCTTCACCATTGCGGTCAGCTCCTGTGTCAGCCCTAAGAATACTGCCTTGCCTTTCCTTGCACCCAGACCAGGTTTTCTAACCATACCTGAATAGGTCGAACGGTGCGCTGGACAGGATATGGCCCCATGGTGGTATCGGCGGTGGAAGGTAGCCTGCATCCTGGCACCGCTACTACTGATACTCCTTGATACGCAAGTGCGGCAGAATGGACCGACATCAGCTGCAGCTGCTGAATCTTTTTATCGCTAGGACTCTCAGCGTAAGAGGTACAAACTACACTGTTCAGCATTCTGCCAGAACAAGTCTGCTCAATGTATTCCCTTAAAACGGACCTCGCCCTCCAAAATCACTTTTGTCGCATTCCTGTTATCGCTACGCGCTCGACTTGGTAGACCAGTCTTCGCCTTGCGACCACGGCTGCCTAGGCACTTATAAAATGAACTTCCTCGCAGCAGTACCTGTGGTCTGTTGAACCAAATGTGAATTAACTGGGTACCTAACATGGCATATGGTATTAACTGGGAGTTGATGCGGGGTTGGATATTCACCTGCAGAGTTGAATAACGTCAGTGTTTCCTATTTGGGAAGCTCGAATGAGAGCACTTTGTATAATAACCACCTTCCTTCTACTACGCTGCTTCGTGTTTTATATCCCCTATAAACCACCAGATTGACCAAACTCTTCCATTAATACTGTTACAACTCATAATGTCGAGTTCTTTCGATGGAATATACGAGCCTGGCGTCGTTGATCCCGGCTTACCAGTGCACAACCCCACGACGCCCTTCTGGCAATCATCGCCTCACAAGTTCGCAAACTACAGGTCTACATGGCCTGACGCTCCAGTAGACGCCGCCATCATCGGGTCAGGGATGACTGGGTCCAATCTCGCCCGGTGTCTGCTGAAAATGCGACCAGGTCTGCGAGTGGTCCTCCTCGAAGCGCGATCGCTCTGTTCTGGCGCAACAGGTCGCAATGGAGGCCATATCAAGACCATGACATATGCCGACTGGGAGAATCGCAAGCGCGACCTGGGGGTGGAAGAAGCCATCCGCGTTACCAAATTCGAGCACAGCCATCTGCAAGCAATGGGCGACGCCATTCGAGACGGCAACATTGACTGCGATCTTGCCATGACAGACGGTGTGGATGCCTACTACGATGAAAAGACATTCGCAAAGGCCGTGGCTAGTCTTGCAGATATGCGAACGTACATTCCTGAAATTGCCGATAAATACAAGGTCTGCACTGATGTACACCATCTCCGAACGGAAATGAAGCTGTCTGACCGCTGCATTGGTGCCATCATCGTCCCCTCTGCTTCGCTGTGGCCGTATAAGATGGTGCTGGGTCTGCTGGAACCGATCATCAGCGATGGCACACTCAACGTCCAAACGAACACAACAGTCCTTAAGATCGAGGATGGACCGTCTCGCGAATGCGCCACCATCCACACCAGCCAAGGGGTGATCGAAGCACGGAATGTAGTGCACGCCACGAACGGCTGGCTAGGACATCTCCTCCACGAGCTACGGCCATATGTCTCGCCCGTCCGGGGAAACGTCGTCCACTACGACGCCACCAGCAATAAATCCCCCTTCGGCCTAAGCAACCAGTACTCCCTCTGGCTGCGCTACGCAGCAAAGGACTACGACTATCTCATCCAGCGATCCGGCGGGGACATTGTGGTAGGACGCGCCAACACCGCACGCAAGGCAACAGGCGACGACAGCAGGACAGACCTGGGCCCTATGGCACATTTACGCGGAATGGCAGACGAAGTCGCAAGGACTCCAGTCAAAGGAGCATCAGCACACATCTCGCACGCCTGGTCTGGTATTCTCGCATTCACGCAGGACACTTCGCCTTTCGTGGGGCGACTGCCCTTTCCCCAGCGAGAGCACCAATGGGTATGCGGTGCGTACCATGGAGTCGGTATGACCAAGGCGTTTCGTACGGCGGAGATGTTGGCACATTTGATTTTGGACCTTCCTTTGAGTGACGAGTATCCTCGTTCCATGTTTTTGACGGACAAACGGTTGGCAGAGCTTGAGAAATCGCTGGACCAGAAACCGATCAAAGCGGCGTTGTAGTATATCTAGGTTAAAGAACTGAAGCAAAATATGGTGAATAAAGCTTGAACAAAATATACTAGTTTCCAACATCGTGAAGATAGATATAAATAACTAGTTGTATACTACATTACAATATATAATACGAGAAAAGGGGGGTTATCTTCACCAGTAGTACAGTACAGTAGGGTTGCTGCTGACACACGACACGATCAATTGACGATGTTGTCGAGTATTCTAAGTCTGGTCCATTAGCCGTGTCTGGCATCCGAAAGCCTGCATAAACCAGTAAAATAGCATGTACAGGCGTCATTTATTGCTCTCTTTCGACCTTCCCTTTATAGACGCCAAGGCTACTCCAACCAGCTGAGTCATTATATCAAGTCTGCTGCGGGGATGGCAATAGCTTCACTACAAGCATGCCTCGGAAGAAGCGGAAGTACGAGCCTAAAGCGAAAGGTTAGTAGATATACACATGGCAAGATACAAACTTACAATGCATATGATACAGGCTGCTACGAGTGCTCCCAGCGCCGGATCCACTGCGATCGTGCGGAGCCACAATGTAGAAAATGCATCGCCAAGGGGATGAGCTGCAGTGGGATGGGGATTCGGCATCGCTTTCATGAGGGAATGGCGGCTCGGGGGAGGTTTGCTGGGAAGCCTATTGACGCCGTTTATGAGCAGTAAGTGGTGAGATATGAGACTTGACCATGACTAACCAGGCAGGACACGACACAAGCCTCGTCCAAAGACGAGAATCAATGCATTGGGAGAGGGTGACATGACTGTTACAGGCAGTCCGCCCCTTCGCAATACCGCTCGAGGCTTCCTTGACAGTCCTCCAGTGCTCCAGCTGTCGAGTCCGTCTACTGACGTACCTCCATGGAAACGACAAATGCTACTCCATTGTATATCCCCAGAGGCGGCCATATTGTTTCCCTATACTAATATAGTGCAGTCTCTGAGCACATTGCATGCGAAATGGTGGCATTTGACGGCCCTCACAACGGATGGCGATCTATTGTCCTGCCGATAGCCTTGGAAGATGAGCTGGTGATGAATGCAGTTCTCACGGTGGCCAGCTTCCACTTTCATTTATATTATCAGCAGGATATCTCAAGACACCTGTCCTTGGGGAATTGTGAAGCAGACGAGGCTTCAACACAATTGTATGGAGCGGTCGTACATGGACTTCGACAGAGACAAAATCTACAGAGTTACGATCAACAAGACCAGCTATCTATATTACTTACTATCCTACTGCTTCTCGTGGTAGCAATGGTCACAGGCAGTCCCGACTTTCCTATCATGTTCAAGGCTCTACAGTCCGCTTTGGCTGCCATTGAACGCTCCTGTATAGGCCAGGGCGAACTTGCCGACTTCATCTCGCGCCAGTTCCAGAAGTAAGCATCATTCGCTGAATACTTTATGGCCCTACTAACGATTTAGACTACGGATATATGCTGCCCCGTTTATCAGCGAGGCAGACGGCTTCCAAGTGCTGTCTTCGCAACACTGGAGTGTGGAGGTGCTCTCGTGCCTCAATTACTGCCAGTCGTGGCAGCCACAGCATGCCTCTGCTGTGTCTGTCATTACTGACCTCGTCCACCAAGCACACGACATCTATATCAACCAGGCCCGAGATCTGCTATCTGCAGACGCCAGACCTATGTTTGCAATACCAGACACCGTCGCCCGAATTGACCGTTTCAAGCATACAATGGAGCTCTTCCCCGAGGACTCTCCAGGCGAGCAGGTCTTGATCTGGGCCTCCTTTCTAGCAGCCTCCGATTGTATGTTGGACGAGCACAAGACCTTCTTTAAAGAACTGTTCCAGCGGTATCACCGGCGCAGCGGGTTCAATAACATTCTCGGCGCGCTGCATCTGCTGCAGAAAATATGGAATCGATCAGTTGAGGACCGGTGGACGAGCTTTCTTCCCCAGGAGAGATTATTTGTGATGTAATAACAGCACCTGGGAGCCCCTGGTACGGTTTATAAATATGTATCAACATTGCTACCATATATTTTGGCGATTTCTAGAACCTGCAGATAATGACACTTGCTTCAATCGATTGGAATTCACTTGAGATAGACTATCATGGGCTTGAGAATGCCCGACAGACCGAAAGGGTCAAAGAGGATCTTGGTCTAGAGGTGGTAGTTGAATATTTTTACGATCCACCTTGGCTACATCAATGGTCTCTAAATCAACACCATGTACCAGGCGCATCTGTAATGGAATTCGAGAAATCAGTAACAAGCAGTATCGCAAACAAAACAAAGCTGCACTTACATTAAGAGCGCGCTTGCCATATCTGAACTTCGGATTGATCGACTCGTTATAAACATTGGCGCCGCAGGTTCCGCAGAAAAAGATCCGGATAGTGTGTGACGCAAACCGATATTCCTGCCAAGTTCGCCATTTGCGTCAATAACCAAAAATATAAAAAAAAAAAAAAAACTAAGTAGAATCATGAATCATACCTTGAGCGACTCTATCCCTTGAACTTCCATATCATCCACGAACGCAAGCAGACTACCTGCAATATGACAGTAGCTACCTAAACGGATTGTTAGCCCAGCATTCAATTTGTTAGTGTCACCGACCACTCCCGTTATCATACGTACAGTTGCAAGAAGCCACTTTCACTTGCGATAGCGGCGATGGAAGCTTCGCAGAGAAACGTACTTCTCTGCAGTGGCAACTCCCCTCGAAGGACGTTTCTTTGGAGGTAGTGTCAGATAAAGTCATTGTGCGCGGATCCTCAATGTGTCATGCGTAGACTTGTGCTGGACAAATCTTCTGGTGATATTTCGATAAGAAAGCTAAACATGAGAATAGTAAATAGAGTTTATTCAGGATGCGATGGGAACCGTTGGGCCATTGAGAATAAATTGGGTACCATGGTTGATAACTGCTGCGTTGGGATTGCTGACTCTCTATGATTGGGGTGTTGGGGCGAACATTGTCAGGGGCGTTGAGGGAGCCTGTCTACCATACGAATAGTGGCCAGTCAAACGCAGGCTGGAAAGGCGGTCGTTTCTAGCCTCAACGCAGTCTTTTTCAGCGTCAATGTCGCTGGTCCTCGGATTCTAATTGTAATTCAGCAATATATACTACTTCTACCAGGAGTATATTATGTCGGCATGAATCCAAACCCAAATCGGCTCTATGGTCTATATATGAGGTCTATATGCGCTTCTATAGACGCAGCAAACGGCATTGATTTGGCTTGACCAGTATCTTCACATGCGCTGCCTTGTTCTGAATCAGCTCGAGCAAGCCCTTGTTAATAACGTCGTCCAAGTCTACTACAGACGTAATGAGTTTCTCCGCGTCTATTCTCCCTTCCTCCAACGCAGCGATGAGTCCCCGGAAATCTTCTTCCGTATAGCAGATTCCCCCAGTCAGACGTCTCTCGCCCAATGTCAGGTCATTCAGGTTCACCATCAGGGGTTTCTCATGAATGGCGATATTGAATACTGTTCCTCCAGGTCGCGTTCCAGCGATGGCCGTGTCCAGCGTAGTCTGTAGCCCTGTACATTCAAACGTCACGTCCACTCCGTCTGCATTAACGGCAGCCTGAGTCGCAGCAATAACGGGGTCAGTGCCTCCCTTGGGTGTATCTGACTCGGTCGGATCGAGAACAAGATCAGCCCCAAAGTCCTTGGCCATCTGCTTGCGCGATGCAGTGACCTCGCTGACTATCACCGTCTTCACCTCCCAGACCCGGAGAACCATGAGAATGGCCAGCCCGATCGGACCAGCACCCAGGATAAGCGCAGTCTGCCCCTTCTGAAAGCCCGAAATACGCACACAGTGCCACGCAACAGCCAGCGGCTCCATAAGCGCCCCAATCTTCAGCGAAACGGAATCCGGAAGGGGAATGCACGAGAAATGCTTAACAACAATCTCCGACGCAAGCCCCCCACCGGGCGCACTGAAGCCGTGCGAGGTATACCTCTTGCAGATATTCGGCAGATCCAGTTTACACGCTGTACAAGGGTCCACCCCGTGGTGACGATCATTCAGCGCCGGATTTACTGCGACTCGAGTGCCGACTCGCAGTTTCGGGTCCGACACCGAGGACCCCAGCTCGACGACCGTGCCGGACATTTCGTGGCCCAGCGTCACGGGCAGTCTTTGGCCGGTGTATTGGTTTGCTTCGCCCTCTGCTGGCGAGAAGATCGGGCCTCCGAGGTATTCGTGGATGTCTGAACCGCAGATTCCGCAGTATGCGATTTGGACTCGGACTTCGTCCGGGCGGCATTTTCTGTGCAAGTTAGACTGTGTAACGAGATGTAGGGTTGTAGGAGTCATACGCTGCAGGAACCTGTTCCAACCTCACATCCTTTGGTCCGTAGAACTGGAGAGCCGTAACTGTCGGAGCCATCTTGCTGCAAAGCTTACTCTTGTATACCAGGACACAAGCCTGGCTATATAGTCCGCTCGGCTATATGCGATTCATGCAACTCCACCGCAAAGAGGCACGCCAATAACAGCCGCAGATCTCGAAGTACAGCTGCGGGGAGAGTCAACTGACCAGCTCAAGCCTGGCCGGATTTATGGAGGATCCAGCTCTCGGTCGAGATGTTCAAGCAGGAAGCGCCGCAGCATGCCCCGTCCGCAGAAGTCCAAGTCCACCGAATCCACCAGCTCGCGCGTCCGCGCTGGCAAGGCGTGCCAGCGATGTAATCAGAAACGCATCAAGTGCGATGCGATGTTTCGCACGCCCTGCGCAAACTGCATGCGCTCGGGAGTGTCCGAGTGTGTCCTTCGGCCAACACGCCGGGGGACATATATCCGGAAGAGACATGAACGGGGTCCATGCAAGGCCAGGGAAAATCTCACAGTCCCTGACCAAGACGGAGAGGTCCACGGCGACACGTCAGCTGCAGACCCCAACGTGGCTGTATTGGGGTCGCCTGCGTCTCATCTGGAATCCAGCACTGATTCCCTAGAACATGTCTCATATGCTGATGGCGGTGGCTATAGCGACATATCATGGTCGGCCATGTTCGACCACTTCGTCAGTGCCAGACGCGGTGGGCAAGAGTCTATGGATAAGTGTTCAATCACATACTTGGGAGAGTCGTTTCCACTGGCCATCGTCCTCGAAGATCTTAATGAGGGCGACCGCTTAAAGCTGCACCATCCTGGACCTCCATTCCCAGCCCAGAAGACCCCGTCGCATGTGCAGTCTGAGGACCTGGAATGTCTCAAGTGCAAAGGTGTCTTCGATCTTCCAAACAAGACGCAGCTAGATGCTCTAATGGCGGTATTCCTGGACCGCGTATATCCAGCATACCCGCTTGTCAACCGCCAGGAACTGATAGCACAGCACGCAGCTGGCACGGTGCCCTTGATACTCCTGCACTCAGTCTGTTTCATGGCTGCGACATTCTGCCCGCTTGATCTACTGCTTCAAGCTGGGTATAGCTCTCGCCGAGAGGCGCGCCTTCGCTTCTACACCAAGGTCAAGGCACTATTTGACTCCGGCTACGAAATAAACAAAATAGTCATATTGCAGAGCTCCATTTGCATGACATTCTGGGGCGGAGGGCCCAACAACTACTGGAACTTCTACTCCTGGCTGAGCACCGCTGTCACCATTGCAGAGGGCATTGGCATCCACCGTTCCTTTGCTACAACCAACATCCAGCCGCAAGATCAAAGCCTACTGCGCCGCATCTGGTGGATTCTGGTCGTTCGCGATACTACCTGCAGCACCTTGGTTGGTAGGCCGTTTCGTATTGACGTTGACCAGGCCGATACGGAGATGCTCACTCTGGAGGACTTTTTGCATGATGTCTCCGCGGATGTTCTTCTAGATAACGTTCAGTGCACATACGCGCAGTACCAGATCCAGATATCGAAGCTTTGCCTCATTGTACGTGACATCGTGATGAGCCGGTTTGCGCCAGGGCGACCTCGAGTTCCCCCAGCAGAGCTGCACCAGCGACTCAACGTCTGGCGAGATTGCCTTCCAGCTATTCTATCATGGACTGATGATTTCGATGCTAATTTTTCAAACATGGGCCCCTTTACCATGACTCTCATGGCACAGTATTACGACCACATTCTACTACTGTATCTTGGCCAGAGCCCTCTAAAGGATCGAGGCGCACGACTAGACGAGGAACACCCTGATATCGAGGACATCACCGATACAGCAGCACAGAAGATATCATCCGTAGCGTGCACAATGGTCACCCGGTCCCTGACCCTGCTGATGCCACATGAGTTCTTCCACGCTATCTTCCCAGCGCAAGCAACCTTCTACACGAAACTCCGTAGCCCGCAGAAGCTCGTCACCCAGCTCGGTCGTTCTGCGTTGAATAACTGCCAGATGGTGCTGCATAGCTCGTACGACTGCTGGGACCCGAGTCCGTGGATAATGCAGCTGTTCAATGGGCTTTCTAGTCGGCTAGCCGAAGGAACTGGATCTTACTCTACGACAGCCCCAATAGACTCGACGCCTGAGGCAGGGATATTCAATGCGTTGCTTGGAGATGAGCCATGGCAGAGTAATCCCATGCTCTCGTCGCTGTTCGAGATGCTACTCGACCTGTTCCTACCACAATGAACGTGCCAACTCAACGATGAATCATACCTGGGCGAATCGAAGCGTTACGAAGGGATGCAACGCCAGTGAAGATGAGATCGCACGCTGCAGTAATCATGGCAATTTATGCGTTGGAAGTACTATCATATTTCCCTTCTGGACAGGATTGCTACATTGTCAAATTCAAGGTGGAGTAAACAACTCGTGCTACAACCGCTTCAATACAACCTGATATCCTATTTCACGTGCCTGTCGGTACTGGGTCGTGGCGAGGTACTGGCATCATGGGCTCTGGATCGACTCTCCTTCCGCGACTTGTTGGGTGGAGATATTGACGATATGCGGTGGTCGTGATTGAGGCTAGCAGTTGAAACTCGTGCGTTGGGTACGCGACTTCGCGGTATGGGTGGGCCAAACAAGGGTGTTGGCATGTATATTCCCTGGCCCTCACCTTCGATTTCTGCTTCATCATCTTCTTCTCCATTGACAGTAGGGAGGGGCGGATGAAGTCCTGCGCCTGAATTCGCGGTGGAGTCCTGGTGCCCACTAACGTAAGAAACCTCTGAATCTAGAGAGAAAGTAGCACGTGCTGCACTAGGCTGGTTGGTCCTTGGACTTGTGCGCTCTGACAGGAATCTGGACGGGCTAGAGGGCTGTCCATTGATGCTTGGGTCTCTGATTGGGCTGTTGGGCTGAGATGAAGGGGTGGTCAGGGGAGTGGATGGCGACGGCCCTGGTGGCGATAGACCAGAGGATGGCCCAGAGCTCGTGTCACTATCAGCCACGGCCCTCTTCATATGTGACATTTCCTGTCTTAGAAGCCTTTTCACTTCTTTCCGTACTTGCTTCTGCCAGTCCTCGGGCAGCGGAAGCCGAGATTCTTGGTTCTTTTGGGCCTGGCGGATTCCTTTGAGTGCTATTTTAATATTGTCCCCCAGCACTTCTCTGCACATATTCGTCAGTATTACCCGCCATGTCAAGGACTCCATACTCACATTTGGGTCTTGGTTGCAGCAGATTGAGTGACGTTAAACTGATGAACTGAGATTTGCACTTGCACCAAGTTACTGAAGATACCCATGTACTGTGTAAGAAGGTCCATGTCAACATGAAGAAGACGCAGCTCCTCTCTGTTCCGAAAGAGCCATTCAAGGCGGACACGAAACTCTGTCCAAGCTGATGTATAGTCCTTCTCCAATATAGGCCGTAGTATGCTGATAATTGACCCTATCTTCCGACTGACTGTCCAAGATTGCCTCTGCAGGGCCTTGTCAATATCGCGGTACTGTTTTAGGTCGACTGAAAACTCTTTGATCCTAGAAACCTTTCTCATCGTTTTGCCAAAGAATCGCCACAGCCTCTTCAATATTTCGGTGCGACTCTTCATCTCCTTGATATCCTTGCCGGCATGTCTCATGATCTTGTAGGCCGTTCTCAGCTGTTTGTACAGAGACGTAAATCTCACAGCCAGTTGGTCGCACGCTGCCACAGCTCCGAGGATCTCGGCCATTGATGATTCGTCGTGTCGTCTGAATCGAAATAAGAGGGAAGTTGGACGTTCATTGCGTGGCTGACTCGCAGGTTATAAGCAGGGTTCCTCATCAACCAAACCTTTCAACAAGAACCTCTTCGTGGGCTGTGCTCTGCGAGAGGCCGACTGAGCCCCCGTGTATGCAGGCATTGACGAGGCTGAAAGAAAGGGTGTGTTGTCAACCCCGCCTCCTGCATGAACGCAGGCAGTAGCAGCCTCGTCGCCAACATAATGTCACTTCGAATAGGTCCAATATCTCTGCCATGGTATGAATCGATCAAAGAGGAAAGGAGGGAATGCACCGGCGGCCAAGTTCGCTTGCCACTTCATACCGTAGCCTCGCCGTCCTCGCCTGGCTTCTACAAAGAAACGTCTAGCATTCAAGATTTCTCTTACCAGCAGCTTGGGTCTTTGATTGATCAGCGAGTGCTGGCCACGGCTACTTTAGTTGCATACTCCAAAAGTACTGATTTGTCAAGTAACCACCCCAAAGCCTCGGCCTTTGATTTCCCTGATGTCGTGATCTATGATAAAACCCTAATGTGGCAAAACTAACCCGAGGCGGGATTCTACAGGTCCTCGCTGTACAAATTAACAGTACCTTATCTGCGTTTAGTTTAATTGTGCAGTTATCAGAATTGAATTACTCATACTGTTAGAATCGCCCGTGGCCGGCGACCATATACACCTAAAGCAACGGATACCACTGCCACAGCGAAGACCAGCTTGTGCAATGGATGCGCTGGACGAGTCCCAGTTTCTCCGGATATATTAAAGTCCTGCCACCGCGGCCAATACAGCTGCCACCAAAACTTCCACGTATTATCTGGGTAATTCGTGGTATTGCGGCCGTTGGCGTCCAGATTCCAATTTGAACACCCGCCAGACCAAACCATCTTCTGTAACTTACCCTGCAGGGAATTTGCATCCCGAACCTCCGCTGCCTCTTTTACATCCAGCGTCCTGAAGCTACCGGACAGGATGGGCTTGAACATCGTCTTGATCAGGTACTCCGCCTGCACCTCATTGGTATAGATAACCGAGTTGTGCGCTGGGAAAGCATTGGGCCCAAAGATTATCCCGAAATTCGGAAATCCAGAGACAAATGTGCCTTTGTACGCTTGAGCGCCGCGAGTGCTCTGCCAGTGCTCGTTCAGCGTCGTGTGGCGGCCATGCACGGTAATTGGGGAGAGGAACTGCTGGATTTTGAAGCCGGTGCTGAGTATCACGGCATCGACGTTGATATCTCGCTCTCTGGTACGAATCCCACCACCAAAGAACTCGACAATCGGCTCAGTCGTCAGTTCGATATTTGGCTCATGCAGACATTCGAGGTATCCCGGATCAAAGATGCGACGCTTGCATCCCAGCGGAAACTGGGGTACGAGGATGTCGTGATATTTCTCCGGCGCTGTCTGCTTAATATATCTTACAGACTCGTTGGTGGCGTCCTCTCTTTGCTTGACTAGTGCAGGAGTGTCAGCCATATAGAGAGAGTGCAGCCCGTCAGTGTCCTTCCATAGTTTGAATCGATAGTACCGTGCCAGAAGCGGTATATAGCGGAAACACCACTTTTCCAGCGCTGTGAAGTCTCGATTAATCCGGCTAGTAACCCACTGGGGCGACCGCTGGAACTGGTATACTTTCTTTGCCTGCTTGACGACCTGCGGCACCAGTTGTGCTGCCGAGCAGCCGTTGCCCACTACTGCAATAGTCTTGCCTGCCAGATCGTAGTCGTGATTCCAACGCGCCGAGTGCCAGATCGGCCCCTTGAAAGTGTCCCAGTTGGGTATCTCGCAGTCCTTGGGAATCGAAATTGTTCCAACACACGAGACAAGCATCTCCGCCTCACGCCAAAAGGTATAACCCGTCTGGAGATCGCGCAAATGCACACGCCACAGCTGAGACTCCTCACTCCATCTGGCCTCGACTATCTCAATTCCACATCTCACATGCGGCCGAATACCAAATGCATCCACGGTGTTGTTCAGATACTCCAAAATCTCAGGCTGTTCGGCAAACCCCTTCGACCAGTTCGGGTTCGGATAGAATGAAAAGGAATAGAGATGGGAGTCGACATCGCACCCTACGCCGGGGTAGGTGTTTAGGTACCAAGTCCCGCCGATTTCTTGTTCGCGCTCGTAGATGATGAAGTTGTCGTAGCCAAGGTCTTTCTTCAGACGGGCTGAAAGGGCGATGCCGGCGACGCCACAGCCGATAATTATAGCGCGAGGTTCGGTTGGCATAGTAGAAGTGAGCAGTAATTCCAGTTGAGATTTCGCGGTGTTATTTTGCGAGAATGCTAAAATGACTGCGCAGTAAGACTTCTTTATATGTCCTCATATACCCATGGTCGTGATATACCCGGCATCTCCCCGAACTTCAGCACCTTAGCATGATCAAAAAGCATTGGCAGCTCGTATCTCTCTGGCAAAATATTATTAGCAGTAAACTTGGAGAAATGAGGGGTGATTGCAAATACGACATGCATTAGCCTGCACAGCACACGCCGGGTATATGACTTCAATTGGATATAGCCACCCCGAGCTCAAATAGTCCTGCAGTGCCACTTCTTTACCCCATTTCAATCTGTCAAATGGAGCTACTTCGAAACAAGGTTATCGCCGTCACAGGCAGTTCGTCTGGCATCGGGCGTGCCATAGCAAAACGTTGCGCTCAGCAAGGAGCAGCAGTCGTCCTTCACCATCTCGGTACCTCACAAACACAACAAGATGCCGAGTCCCTGAAACAGTCGTTGGGGCCAGTTACGATGGACAGATCGCAAACGTCACACCTCGTCGTAGGCGCAGACCTTACCTCCGACTCCGCTGCAGAGAGCCTCATCTCGCAAACAATCTCAGCCTACGGTCGTATCGATGCACTCGTCAACAACGCCGGGATATGCCAATTCGCCCCTGCAGCCTCTGTAACGAAGACATTGCTGCAGCGGCAAATGGATGTGAACTATACAGCTGCATACCTCCTTACCCAGGCTGCCTCAAAACAAATGGCCGACCAAGGCAGTGGAGGCAGCATCGTCTCCATTTCCTCCATTACAGCAGTGAGAGGCTCGTCTAAACTTACTCATTACGCACCAACCAAGGCTGCCCTGCTAGCAATGTCCAAGTCGATGGCTATTGAGTACGGGAAATACCGGATCAGATACAACTCCATCCTTCCTGGAACGATCCAAACGACAATGAATGCCGCTGATCTCGCGGTAGGAGGGAAGAAGGCCAGTCTGGAAAGTCGAGTTCCTTTGGGCAGACTAGGGGAGCCCGATGATATTGCTGGTCCTGTGGTGTTTCTGGCCAGTGATCTGGCAAAGTATGTAACTGGGGAGCAGATTTTGGTAGATGGGGGTGCAGCGATTTATTATCAATAGAACAGATAGCATATTATCAGTTACAATCTAGTTAGTTGTCCATTTCCATAGGCTAATTTTCCATATCAACTACCAGTAATCGCGACTCTCATCTGTGTCCCATCAATGGGTTTCGCAATAACCTCCCAAATCTGCAAATCAGTCTTGTCATAAGTAAGAGAGGGTTGAGTACTTACATTAAACAGTTCAGACTGGGCTTTGTACTGTCCATATTCACCCATAACAGGCCGTCCTTTCTCATCACGCAGGATCTCACCCAGGCCAACCTTGGTAAAGTCATAACGCCTCAACGTGCACGCCAACACCACACGAGCTTCAATGATAGCCAACTCCTGCCCAATGCAGTTTCGAGGGCCACGTTCAAATGGTCGCCATGCAGAGGGGGGTAGCTTGTCACTAGCCATCTCAGCTCCATCCGGCTGCTCCATTTGGTTTTGATCCAGCCAGCGCTCTGGGACGAACGCTTCCTTCGTTGGCCCATACACCAGCTCATCTCGCTGGATGATTGTTGCACAGTTGTGCAGGACCATCCCATCAAGAGAGACTGTCTCCCCATCTGGGAGTTTAACATTAAATCCCGCTCCATGGGGAACATGTCGTGCTGTCCCGGCTGGAGGATGTAGACGCAGCGTTTCCTTGACGATGGCAGAGATATAAGGCATGCGACTCAACAGGTTCTCGCTTTGACCAGCACGCAAGCGAGCTCTAACTGCGTCTGAGGATGAATCAGAACCGAATATATCGTCCAATTCCCGCCGCGCTGCCAAAAGAGCATGAGGTGTCCGACTGAGTTCGTAGAATGCCCATTGTAGAAGACTGCTCGTCGTATCATGGCCAGCAAACAGGAACGTCTTGATCTGATCACACGTCTGGTCCAGAACATGTCCATCGAGACTTTCAATAGCCTCAAAGCTAAGCTCTAGGATACTCCTTGGCCTCTGTACACCGCTCACTTTCCACTCGGCATATTTCCGCTGAACCTCCTGCCTGAGAACCCTGTTTAGCCTGCGCGAGAGCCACCATCGCCGCGCCTGCGTTCGCACTTTGAATATGTCCCAGGCCGCGCTCCCTCCAGTGCGCCAAGTAGCGACAAAGTCACGGAATAGGATGACAATTTCACTCTGGGACGCCTGTCCGCACTGCGCGCGAAAATCCTCGTCCATCGATACAGCTCCTATGACATCAAAGGTGAGGTTAGTGCACAGCTCGCCTAGACCGAAGATCTCGCCTGATGCCGCATAGTTATCAAGGACATCGGTGAATCGGCCAACGCGGTCGAGAATGCACGGAAGAAGCGATATCAGATGCTGCGGTGCGAAGCCTGGATTGAAGCGCTTTCGGAGGCCCTTCCACTCCGTTCCCTAGAAAGATTCAGTCTTGCATACATGTCAGAAGGTAAATAAGAGTGTCTGGTACTTCAGCTAGAATAATCGACTTTGCACCCATTAAAGGCTTGAATATATCAAGCGCGTTGCCCTTTGGGACACTATACGGGAACGTCTTGGAGCTGCGCGAAATCTGCTCCGCCACGCCATGGTCACAGATCACACAGATGACGTGAAGAAACGGGCGGAAGTCAGCGATGAACAGAGGGGGGCTGTTTAGCTTCTGCTTTATCTCCAGGAACACCTGGTCTGTGTCTCGTTGGCTATTATTCTTAGAGAACGCGCTGGATCATACCAATGTGCCGACGTCTATCGCCTTCACGCATCACGCCGTCCAAGGCCTTGAGGTGGCCCCATAGAAGCGACGATGGGAGCTGGGGAAGGTGAGCATACTGTCTGAACCGGAAAAAGATTGCTCGGTCTATGAGGTAGATGGCAATCGGTGCCAGCAGCGTCAAAGCGGCAATCCAGAGCAACATCGTGCAAGATCAATCACAGCCGCATTTACGAGGTGGAAGAAGCTGGAGAAAGTCAGAAATGTTAAGAGAGACTGAGCCCCGCATCATTAATCTAACTTTTAACCCCCTGTCTCCAGCCGAAGGCGAGCCAAGCTTGATAGGTTGCACTGCAGGAATTACTGGAGCCGAATCATCCGTGAAATCTCATGCATGAGATTACATTCATGTGCTTTCAGCGCCGTAAAATAGTTTTCACTCAAGAACTCATTATATTAAAGGTGAATTAGATCCCGCTAACAATACAAAGTAAAATAAACACCTACTGCGCAAGAAGAACAGCGCGGTAGTACATCTCTCCCCGGTCGAGCTTGTCCATAGCCTCCGTGATCTTCTCCTCCGTCATTGGGAATGTCTCAACAATCGGCTCGATCTTGTGAGTGGCCGCAAACTCCAGCATCTGCCTGTGCTGGGCACGGGTGGCAACAAGCGATCCAACAACAGTCAGACCCTGGAGAATCAAAGTGAGGTACGGGATCTCAAAGTTGCCCATGCTCACAGTCAGAGGGTAGATGCTAGCCCGAGGAGCGAAGATAGGCATAAGCAAGTCCCAGTTCGGGGGCACGGCAGCTGTAACAAGGAGTCGATCAAGACGAGTAGAAACAGAGAGTTCAGTAGCGCCCTTGGTAGCAATAAATTCATGAGCACCAAGCTTCATAGCCTCTTCACGCTTGCGCTCTGAACCAGAGAGCACAACGACGCGGCATCCCATCTTCGCAGCAAATTGGATAGCGAGGTGGCCGAGTCCACCAATCCCAATGATGCCAACAGTATCCGTCGGCTTGACGCCTTCCAAAGCACCAAACACAGTTGCACCACCACACTGCAGCGGCGCAGCGGCGGCGTCACTCATGGAGTCTGGAATCTTGTGCAGGAAAGCCTCGCGCCAGACAGCGTGGGAGGAAAAGCTGCCCTGGTCGAGGTTGGCGGAGCCATACAAGTCACGCTTATCGCAGAAGGTCTCGGTTCCTTGGAAACATTCAATGCAGTGGCCGCAGCTGTCGGTCTCGTAGCCCCATCCGACGCGGTCACCTTTCTTCAGAAAGCGGGTGTTGGGCCCGACTGCTTCGACGACGCCCACACCTTCGTGGCCGAGGACCATATCCGCGCGGCGCTGTTTCATCAGTACAGTATTCCGTAACCCAAGGTTGGTAGGTACTCACGTAGTGAAGGTCTGTCCCACAGAGACCAGACGCTGTTACTCGGACGAACACATAGTCCTCCGTCAGCTCATCAGGCTTTGTAGTGGTGCTCTTGACGGCATTGCCAGAGGCGTGGCCCTTGTAGACGGTGAAAGACGGCATTGCGGCTTAATGTATTAGTGTAAGGGGATTATGTAGTAGAGATGTAATAATTCTTGGTATTTTTTTTCTTTTTTTCCTACAGGGATGGATGGCTTTTATAGATCCATGATAGACGGGATACCGATGGACACGGCAATAGTCCAGAAAATTCCACAGTCTCCGCTGATAAATCCCGATATATCCGACATTCCACTTTAACGGATGACACGCCATAATAGGAGATCCAAAAGGAGCGCAGATGAGGCGAAACGGCTCAAGTGGATGCTGAGTGGATGATGTGGATGAGCATACAGAAAATTATGGACGCCTGAGGCATAAAGTAACTCGGAGTCGCGGAGCTCCATAATGGGACTAGCGTCCGCAACTCCTTTGGGAAGGAGCTCCTTTCTCCTTTAGGAAGTGACATTTGTCAGCACTTCTCCCGGTGATGTCATCACAACATTCACTTAATTGACTTCTGAGTGAAGTTTCCTGGTCTAAGTTTCCTTTTTATGGTGTACACCTTCACTTTGTATACTCAATGTCTAGACACTCTAGACTGATGTAAATAAAATCGCTAGCTTATCAATGCCATCCACCGGGTGTCCACTTCATGCCACCCACTCAGTTACATACACGATATATATTTATAGCGTATACTTGAATCCAACCAATCCCTCAATTGGCTTCCCACCAGCATCAACGCGCTTATTTGCGAGATGAAACTTGAGCATTAATCCTCCAACAATAAATATTATAATTGCATTAGCCAACATAGTAGTCAACAAGCCTGGATGATAGCTGGGGGCGTCCTGCGCGCGAAAGACCGTTGTCCCGACAATTCCGCCAATGCTGCCTCCACCGATCAACGTGGCCGATGTGAGGGCTCGCTTCCACTGTCCTCGGATATTGTTGCTGTAAGGTGTTAGTATTTTATCTCAGCCAGTTAAGAAGACGATTACCTCTGCCATGAAACGAGAGCCGGGCAATTCGAGTTCCCTGATAGCAGTCAGTATATAGCCCACCAGGATGCTCGGTGTGCATACCAGCAATCGTAGCCAGGAAAACTCCAAAATATCTCGGGGCAGGATTGTCAAGATATCCCAACAGCCCAAGTCCCAAAAGGCCCATTGCAGCGTTAATAGCCACAATGGGGCCTCTAACACGCCACTTATCCGCAATCATGCCTTGGAGGTACATAACAATAGCGGCCGCAACATACGGAGGCGCTACAAGACACTGAGCCTTTACGACCGAAAAGCCCATACTGTCCTGCAGAATGATCGGCAAGAAGTACGCAATCGCGTAGGTATTCGTCGTTGTCAACAGATACAGCATGGCATACAGCCATACCTTGCTATCCTTGGCATTATGAAGATACCCCCTGACCGTAAACTCCTCCGCGAATACATCCGAGCGGTCATTCTCGATAGTCGCGACAATGTGCGCTGCCTCAGCCTCGTTGAGAAACCTCCACGATTTGGGCGACTGCTCGGGGAAGTCGACGAGAATGGTATACGACGACACACCAAGGACGCAGGTGAGTATCCCTTCAATCTGCAATACCATCAGCTCCCAAACACGTCTGGGGTTTACCAGAATCCATACGATGAAAATCCACCGCCAGCCCTCCTTCCCTCCAAGTCCATCCATCTGCATCAGCCCGTAGGCGAGGATGCCACCGAACCCAGACGCCGTGCTGCCGATGAGGTAGAAAGCAGCATTTCTTTTCTGCAGCTCATACCGCGTATACCACGTACTGAGGAGATATACACATCCGGGATAGAACCCAGCTTCGAGAGCGCCGAGAATAACACGCAGTCCTGCCATTGCTGGCCACGACGGGACGAATCCGAAGCACTGTGCGTGTAAGAATACCACCAAATCTAACAGGACAGAAGACGAACAAGCATTATAACGCCCCAGAGAAGGACAATGGCCGACAGGAAGATCCGTGGTCCGAGTTTGCGGATGATCACCGTCGCAGGGATCTGGAAGATGGTATAGGTGATGAAAAAGACTAAGGAAGTTATGCTGTATCCGTTATTGGAGGCGTTCATGTTGAGGTCTGGCTGCATTCTAGAATTCAACAAGTTAGCCGTAGTTTCCTGGAATCAGAGTAAGAGGAATGAATGCATACCCAGCGACCGATGCAGCCCCCAAGTTCGTCCGGTCCAGCAAGCTGATACAGTATAGACATCCCAGAGTCACGACAAGACGCAGATCAATGCGACGAGTGAGCGCCTTGCGCTGTTGCGGAGTAAACATGTCAAGTGCCTCATTATGCTCGACATGCGGCTTCTCAACGTCTCCATCTGCGTCTTCTCCGCGCGACTTGACACTGGCTGTTTTCTGCATGGCGGCTGTATAGGGAGGTATGCAGAGACGAAGAGAGACAAAGAGCGAAATTAAATAGGATAAGCAGTGTAGTATTGTGTACTTCCCCGCATCGGTGAACCCCGGACTTCCCCCAACTTCCGGTGGATGCGGACGATCTCCGGTGGAATCGATTGTCGGATACTGGAATGAATGACTGGAAAGAAACAGCCGAGTACAATAGCCGAGGCTTTCTTTACGTTTGGGGCATTGCTGTTCAGAATTGAGGATGTACTTGAACCGTTACCAGGTCATTAAACTATTCATGACTACATTAAAAAGCCCCCGGCCACTGGTCAAAGAAGGCATTATTCAGATTCGACCAGTCGATATCCGTCAGAGTCTCGGCGGAGATATCAATCGAATGGCCCAGAATGCCACCGATCTCGGCTGTGGTAACTTCGTCTCCAAAGTACAGGGGCCACTGCATCGTTTGATCCATGGCCCCGTCGTGAAGTGGGACTTGGTATCCGGAGTTAACCTGGGCCATCGGGGCCTGTGCGCTCTCCAGGGAGGTTGACTTCTCCGCAGAATCACTTGTAAAGGGAGAAGCCTCCGCGGCAAGACGATCAATCTTGACGCTGAGGTCGCGCATAATTGTCGCAGCATTGGCCGCCACCGCGAACCCGTCGCCAAAGCGTTCGAGGGCAGACACTGACAGGTCGATAGTGCTCCTCACAGCCACGGCGGACGTACTCCGTGGAAACGCCAGAACGTAGCCGACAAGCGTCATGGCCGCGTTCCACTGCCACTGGAAAGCCTCGTGCCAGCCGTTCAGAATCGAAGTCGTCTCCAACACTTGATGGCTGATGTGAGTTAGTGCCATCGCATGGGCAGCGCATTTTGATGCTGCGTCCTCGGTGATTGCCGCTGGGACCCCGTTGAGTGTGAAGCAAATCGATGCGCGGTATAAATTCGTGCACACGGTATGGTACATGAGCTCTAACAGAATGCGTTCCCGCTGTAGCCAGACCGGGGTAAACTGTTCAATCTGCAACGATGATCGATCTGTCGAGAAAGGGGTGCCCTGGTTTTGACGACTGGTCTTCAGTGCTTCAGGCACACAACGTAACCATCCATCCATGGTGCTCGTGACTGGCTCCGCAATTCCTTGGGTGATCGTATCCGGCGGTCGAGAGTAGAAGTTTGTGTAGGCCTTTCGGGCGGCGAGCATCAGTTTTATCTTATGGAGATTCCACGTCAGCCAAGTGACATTGCCCCCAATAGGCGCGAAGCTCGAGCCTGACATTCCTGCTATTTCACGGTCGTCCGCTGGTAAAGTACACGACGAAGTCGAATCCTGTATAGAGAACGGCCGGCCGAGTTTCATACTTCGATGGGTTTCTAGTATATAAATTGTCCACCAAATCCGTTTCTGTAGCTCCCTCTCGCGTCGTGGCATACTATGAGGAGGCTCGACATGCAGCCCAAGCATAAACGCAGCACGCACCGCCAGCCCACATGCATTGTCCGACATGTTCTGGAAGCCCCCGTAGCACAGATAAATCGAACAGAGTAGATGACATTGTAATGTAGACAGCGTCGGGGCTTCCATTTCGTTCGCCAAGAGAGTTAGACAGCGACGGTAGTGCCATCGACCGGCGATGGTAGAGTCATTGCTATTAACATTTCCTCTCGCGGCTGCAGTGAGGGCGTGACGACCTCCGGGCTGCCGCGCCATCCCATATTGCATGCAGACTGCAAGGACAATATCAACGAGAGCTGACGGCTGTCTTTCACCGTCGGACGTTGTCCATAGCGACTGGTAATGTTCCTTGAAGTCATGCTCATCGAGAATCGGATAGGTCGGGTAGAATGTATCCCAGAAAAGATTCAGGAAATATTCCTCCTGCATCGACGTAAGGGACTCGCCCCCACGGATTGGATCACCCATTGGGGCTGGCTTTTGGCTATCTTCGATCGTAGCAGCCGGTCCATCCAGAAGCGTGCTTGCAGATTCCGGCAACAGCACTTGAGTCGGGTGAGCTTGCTTTAAAGCAGTAGCCAGAAAGGTATTGATGCGGTTGATAAAGAAGAAGAGCGACGATGATCCATACCACGTCTTGTTCGGCGAGCGGGCAGTACTGATATAAATCCCCTCCCAGCGTTTCCCACTGGCATTGTCAGGAACACTGACATCAGTCGTACTATCCTTAGGACTGTCATCAGGGGTATACGGTGTCTCCACTACAGGGACAGAACGATGCTTTTGCCGCTCGTTCTGGAGCTCGTGCTCAAGCTGCTCAACGCGTTGCTTCAGCCTGTCAATCTCCCGACATGCCTGAGGCAGAGTAACTGGTTTCGCTAGTCGGTCACTATTACATTCTCCCCCTTTCCTTCGGCAGTTAGTACAGGGAAACTCGGAGTCGCATTTGAGACGGTGCACGCGGCACCAGTTGCAGGCTCGCGGGACCTGACTGCGCCTAGCTGTGCGGGGTGCCGGCGGCCCTGAGCCTGGCATGCTAACGATGAATGTCGGCGAAGTCATGCTGCCGTCCGCCGAAGAGGCGATGAGAATTTGAAGGAGTTGGTTGATGGAAGATGAAGATGAAAGTGAAACAGAAGCCAGTGGCGGATCACGTAAGCATCGCTGCCTGAAACTTCAGGCGCCGTCTGACCAGATGCGACACCAGAATAAATTAATTTGATCGAGGATTGTTATATTTATACATTCTTTCCTATATATGTGTTATATGTGTTGAAGTAACCTAGGCCCTCCCGCTCAGGGTCATTAACAAATCCGGATAGTAAAGAAACTGACAGATTCAGGTCATGTCCCAGATTAAGCCGTTCCTAAAGACTTACATGGGAAAAAAAACTCATTTTGACATTTAGACGCTTGTACAGGAATTTAAGGAGACATGAACATAATAGGCAAAGCGGGCAACGACAGCCTTGGGTGTTAATATATGCTAATATTGTACCCCCTATGGTGCATCATCTGCATCCGGATCGAACGCTTCGATAGCCAACCATAAAGGCAAGGCTTAAGAAGTAAATTATGGACAAAGAGATATGATATCTCTTTACTAAGTATGTCTTGAATTTTATTTTGCACTCTCAATCGTATTGATCCTCTACGATGAGCTCCACTGTACTGACCTAAGTACTGGGAGTGCAAGCTGCGAAAAGGACAAGAGTAGAAAATATTAGACCGTAGCTTTATTGTTTGTGATATAAAAGGACAAGTCCTCAAGGGGATACTGATCGGCCATAAGGGATGGAGGGATAGACAAAATGCGGAATGTCTGCCAACATACCAAGCCGTATGCGAGTCCCTTACTCCGTACTTGACCGATTCAGCCAGCATTCAAATTTACAAAGCAAGGCCCCCTTTCCTAGATTCACAGTCCTTGTCATTACGGCCCTCACTGTTGCATTACTAGTATAGTCATGTTGTAGGAGCGGCAGGTGCGGCTATCACTGCTACCTAGTTACGCGTATGCATGTACTTAATAAGGAATGAGAGTCATGAGTCGTGAATATACTAACTATCTGACACCGGTTTATCAAGCGAATCAGCTATGGATCGCAACGTCTGTTCAAAACTCTTCACCACCTCCTGCATGTAATCTATATTGATCTGCGTGAGCCGGTCCTGCGCCGGCCCCTGCGACTGTATCAGACTCTGCCCCCGATTCCGTAAGAGCGACAACAAGCAGTTGGCCTGCGCCACCAAGTCCATGACAAGCATATGCCGCAGCTTGATTTCATTCGCGATCGGGACCTCATACTGCCCGACACACACCTTGATCGTGCTAGTCGTCATGTCCCCATTGGCGATCTTCTCGAAGCAAGTCCCCGTCTGCTGCAGCACTGCAACAACACAGACGAGATCAGCGTAGCTAACCTGGCAGCTAGCGCAGATGATGAGATCTCGGCATGCACCGAGCACGTTCCCTGTGACTTTGAATATCCGGTCGAGCTGCGGATGCGGCTTGGCCTGCATTGCCTCGTGGACCTCGGGTACCTGTAGCATGAGGTTGGTGCGGCACTGGCAGCTGCCCTGGGGCGGGGAGAGAGCAGGGATTGTGTTTGTAGCCAGCCCGGTACTACGATCCTGGTTTGTTAGGAGGGGTGACTGCGCCGCTGCTGGGAAGACATCCAGCTCGCCGGCACCCAGCGTATTTAAAGGATCGATAGTCTACTTAGGTTAGTTGTGTTTTAGGTAGCGTAGAGGGGATGGGTGGTGCACATTTTGGCCTAGGTCGAGTGACGACCAGTCGAATAGGTAGCCTGACATGTCCTTCGGCCAGTCGACGCCATTCAGGTCCTGCGAGTGCGATTCATCGTTGAGGCGCAGTGGGTCGGCTGTGTCCATCTCCCACTCTATCGTCATCGGAACGGACGACTTGAGTGACCCAGACAGCGGCGTATTCACCGTGGAGGGCGAGTGACTAATGGACGACGAGCCGGAGCTGTCGACATTATTGGGAGGACTCATGGACGCCGTGGTAGGGCGCGAGCTGGAGGAGGAGGTGGTGGAGGGGGCAGTATATCTGCAGGGGATACCCCGGGTCGTACATCTATCACAGGCATTCTGGGGCCCGGTACACTTGACCTTTGCAGAGCGACACGATTCACAGGCGGTGATTGGCCGGCGCACCACAGGCCTTGCACCCTCAGCGCCGGGGCATTGCCAATTCTGGATGAAATTGTGGGGGATGTTCTCGTTGCGAGACCTGCGGCGCTGCTGGGGGGTCATCTTAAGCAGTGGAACGGGCAGCAGCAGGACCGAAAATGGGAAGAGAGAGTCGGATTTGCCCAGCGGAGCCTCGCCGGTACATTCTTCAATCTTTAATATAGGGCGGCGGGCGTTGCTCAGCAGGAAGGGGCTTTGTTCATCGAGGGGTCCGCCGAGGCTTCAGTCGCAGCAGCGAACGAGAGAGAAGCAGCAGCAGCAGCAGTTGGCAGTTGGCCGTCCATTAGTTGGCTTACTGATGGTGTGATTAGCGAGCAAATGCCGTTTGTCCTGCTAGCATGACAGGGGTGGCGCTCGTATTATGCAGCTTGTTACCCTGTCCAAATTGGCCCCATGTGGAGGCCCCTGCATCGGCCCCTATCGAAACTAAGGAACGTCCTCAGCTCGCAAGGGCCAGGCTGCATGTTTTCTACAAGCGAGCACTAAATGGCCAGGTCCCCGAGGGCTAGCGCTGCACTAAGATAGCCTTTGCATTCTTCATCATCCTGACCTGCACCCCAACGGCCCTGATGTCAACCCCCATGTCAACCCATGTCAAGCGCATCCATCACGCGTGCCCATCAGGCGCATCCGGCATAGTGCTTACCGTTTCTTCAAGGATCAATGCTTTTAGACCAGCTGCAATCGTACGATATGCCGCGCCTCCTTCCCCATGAAGAATGTCGTGCGTTGCAGCCCTCGCGTTGGCAGCTGAGTGGCCATCGCTGCAGAAATACGGCAAGGATCGAGCCAGATCACCTCACACAAGCACACCATCGCCGCTTCTGCAGGCTCGGTTCGCCCGCCTGCCGCGCATAAATTCTTTGCGAGGCAGATCCTGATCCTTCAAGAACGCCATCTGCCCCGTTGATATGCCTTCAATTGCTGATGCCACCGGGCCGTGCCGACAGACACCGCGTCACCAGGAATGGGGTGGTACCCCATGGTTGCGTTATGGGGCACGCCAGAATGTTTAATATGACTATATCCGTGACAAGGCAAGTTCATTCGAGGCTAGACCTGGCTAGAGCTTGACAATCAGCTCCGTCTGCTGACTGGGCTCCTTGGCTGCACACAAAAAGCCAATCCCCTCCACGACATCCGCCAACCAGCGCTGGCTCACATCCATATGCAGAAATCTCCAGAACCCATGCGGTTGCCCTGAATAGAGGTGGATCTTGCTCCGTGTCCCGGAATCCTTCTCCAACAGTCTTTGCCACAGAAACGCTTCGTCACGCAGAGGGTCCCGTCCGCAGATCTGGAAATAAGCACGGCCCGGCAGCCCCGAGTGATCCTTGTTCAAGAGGAACGAAATACGGGGATCCCCGGGGTCGCAGCCGTATATCTCTTGGATATCGGTCAGCGATTTACGGGTTAGTAATGGGTTCTCGGCATTCTGCTCTAAGCTGAGGAGATACTTCTCTGTCCACTCTGGCGGCGTGAGAGGGTACGCCTGTGGCATGAGACAGACAGGAATGGAGATAAAAAGGCCTGTAATGGGTGGTGAGAGACCTGCATCGCGCGCAGTGTATGCGATGACGCCGGCAAAGTTGGCTCCTGACGAAATGCCCCCGACGAGGAAGCCGGCCGTTGCAGGAGACGCATCAAGATGGGTCTCTGCATTTGCAGCGGCCTGTTTCACCTCAGTTAGCTCACCCCGCTGGAAGTTTATAAAGTGAAACATACCCATTCTGTGGCATCATAGCTGTCATTCACGCCATGCGGAAACGGCCACTTGGGAGCAAGCCGGTACCCCACGTTCAGGACAGCGATGTTCAACTTGACCGCGAGGACGCGGCAGTTCAGGTCGCCACTGTCCAGGTCTCCAAACAGGAATCCCCCTGCATGGAGGTAGATGAGGAGAGGGCGCCCACGGGTTGCTGGCCGGTCCGCTGTGGCGACATAGCTCCGCACGGGAATTTCATAGCCATCCCGAGCGGCGATCGTGAAGTTCGTTACCTTGACTGACTGATCGGTGATATCGATATCATCTGGAATTTGTCGTGGTGGGTTATTTGCTTCGATATCAATGAAGATGCGCTTCCGCTCGACTATACCGACGCGGTCGAGATTGGTGAGTTGGGGATTGGACGCAACAAACTATCCATTATAAGCTATGAATTATATACCGACTGAGGGGAACAACCTGGGTCCATTGAGGGCTTGTTTCAGAGTATTTCGCGAATTCGGCCATGCTCTACCAGCAATATTCTGTGTAATAACCAGCAAGTGTATAACTGCGTACAGACTGCGTTTATATATCACCACCAGCGTCAGACCGGGATATCTATTTCCATATCTGGTATTACATCCGCATCGCAGCTTCAAGAGAATACTCTATACCCTCCGCGCAACAAACCGCTGCTGCTTAATCTGATCACCTCCGTTCCATTTAACCCCGTTATCCCAGGATTCCGATCCATATGGGATCAGCTCCGAAGACACATCCCATTTCCCGTGAGGATCCGTCTCCCAGATCTCCCGGATTGTCTCCTCGCTGTGATGGTACAGCGACCATCCGCACGCATTCTCCTTGAGAGTTCCTCCCTTGCCAGTCGTCGCCAGATGGCGCCCAAAGACAAGCGAGTTGTTCCCGCGCAGTAGCCGGCCAAGCTGTAAAACTATAGCTCTTTGCTGCTCAAAGCTGAACAGATGTAAGAATGAACCCAGGAAGATGATATCGACTTTGCCGCGCCACTCCTGTAGAAAGTCCTCGGCGAATACATCTCCGGTTTGGAAATGGGCCTTGAGGCGGTTCTTGTCTTTGAAGAGCTGGTGGCCTAGGTCTAGGAATCGCGACTCGGTGTCCACTCCGATGAGGTTCTCCCCTGGCGCGCCGTCGTGGACGAGCTTTCGGATATCCTGACCAAAGCAGCAGCCCAGGTCCAGAAATGTCTCGCCGGATTTAATCCGCGTCAGGACTTCGGGATATACTGGTTGCAGATATGCTGGGAAATCAAGAAACCGGAACAGCCCGATGCAGGGGAATGGCAAGCTGAACAGATCAGAGAAGAATCTTTCAACTATCGGTAGGACACTTACATATCCCAAGCTTGGTCTCTCACGCGGTGGATGTGATCCGTGATCTGGTCATCAGGAATGCCAGAGTAATCGCGGAATATCTCTCTAGCGATATCGGGGACCCGAGTCAGGGCTGTTTGATACCAGGCGACATCGCGGCTTGCTTTGGACACCTTGTCGTTCTTCCACTCCTCTGCGGGTTGGTTATGGGTTGCGACAGCTGCAGTAGCCATGTTGATATCTTATTCTCAAACTTAGTTGAATTGTGGAAGGCGTCGCATTCGGGTTGGCCATGGCGCCTTTTGAGTCCGTCCAGGTGCAACCCCGTCCGGCCAGCGGAGGGATTCTTACTATATTCGATCCCGAAAAACCGCATCTTAACGAAGGTGTATGGCATTCGATGACGCTAAATAGGCAATAATATCCCGACTTCGGAGTGCGTTCTCGGGGCCTCTTCAGATATAGGGCAGAGCACTCCAACCCAGTAATCACATACACCGAGCAACCACCATACACCATCCACATTCCCACCATGTCACAAACTGAAACCACACCAGCCCAAGAGCTCGGCTTCTCCTTCAAGCAAGGCGTCAACTGGTCCGAATACCTGGACTACCGCCCCGTCTACCCACCCTCATTCTTCGAACGGATCTACAGCTACCACGCCGCAAAGTCATCCTCATCCTGGTCCGTGGCACACGATATCGGCGCCGGCTGCGGCGTCGTCTCCTCCAGCCTCGCAGCCCGCTTCCCCAACGTGATCGTCTCCGACCCAAACGACGGGTATGTCAGTCTCGCGCGCAGACTACTAGTCGAAGAATCCGCAGCAGCCACAGGAACAACCTTCCAATTCCTGCAGGAAGGAGGCGAGAAGAGCAGCGTGCCCTCTGGGAGCGTTGACGTGATAACCGCCTGCGAGTGTATCCAATGGATGGACACGGCGGTAGCGATCGCCGAGATGGGGAGGGAATTGAAGACCGGTGGGACCCTGGTTCTTACGCATTATACCGTTCCCCGGATTGTCGGCAATGAGCGGGCTCAGCGGGCGTGGAAGAGCATCTGGGGGGTGTATTCGAAGCGCGCGGACGGGCCGTTGCTAGACCATGCGATTCCCATTATCAATGCCGCGCTGGAGTCGTTGGAGTTTCTGCCGAGTCAGTGGGAGGATGTGAAGAGGGTGCATATCAATGCGCAGGGGAGCTTTGATAGCTATCGGATAGACGAGCGGCTTGCGGAGAGTCGGTCGGCGGCTTGGGAGGAGCAGGTGTGGATTGAGGGCGACGAGGACTGGGCGGATGAGCAGGGGATTCAGTGGCTCAAGGGGTATCTTGCGACATGGGTGCCGGTTGTCCCTGAGTCGGACATTCAGGATCTCTGGGACGAGCTGGAGGCTGCATTGGGGGGACAGAAGGCGCGGATTGAGTCGCCGTTGACGATGGTGTTTGCAACAAAGAGGGCGTAGAGACCATGCATAGAAGCCGCGAATCAGATAATTGCAATAGAAAATAAACCGTATCAGGCAGTTAAATTCCGTTAATTGTGTTGTCTGGAGATCATCTCCATAGCTCGCGGAGCTGAAAATAGCATAACCATTCTGCTCCATCGAGATCGAGCCAATCGCAGCGGGCGAAAAACAAGCTTGAATTCTGGACCAGTCGGAGAGCACTCGGAGAGGCCTTGGAAAGCAGTCCAGGAACCGCCAGCCCTGTCGGACGGGGCCTCGACGAAAGGGGAAGGAAATTTCCGGAGGCCTCGTCCCAAAAGGGAAATCGATATCCCGAACTCACAGCAGCCATGCGAGCAGCTCTTCGGTGGCATTCACTCTGCAAACAAAGAGAATGCTCATTAGAAATCAATTCTGCTGCTCTTTGAACCCCTGACAAATTCTGACAAATGCTGGAGAGTCCGCCACGTCGATCATAACAGTGTACGCTATAAAGATATAGTTCTACGCTATAAAATATAGTTCTGACCGAGCTCTACTATCTAGGATTCTCTCTTGCTTCAAGTTGCAACTCTAATTTCTCGCAATGTCCGCTACCCCCGACGAGAAAGCGCCCAACGGGGCCATCGAGAGCTCCGGCTCGTCCACCGAGTACACTACCCCCGACAGTGAGAAGCAAGCACAAGACGCCCCCGAAGAGCCCGAGACCCCTCCGCGTGATATCGACGGCTGGAAATGGTGGTTGGCTATTTTCTCCATCTGGTCGTCCATCTTCTTCTACGCCCTCGATAACACCGTTGTCGCCGACATCCAGCCTGTCATCATTGAGGACCTGGGCGAGCTCGAGAAGTTGACCTGGCTCAGTGTTGCCTTCCTGCTCGGCGCCACCGCTACAAACCTGATCTGGGGAAAGCTGTACGGTCAGTTCAACGCGAAATGGACCTACATCCTGAACATCGTGGTCTTCGAGGTCGGCTCCGCCATCTGTGGTGCTGCCCCGAGCATGAACGTGATGATTGTCGGCCGCGCCTTGTGCGGAGTGGCTGGTGCAGGACTGTATGTGGGCGTCATGACCCTCATTGCCATGACTACGACCCTGCCTGAGCGTCCGTTGTATATCGGCGGAACTGGATTGACATGGGGTATTGGCATTGTGCTTGGTCCTGTTGTTGGAGGAGGATTCAGCGTGTCATCTGTTGGCTGGCGCTGGTCGTTCTACATCAACCTGCTTATTGGCGCCGTCTGTGCCCCTGCATATCTCTTCCTGCTCCCCAGCAAGGATCCTCGTCCGGGAGTTTCATGGAAAGATCGCTCTAAGGAGGTTGACATTATTGGTTCTATCCTGCAGATGGCAGCCCTCACGACCTTCATCCTGGCCATCTCCTGGGGCGGCGTCACTTACCCCTGGAACTCTGGCCAGGTTATCGGTCTCTTTGTTGCTTCTGGAGTGCTGTTTATTATCCTCGGGCTGCAGCAAGTCTTCCTGGTCTTTACAACCTTGTCCCGTCGTATTATTCCGGTCGAGTTCTTTGGTTCTCGCACGGTGTTGATCTTGTTCGCCTCGACGGCCGCCGCCGGTGCCTCTGCCTTTGTGCCGATTTATATGATTCCCATCTACTTCCAGTTCACCCGTGGCGACGCAGCTCTGGACGCAGGAGTCCGACTCCTCCCATTTATCGTCCTCATGGTCGTTACCATCCTGGCCAACGGCGCCTTCCTGTCCAAGTTCGGCTACTACATGCCCTGGTACACAGCCGGAGGCCTGCTCGCTCTAGCCGGCGGAGCCCTAATGTACACTGTCGACCTGTACACCTCCACCAGCCGCATCTACGGATACACCGTGATCCTCGGTCTCGGTGTCGGTCTGTGGATCCAAGCCTCATTCGCCGTTGCACAAGCCGTCGTGAAACCCGAGCTGGTCCCCGCCGCCGTGGGATTCATCACCCTCGCCCAGTTCGCCGGAATCACCATCGTCATGGCCATCGCCAACGCCGTCTTCCTCAACACTTGTCTCACCGAGATCCCCAAGATCCTTCCCGGTGTTCCCCGCTCCCAGATCGAGGCTGCTATCCAGGGCGCCTCTGATCTGTTGGATACATTGACCGACGAGACCCGGACCCAGGTCCTCGAGGCTATTACGTCTGGTATCAGCAAGGCCTATGTCCTCGTCATCGCTGCTGGTGCTCTGGTTGCTGTTCTGAGTGTGCTCATGAAGCGCGAGCGTCTGTTTGGTGTTTCTGGTGCTGTTGGTGGTGCTTAGTGGTTTACTGGAAAGTTGGACTTGTGTTCCGAGTCTTCCTCCTATCTCTCTAGAATAGTATGTCTTGTAATAAAATTATACACCCATTCGCTTCTCTAATGTAACACTGCATTTAAACGTACGTCGTAGTTCAAGTCGCATGGTATGTCTAATATACGATGTAATATATATAACATGATCTAAGGTAGTTTTATGATCTATCCTAATCGCTATATACTTATACTCTCTAAAGATTCACGCTCCCCAAAGTTAAATATATAATTACTTCTTCCTATGCCTAGGCTTAAGGTCATTTCTATATCTGATGCTACCCTTTACGTGTATACCGGATAAGGTACAAATGAAGTAGTGATGATCGTATTGCCGTTCTATCATTCTATCAACTACTTGCAAATCAATTCCTTCCAGCAGTACCATTTATTGTGTTTCGCCCGAGAAAGTCTTCTCTACTCTCTGCCAGAAATTGTTCGCAACTTCCTGGATACGCCCTTCTTCGAAATGCAGCGCATCAAACTCGAAAGACGACCGGAAGGTGTTGTCGTCGGTGATGTGCATAACACGGACAAGAATATCAAACTGCGCTTGTCAATAATCAATAAAAATACGGAAAATAGGAGGAAGAAACGTACATGCCACGGGTCATTCGACTTCCTAATATCATCATCAACCCACAACGTCTTCGACTCAACCGCTGTCGGACGGCGCTGGAAGTTCACCGCAGTGTTAAACAGTTTCTTCCCACGGTGTACCTCGTCCACGACCTCTCGGATATTCACCGCAGAATGCACACTATCCTGTGCCCGCTGGTCCTGCATCCGCGTTGCCAGCACTGCCAAGTCCTCTTCGGTTGTGTTCTCGGCCGCCTCGACACCTTGTAGATGATATGCCAGGACATTAATCAAGGGACCAACCATGGTGAACACGCCTGGAACATCTTCATCACGACCGGAGACAACATATTCAAACCCGACATCCGAATGCTTCGTGAAAAGACTTAATGTCTGCGCCCACGCCGCGTCAAATATACTAGCCGGCGTAATGCCATGGGCCACACTGAAAGACGTCAACGCCGCAGCAGGGATCTCAGGGAGATAGAAGATTGTCTTCTGTTTGCTGAAGTACGGAACCGGTCGAGATACAGGGAACGAGAGTAGTGCGGGGGATTGGTCGCGAAGGTTCTCCGTCCAGTATGACCGGTCTTGGTTCACTCGGCCTGGATGGGTTTGTGCTACCACGAAGTCCTTGTATGACGGGGCTGCATCGGGAATGTATTCCTTGCCGTATGTTTCATATTCCTCTAGCAGGGCTTCCTTGATGACTCTTAGAGACCAACCGTCAATCACCAGGTGGTCCAGCTCGATGTGAATGAAGAACCTGTCTCCCCGCTGTGAAAGCAGCGTCCGGTGTGGAAGGAAACACTCATCCACCGGTGGTATTCCCAGAGACTCAAAGGTTGGCTCTATCTTTCTGGCAACATCTGAAGATATTGAGACGGTCGCGATCTCTGGCTCCGCATTGTCCAGCACAACCTGGATATGTGGCAGCTGGCCGGACGGGTCGATCAGAAAGATACTTCTTAGGATTGGGAGCCTTTGGACCACCCTTCTCCAAGCTTGAGCCAATCTTTCCAGTGATATCTGTATCTGTCCATCGCGTGAGGCCATCTCCATCTGCCACGACAAGAGGAAAACGGCAGGATTTACCTGGCGCTGCCGTTGGATCTCGCGCTGCATTGGGGCAAAGAAGTAGGCGTCTTGAACTGCCACGGTGGGATGGTCGCGTAAACGAGCCTGCAGAAGGTTATCGTATGGTGCTAATATGTCAGTCACAGACAGGTGGCTCTGCTCGAGTTGTGCTGGCGATGCAGTATCAACATCCTTACTGAGCTGCTGCTCCACCAGGGGCACCAGATTTCCGAGCGTTTTGGCATTGATTATACCTCGAACAGTAACAGGCAATCCCAACTTCTTTGCCTGTGAGACGATTTCAATTGCAGAAATGGAGTCACCCCCGATGGCGAAGAACGAAGTGCGCATATGGACATGCTCCTTTGGCTTCTGCAGAGCTTTACACCAGAGGCTCCGGAGTGTATCTGCCAAAGAACCCTCAATGATCTCGCTCTTCCGGTAATCTCCATCGGTCTGCTGGTCTTCCACTATTTCCGTAAAGGTGGCATCATCCATATCATTGACCCAGCCCTTGATGGCCTTGCGGTCAATCTTCCCTGATATCAAAAGCGGCAGCTCCTCAAGTAAAACCCAAACAGTGGGAACCATATACTCCGGAAGAACAAGCTCAAGACGCTGCTTCAACTGCTCCAACTTTCCAACGGTATCAGGGGAATGTCTGTCCCTAGCTATCGTGAATCGATCCTGAGGGCCAGAAGTACTGTTCCCCTGGAGACCAGATCGATTAAAGCTCAGAACGGCCACAATCTGACGGCGGCACGGGCCCTGGGCTGGAAGGGCAGCGAGCGTACTCGCTACAAGACCCGAGGCCATGATCTGGTTCTCAATCTCGCCGAGCTCGATACGATATCCACGCAGCTTCACCTGCGTATCCCGGCGTCCGACTATCCGAAAGGTCCCGTCCTCGTTATATCTCGCCAGATCGCCAGACCGATAAAGGGTCTGATACGGACTCGAGCTGAGGTCTTTCAGCCATTCAGGCGCAGGGACCCAGGCAGAGTCTGTCTGCTGCTTATCTCCAATATATCCACTCCCTAGCAATGGTCCGGAGATGAGGATCTCGCCGACAC